GGGGAGGCTGGAGGGAGTGGGAGAATTTACAGGTGGGGGTAAAGACTGAATGACGTCAGAGGACGAATTTAGGCCGCGGGTTGAACGACTGTTCGAGCGAGAGCTCGACCTAATCTCCGACCAGTGGCTCTTGCATCCCTCCTGCCTCCCCCCCCTCCCCCCACAACCCCCTTACCCACAATTTCCCTTCAATGGTCGACTGCGGTAATGGAGGGTGGAGGGGGATCAATGAACTTGGGTAAATTAAATTTCGGAAAGTTCGTGGGAATATTTGATGATGTTTAATTGATTATTTTCAGGGCTTTTGATTAATTGAATTTGTTGTTCTTTCGAGGGGGCGGGGGAGGCGGGGGCGTGATTGATTATGAATTTTTGTAGGGGGGAGGGTTGAAATGTATAATTGATGAGTTGAATATTGGTTTTTCAGGGGTTGGGAAATGTCACATTTTTTTTTTAGGAAATTGAAATCTCTGAAAAATAGGTTTCTTGTTGTTTTTTTAAATTGTGAAATCTTTAGTGCATGCATTTGGTGCATTTAGTCTATTTCATTTCTAACTAATGAACACGGGTTGGTGGACTGAAATTTATATAAAAATGAAGGGAATATCTTCTTCTGAGAATTCTTCTCAGTTGAAAAAAAATCAATTTTTTTCAAGTACTTGGCATTTTGGCTAAACATCCTTAATAAAAAAAAATTTGACTAGAGAATCCCGAAATGTATTCAGGAGTCTTTCGACACTTCCTCACATTGAATTCACGTCACGAATTATTACGTCAGACTGGTGCTGTCAAAATGCCCCCGCCCCCCCCACTCCGCTGATTGAGTCCGAAGAGTATGACTGGAGTATGTCGAGTGAATTGGTGATAAGATGAGTGAGTGTGGAGAGCGTAATGTACCGGACGTTGCCGGAACCGACCCAGTGACACACTTGGGTTCGCTGCACCCTTTGTGCTCAACTAAAAGATGTCTCTCCGTCTATTTTTGGATTATATTTTCTAAGAATACACCTCCCACAAATTTCTTCAATTTCCAAAGCAGAAAAAAAATCCGCAATTAACAGAACACAGTCAATACATTTTTGCTAATGAATTAGCAATTTGCTTCCAAATGGAATTTCTGTGACGGCGTATTTTAAATTGAATTCAACGATTCATTGAATTCAACATTGGCCCAACGTTGGCAGTCAACATTACCCTAACGTTTACAGCCAATGTTGACTCAATGTGGCCGCCAACACTGAGCCAACATTGCGCCAACATTACAAAGGTGAAAATATTAATGTTGGGGTAATGTTGGCTCAATGCTGGCGGTAACTTTTTCCTGAATATTGGTTTCAAAAAAAATTTTTGCAACAGCAGATGGTAGAATCAATCTCATGATCGTACTCGGTAAAGATGGTACTGGAAAGAATATTTCAAATCACAATTGGATTCATTTAATAAATTATTTTCTCCCAATGCTTCCATTAGGCAGCAAAAGATGGACGAAAAAAAAATTCCCCCTCAGTTAATGGAATCCAACAATACTAATTAAATTCGGAAATTAACAAATTAGTTTTTCATTAGAAAATTTTACGGTGCGAGTACGTAATAAGGTCTTAATCCACTAATTCCGGCAATAACTGGCGCTAATTTTATTCATTAGCAAATGGGAGAATTAATACACTCGGAGAGCCCCGCCTGAGTATATTAAATTTTTTTAATTAATCAGCATCACGCATCGGCAGTCAAAGCTGCGTGTTACGAGTCCTTCGGGGGTTATTTCGTGAATTTCATGCGATAGGAGCTCGCGGCGTTTTACGAGCGACTGGAGTGTTGATAGGTCGGACATGGCGATCGTTTGAGAATGCAATTAGACGCTGGAGCATTTTACGAGATCCTTAAATTCCGAGGTAAAACCCCACATTTCATGCAGTGGCTTATCTCACGGCTTATCGATTAGAATAAAAGTTTCGTCCGAGTTTTGAAAATTGCAAAACACGTTGTTGAGAGCGGCTGAAAGGTCAAATGAGATGATTAAATGTTACACGACTCTTCGAACATGATTCGATTCTGCAGGTAAAATCGTCTAGGTGCTCATATTGTCTGCATTAAAAAAATTTATATGCATTTTATAATGTGTACCATGTTGTTTATTCACGAGTAAAACGCGCGAATTTCATGATAAATCAGTGAAATTTAACTGATACAGTTCCCAACAAGGAATAGATTCACAATCATTCCCTTCCAAAATCGACAATTGAATAGAGCTTCCAGCGATTTTAGGAGTAAAATTCTATCTCAAAAAAAATTACTTGACATTTTTCTCTAAATGATCATCACTTAATGCATTCCATCCTTGATCAATCAACAAGTAAACCTCAATTGATTAATAAAAAAATCTTGATCTGTGCAGTTGACTGGTTTCCTCCAACAACCAGTCCCCTACAGCAGCATGTCGGAGGTGTACGCAGTGGCCCGATGGGATCCCACATACAAGTATTGCCTGAGAATCGTTTTGCCGGACGGTTCCCTGTTGCTCCAAGCGAGCAATGCATACACGAGAGACCAGTGGTACCACTCCATCCTCTGGAAGGTAAACAAATCTATTCCCAAATGTTATAAATCAACACGGAAAGCAAGACCCTGGGATTATGTCAACCCAACCATCAGTCGTCTTCAATTTTAACAGAAATGTCGAGGAATTTTTTGTAGACAAAAAAAATTGCAAAAATGTCTTTTGACGTCAAAAATTTTGTGAAAATAGAAAATCGCCTCGGAAGCAAATTACCAATTTATTATCGAAAATATACTGATTGCTGATCGCTTAACCCAATGATCAGTATCTCCTCGAGACCCCTAGAAACTCCCACTGAAATAGTCTTTCCCTTGCAGAAAAGTATCTTCAAATACCAGCACTTGGTCTCCCAGACCCACCGAGAAGAGGTGATCCTCCGAGAACTGAAGACAATGGTGGACTTTGCCCTCTGGACCCCTCTGCAAGACGAGAGGGTGAATGGAGCGCCCCTGGAGGCAGTGGCGAAGCTCCTGGAAGAGCCAGTGCCCCCAGAAATTGACAAGAGCAATGACAAACAAATTCTGGAGATGGAGGAGTTGCAGAGCCAGCGGGATCAGCGGTCATGGGCTGAGTCTGTCCTCTCGGTGGCCTCACCACTCCTGGAGAAGGCAGCCCCTCCACCAGCACTGGCTAGGGCTCTGGCCAGACTCGCCCAGAGGCATCCCAGATCACCCCTGGTGCCCGCCCTGGGGCCAGCCATCACCAGGTGCTTGAAGCACACTGTGGACTTCGGCAAATCGCCGGATATGAGGAAGCTCATTCAGATGTTCATAGCTGCTCTCTTCGAGAGTAATGATGGTGAACAGTCCATTAGAGATTATGTGGCATCCGTTCATGGCCCCGGAAGCGACTGCCCTCATCCCAGGGTGCTCCCGAATCTAGTCTCCATCTGTGTTGCTGCCATTTTTCACAGGTAAATGTGACTGGAGAATTGTATCGGATAAGTGGGTTTACTAAGAAATTTTTTTTTTATCGTTATTTTACGTCGTTTCGACCCGGTTAGGGTATACTGCGATGATGATCAAGACTTTAAATAGTTAGATCGCACCATTCTACCCGGCCGAGATTTGAACTCGGAACCTTTTGCACGTGAGGCAACGAACTTATCCACTGCGCCAAGCCACCGGGCAGAAAAAAAAATTATATTTCCCGAATATCCATTTACTTGAGAGAAAGAATGATTGAAGAACTAATTGAATCCAATGTCCAAGGACATCTACTATTGACTCACTCCTTGGTCTCAAAAGACTAGAACCTATCAAAATTGTACATGAATTTATCAAAACTAAGAAAATTGGAATCTAGAATAATCATTATTGTATCGAAAAAGGCAACAAACAAAGCCAAGTTGAAATGCAATATTCATCCAAACGATCTATTCTGCTGAATGGAAAATTGTTATTATCATGAGTACTCCCAAGAATAAAAAAAGTTGATAATTTGATAGAAAAAAATCAATAAAAAATTTTGTTTTTGCTTGAATTACGTCAAACAGTTGCATTGAATAGCTGAGAAGAATTTTCTGTTGAATTTTTAAATACGTGACAATTCCTTGGGGAAGACGATTAATATGACTCAATTTTCTAGCTGATTAAATAGATGAGAATGAGAAATATTGGAGGGGTTCCATAATTAGATACTTCTGAATGAAATTGAATTTTAATGCGATTGATTGAAGTCTGAAGCCGACAACGGATGAATTAATAATTCATGAGTCAGACGGAAATCGTTCAATACGAAGTCGTTTTTTTCGCAGATTCGAAGTCTCAAATCGAGGGCCCTTGAACACTGGAGAGAAATTCCAGCCGCCGCCACTTCAGTGCTACTTACACGTCCTAAAAATAGCGTAAGTAAACCTTCCTCGAGAATAATCCATCAATCTCTCCAATTTGATTCCGTTTATAAACTCAAGAGTTCTCTATTATTCCGGGGATTGACTTTATTCGTGGAAACAATCAAACTCTCCCACTACTTCTCGAATATCTCGGAAACTAGCGGGTGTAGAGAAAAATGTCAGAGAACATTTTTTGTGCGGAATTTGATTATCTATAAAAAATCTTTTCTGACATTTTCCTCCAAAAACATTGGTTTTCGAAATATATGAGAAAGAATATTGGGATCTTCTTGTTCTCCACTACTTCCCTACCAAATTGAGAGATGACATTTAGGGATTTTATTCGTCTCTTCATCACTCTTGATGAACTAAATAATTGTTCTGTGTTATTCGTGGGAGTGAAATCTACCCCCAGAGGGGGGAATGGGTGATACTACCGTCGACGACAGTCAAAACATTTTCAAAGTTAGGGTTTGGTATTGATTATGGGTTTAATTCTGTGATTATCTCGGAAACTAGGCGGTGCAGAGGAAAATGTCAGAGAACATTTTTTGTGGGGAATTTGATTATCCATAAAAACGTTCCTCTGACATTTTCCTCTAAAATCATTAGTTTTCGAGATATCTGAAAAAGAATAGGGGGACCTTCTTGTTCTCCACTACTTTCCTAACAAATTGTTGAATAACAAATGATAAAGGAGATGAATTGAGTGGTACTCGTGGATGGGCCTTCTTGGACGGTTTTCCTGGATTCCCGTGCGCCTCTTGGAGGCCACTGGAAGGATCATACAAATGCAGAAATTTTCAATGAAATTACTAGCATTTTTAGTGAAATTAATTTCACTGATTTTCATTCATCAGATCGGAATACGCCGACTGGAGGCCAGGTCTGGGTGCCCTTCTGCAGCCAGTGCCCTTCCCAGAGGCTGCCCTAGCCGACAAAGAGGTCCAAGCGTCAGTCCTCTCGTGCGTCATGAGACGATTGGCTGATGATTCAAGGTGTTCAGTTCATCGTGTACTCCTGCCAGTGCGTGAGCCACGACCCGGTTGGCTCCACATCGCCGCACCCTCAAGTCCGGCTTGTCCCGATGACGGAGCACTCTTCGGCGAAATGGTAATGAGCACACAAATCGTCAATGACGCTTTTGGAATACCCCGCCGCGAGTAAAAAGAATCTGAGTCAATATATATTTCGCCTCTCGCGGATGTTTTTTTCGGGTTTTAAAACACTTGGGAAAATATTGCGGTGATGTATCGACTGATAATGAGTAGATTTATGAATGACGCAGTTTAAAATTTTGAGTGACACAGGAGGAACGGAATTTCGAACGAAAAGAGGCCGATTAAATGTTTGTTGACAGCAAAAACATGTGTTTCCATTGAAAATAATTTGTTTCACTCGTTTTTTCACGGATATCTTGAAAACTAGTGGGTTTAGAGGAAAATGCATGAAAATGTTTTTCGTCGGAAATTCAGTTCTCTAGAAAAAATGTTCTACGATATTATTGTCTAAACCCGATAGATTCTGAGATATTCTAAAAACACTGCACTTGTTGAAAAACCCCAATTTCCACTCGCATGTTGTTCATTGTTCGATTATCTCGATAACGATCGATGATAGCGAAAAACGTCACATACATTTTTTGTCGGAAATTGAATTTTCTACAAAAAATTTCTTACGACATTTTTGTCTAAACCCACTCATTACCGAGTAATGTCCAAAATAGCGAAACACGTTTTCTCGTTTTTTAGTTGACATCCCTATTGAGCTGCTGCTGTCGTCGAAAGAAGTTCATAGCTTCGCTGCTAAAGCAAACAGGAAGTGCATGTATACTTCTAGCGGTGCGTGGTTGTGATGCAGCGCAAGAGGCCCTGTGTCTAATGTTAGAATGGCGTTTACTTCCGAACGAGGAGGCTCGCCTCCAAGTCGTTTCCGCTCTGCAATCGACAGCCTCCGGCAAGACGCGCTACAACAGCCTCTGCCAGCGCCAGAGGAATCTTCAAGAATTGGTAAGATTTTATTTCTCACGAAGACTCGTCTCACAAAACATTCCAAATGGAAAATCAATTGGAATGAAACCCTCGGAGGCGCTAGAAATATTGAAATAGAAAAAAAAAATTTTCACTCGGGGCCAAAGGGTCAGATCTTGAATTTTTCCCGGGGGAAAATCGAATTTTTCGGTCAAGTGAATGTCGATTCTGTATTTATTGGCCTCTCTAATGCCAATGAAACCCTCACAGGCGCCAGAAATGTCAAAATAAAAATTTTTTTTTTTCATCCGGGGCCAAAGTGTCAGATCTTGGATTTTCCCCGGGGGAAAATCGACTTTCGCCAAAATCGAATTTTTCGGTCAAGTGAATGTTGATTCTGTATTTATTGGCCCCTCTAATGTCAATGAAACCCTCAAGGGCGCCAGAAATTCCGAAATAAAAAAAAAATTTTTTACCCGGGGCCAAAGTGTCAGATCTTGGACTTTTCCCAGGGGAAAGTCGACTTTCGCCAAAATCGAATTTTTCGGTCAAGTGAATGTCGATTCTGTATTTATCGCCCCCTCTAATGCCAATGAAACCCTCGCAGGCGCCAGAAATACCGAAATAAAAAATTTTTTTTTTCACCCGGGGCCAAAGGTCAGATCTTGGATTTTCCCGGGGGGAAAGTCGACTTTCGCCAAAATCGAATTTTTCGGTCAAGTGAATGTCGATTCTGTATTTATCGCCCCCTCTAATGCCAATGAAACCCTCGCAGGCGCCAGAAATTCCGAGATAAAAAATTTTTTTTTTCAATCGAGGCCAAAGGGTCAGATCTTGAATTTTTCCTGGGGGAAAATCGACTTTCGCCAAAATCGAATTTTTCGGTCAAGTGAATGTCGATTCTGTATTTATCGGCCCCTCTAATGCCAATGAAACCCTCGCAGGCACCAGAAATGTCGAAATAAAATATTTTCATTTTCACCTGGATCAAGGCTCAGATTTTTCAACAATTTCATTGTTTATTGAGACAACGCATACACTGCGCGTCGTAGTGCTGACCGACCCATATATGAATTTTTTCGTGTCACACAGCGTGAATAATTTTGCAATAAGCATGATTATCGACAATTAATCGAAAAGAGGAATATCGAATCTAGCAGGAAAACAGCATAATGAAGGCTTCTACAATTAACGAATCCGATCCTATTGTTGACTGGTGAAATAAAAAAAAATTGTTTTACAAAGCAACAGAAAGGTGGACCGAAGAAATTAACTCTGCCAGTTCGTGCAACTGACGCTGACGTAGCTCTGCTGCTGGGAGGTGGTGCCCTGGGCAATTTGGAGTGCCTCAGTCTCGCTTTCACGTCAGTTACGTCTGCCTGCGCTGAGCAACTCATCAAATTACCAGCCCTCAGGTACTTGAACTTGTGGGCGACGCAGTTCGGCGATGCGGGGCTTCAGATGATTAGCGAACATCTTCAGAAACTTCAGGTGCTCAATTTGTGTGAGACACCGGTGTCGGATAAGGGCATTTCCACACTAGCGTGTAAGTATTTTGAGTGGAATTCAGGGGGTCGAGGGTAAATGGAAGAGATGGGAGAGTTACCGAAACACGGATGGCCACGAATCCTCCGATTCTTCAATACTATATACTAATCGAAATTAAAAAATAGTAAAATAATTCATTAGCGGATGAGATTTTGACTTTTGACCAGTCTTTGATGAATATCTCGGAATCTACGAGAGATAGCAAAATTCTTCTCATGACCTTTTTTGTACAGGCAATTAAGGGCTATAAAAAAGGTCTTAACAATTTTTTTTCTATCTCCTCTAGATTCCGAGATATTCGTCAAAAACTGGCCAATAGTCAAAATCGACTTAACCCGGTTTATCAATAGGTTTCACTTGCTCTCCCACCTGACCCTTTCGACTAGACGGAGCTGTTCGACCCTTCAACGATAAAATAGTTGACAAGTCCATTCTAATCGAGTTCTTCCTCATTCGTTATTCACAGCGCTAACGAGCCTCAGGAAACTGAACCTCAACAGCACAAAATTATCAGCCCAGACGTTCGAGTCCTTGAAGAAGCGTTTGCCAGCTCTTCAGGAGTTCGACGTACGCTACACTGAGGCCTGGTGACCCGAGCCAATACCTCTGACTTCACCGAGTGCTCCAGAAATTCGTAACAACGGTACAATTGATAATTACAGTGCACGTGCGAAAATACGTCATTGAAGACAATTGGGGTGATGTCTCGAGGGTGTTGGAGGAACTATACTGTTCTGGAATATTATATTCGTACATTTGTGATTGATTCTGATGGAGAGATGAATTGAAAATGGCGATATAACGAATTTGGGAATTGAGAGATGACATTTAAGGATTTTATTCGTCTCTTCATCACTCTTGATGAACTAAATAATTGTTGTGTTATTCGTGGGGGTGAAATATACCCCCAGAGGGGGGAATGGGTGATACTACCGTCGACGACAGTCAAAACATTTTCAAAGTTAGGGTTTGGTATTGATTATGGGTTTAATTCTGTGATTATCTCGGAAACTAGGCGGTGCAGAGGAAAATGTCAGAGAACATTTTTTGTGGGGAATTTGATTATCCATAAAAACGTTCTTCTGATATTTTCCTCTAAAATCATTAGTTTTCGAGATATCTGAGAAAGAATAGGGGGACCTTCTTGTTCTCCACTACTTTCCTAACAAATTGTTGAATAACAAATGATAGAGGAGATAAATTGAGTGGTACTCGTGGATGGGCCTTCTTGGACGGTTTTCCTGGATTCCCGTGCGCCTCTTCTTGAAGTCATCGTCCCGAAATGTCCTTCAACTCTCATAGAGACAATTTTGAGTCCACCAGGAGGCACACGAGAGAATCGCGAAAGTACATGATCGAACGAAGGGGAACAACTATTACCAAAACAATAATCAACATTGTTTCTGTCCTTTTTAAGTGATTGAATTAATTAAAAAAACGACTTACTCACTCGTCTAAGGGTGCCCAACTGCCTTAAAACTATTATGAAGTTCTGAGCGAGCACTGCCACACAATAAAGCACACAGGGACGCAGAAAATTGTAATTGAAGCATTAGAGGAGGATAATAAAGTCTAGGTGTGATTGAGTGAAGTAAAATGATGATTACTATCACCTCGAGTATTTTTTTCTCATATTTTTGGCTTTGCAAAATCGAATTTAACCATGAGAAACGATTGAAATATTTCATTCCATGGGAGTGGTAAAACAGACATTTATCGCTGCAAATATCTCAGAAAATGGTGGATTTAGATGAAAATGTAATTTCACATTTTCGCTGAACCTTACATTTTCGGAGAAATCAACGAAAAAAATGATCTTGCCACTTCAATTGCTACTCAATTCTGTCAGTTTCTCGGTAAAATGGACATCAGTCATTTGAAAAATCACGGAAAATACTGTCTAAACCCTCAAACAATGATCTAGATGTTCAATGTTCATAAGAGATAATTCTAGAAACCGTGAATCTGTCGTTCCAGAGCGAATAATGTTCTATATTATGGAAATAACCTTCGTACTTACCCCTCTAACCTTCAAATCACGTTATTACGTCGACGAGCGACGAATCAATCCATTGTTCACTGATACACAACACTTTATCACACACGACTTCACTATTTTCGAGTATTTTTACTGTTAAAACTCACCGGTGGCGTCTGTTTCTGTGCCATACGCGGAACAACGCAATGTTACTCATCGACACTGTAGCTCCCACTGTTAGCCCTCAGCCCCCCACTCCCGCTCTTCTATCCCCGCCACTTCCGACTGATGTTCTTCCTCAATTTTTTCCATGGATTTTATTGGTTGAAATAGTGGATACAGGAGAAATTAGTTGATTTTTCAGGTGAAGTGGTAAAAGAAAATGAAAAACAAAATTGTTAATTGAGGTTACGTTCCGATATCTCTTCAAGTCGTCACTTTAGAGAAAAATGCCATTAAATTTTTTTTATAGCTTTTATAACTTTTTTTGTAGTCTTTGAATTTTTCCATAAGAAAGGTAGAATGGTAAATTTTCCTAGGCCGCTTCCCTTTCGAGATATTACCGAAAAATCCAGTAATTCATTCGTTCTCAATTTGTTTTCCCTTCTACCACTTCACAAATTTATCCTTTTACTTCATGAAATCACGAAAAACAAAATGAAGTAAATTATAGTTTAAAATTGCCGTTCGACTCTAGTATCCGTATCGAAGGGCTTAGAATTGTCTTCTCAAAAGTATTTCGGGGACGAGAGTTTCTCTAGTGTAAATAGTTAAGCAGGATTAATAATTTATTGTAGTTAGGAGAATATTTATATGTTAAACGACTTAAACGTAATGAATAATGAATTAAAAATCCATTAAGATGATCGCACACGCTGAGATCAACACAAGTGTTGCAAAGAGGAAAAAACTAATAAAAAAAAAAATCTATGCGTGATAGATTAATTATAAACGAAACAGGATAATTAGCAAAAAATCGAAAACAAGAGTAAGAGAAGCTAATTGTGAAGTTATTACGAGTGAAGAAGTCTAACTTGTCTGATAAATTTATGGAAAATTATGAACATTTAATGCATACCTAAATGGATAGGATGACTGATTTCTGTATTTATGGTTTTTTAATTGAAATTGGGTATCTACAGGTGGAGCAGTCCCTGCAGCAAATGGCTGTTCACAAAATTAGGGGAATCCCACGAAAAAGAAAATTCCTAAAAGCCATTTACCAGCAGCAACTGCTCCACTTCCAACCTATATCCTTAAAATATATTTGCGAAGCTGCGAGGGGAGCAAGCATTGTAAGAAAGACTGCTTACGTCAATTTTCAATAAGAAATTGTTAAGTTAGAAATGATGAAAATTATCTCAGAATTTACTACCAAAAACAAAAAGTGAAAAAAAAAACGAAAAAAAAACGTGATCTTTGTGAAGTTTTTAGTTCTGTTGAAGAGGCATTTATACACATGCGAATTTTCATTTACAGGGACTAAATTTGTGAAATAAAAAACGTTATTGAATGATTATTAACAAAGTCATGAGCGTCTTTGTGTCTTATATGCATAATAAAATGACGTTGAATATTTCGACTCGATGATTCCACATAAATCATTACATTTGTGTTCATTCATCTCTTGTCTCACAATTATTTATTTAAAAAATAGATTCATTGGGTTTAAATATATTAGTCTAATTTTTTTTCTGGAGTTTCTTCCTTCTTTATTAATACTTGGGTGTGTCAATGCCGACTTTCGATTGAAGGCCTGATGGAAGCTCGTCGTAAACGATCTTGGGAACAGTTTCTACAAATAAAAAAGTCCATAAACAATTCATTTTTCAAGAGATAAATTCCTTAAAAAGTAGAATAAAAAAATAATCCTCAAGAAAATTTGACCCTCCGCCTATCTCTCCCACTTGACCCTCAAGACTGTTTGTCCCTCGACAATGTGTGACCCTTCATCATTTTTTTCAGCAATAGACATGCTAAAGAAAGGTATCTCAATTTTGCTCGCCTTTGACCCAAACTTTGCCCCACGTTCTCCCATTTTTTAAAATCGAAAAAAATTATCAACTGACCTCGGCAGCTGTACTGCAAGTGTGACCACCTGATCATCTCCTGGGAGAAGCAGAAGACCCCTAACCTTCCTCCCTTGAGCACAGAATTGAAGATATTCCCGGAATCAGCGACAGTCTTCTCCCCCTGATAGATCCAGAGCCTGATAAGTCCGATTCTGGGCCTGTGCAGCAGCTCCCACCTGTAGGAGGTCTTCTCCTTCCAGCCGACATTCTGGGGGTCCTTCCAGAGGAGTGTCACCTGGCTGGGTGTGCTCTCCGTGTGCCAGAGGCTGTTTCTGAGCTCTCGTCCAGGTCCCGTCTCAGAGTCAACGAGTTTCAGCTGAATTCCAGGTTCGGCAACCGCTCTGAAGGGCTCGGAACGCCAGTAGGTCTGCGGACTCTTCTTCCACATCACCACGTAGAACTTGCGATTGTTCTGGTAGGCGAATACGAAGCCTATGTAGTCGTCGTCGATGTCTGTGTTGACGAACATCGTGCCTTCGTAGTTTACACCAGCGAATTTGTCCAGTCCTTGGATTGTAAAAAAAAAAGAAAGGGGTTGATTAAGGGGCGCAAAATTGACCCTTGGGGCGAAGAGTTGGATGGGAGAGACGGGGGGAGTTATCAAAAGGGTCAGAGTTGTAAGGGTCAAATGGGAGAGCAGATGTTCGCTGATTGTTTCAACTCTCCCGTTTAACCCTTACGATTGTTTGACCCTTTTGGTAAGTTTCCTCGACTCTCCCGTTTGACCTTTAAAGATATACGACAGGTAGGTTTATCTGGAAGGTCAAAGGTGCTTGAGGGTCGAGTTGAAAGACCCAATCGGGAGAGTTAAAAAAAAGAATCAAAAGACTTTTCTTACTCTCTCGTTTGACCCTTGAGGACGCTTGACATATGGAGTTATCAAAAAAGTCAGAAGAAAGAGCAGATGTTTGCTAATTGTTTCATTCAACTCTCCCGTTTAACCCTTACGATTGTTTGACCCTTTCGGTAAGTTCACTGGGCTCTCCCGTTTGACCTTTAAAGATACACGACAGGTGGATTTATCTGGAAGGTCAAAGGTGCTTGAGGGCCAAACAAGAGGGTTAATAGAAACAATTAGAACTCTTGTCTTGCTCTCCCATTTGACCCTTCCGATAACTCCCTCTATCTGACAAACAGGAATTACCAATGGCAATTCCAGGATCGCTGTTGATAGTCTGTGTAATCTCCGCTCCATCATCGTGAATCAGCCAATTGGGATCGACCTGAGCATCTCCCACTGGATCCAACGCAATAGTCTCGTACTTCCTGAAATCTGTTGTCCAAATCTGACTGTTGTTCGGGCAATTGTCGTAAGGATTCGCTATTGTATCGTTGTCGTTGTCATCCCAACAGGCATCACCACTTGGTCCACCTGTTTTATAAGAACCAAATGAGTAAATTAGTAAAAAGGAAGATAACGAGTGACTAATTACATTGACGACTTTCAAAAGTCTAAGGAAATTCCAATAGTAATGAAACTTCGAGGGCGCAAGTATACCTCACCTTTCGTTGTTTCCTGTCGTGGATTGTATACATAAGGACAGTTATCAACGACATTGGGTACCCCATCACCGTCGATATCCTCATCACAAGCATCTCCCTTTCCATCATTATCAGTGTCACGTTGATCGGCGTTCGGTACATCTGGGCAGTTGTCAATGTCATCCTGATATCCATCCCTGTCCCTGTCACGATTGTTGTCACAGGCATCACCAACTCCATCCCTATCCGCATCATTCTGATTGCGATTGGCTACTCCTGGACAATTGTCACACGCATCTCCCACTCCATCCCCATCTCTGTCGTACTGGTCCTCGTTTTTGACGTAGGGACAGTTGTCATTGTCATTCAGAAGGCCTGAAGACATCAAAATTAACGTCTCCAATGAAAAGGATTGAGAGGAATCAGAGGTATGAAAAAATTCAATAGAAAACCTCAACGAATTGGTGAGAGGGTCAAAATCCCTTATTTTATTATTTGATTATAAGTCTATTTCATGTTACAAGAAGGAGTAATGGAGATGATCTTTGTGCCCCTGTGAACCCTTGGGACCTTTAGGGTCGTAAGGGCCGTAAGGGTTTTAAGGGTCAAGAGGGTCAAAATCCCGTATTTGATTATAAGTCTATTTCATGTTACAAGAAGGAGTAATGGAGGTGATCTTTGCGCCCCTGTGGACCCTTGGGACCTTTAGAGTCGTAAGGGCCTTATAAGGGTTATAAGGGTCAAGAGGGTCAAAATCCCTTATTTGATTATAAGTCTATTTGATGTCACAAGAAGGGGTAATGGAGGTGATCTTTGTGCCCCTGGGGACCCTTGGGACCTTAAGGGTCGTAAGGGCCGTAAGGGTCACAGGGTATAGCAGGGTTAATAGGGTCAAGAGGGTCAAAAAGGGGTAACGGAGGTGATCTTTGTGCCCCTGTGGACCCTTGGGACCTTTAGAGTCGTAAGGGCCGTAAGGGTTATAAGGGTCAAAATCCCTTATTTGATTATAAGTCTATTTCATGTTACAAGAAGGGGCAACTGAGGTGATCTTTGTGCCCCTGAGGACCCTTAGGACCTTAAGGGTCGTAAGGGCCGTAAGGGTCACAGGGTATAGCAGGGTTAATAGGGTCAAAAAGGGGTAACGGAGGTGATCTTTGTGCCGTTCTTTTGGCTTTTTGGTGTTCTCACCATCATTATCGATATCAGGATCGCAGGCATCTCCCAGCTCATCTCCATCGGTGTTTCTCTGGTCTGGATTGTAGACGGAGGGGCAATTATCGCAAACATCGCCGATCTCGTCCTTGCGGTCGCGATCGGTGTCCTCTTGTTCTCGATTGGCGTCGAGAGGGCAGTTGTCCGAGGAGTTTAGGACACCGTCGTCATCGGCATCGTCGTCACAGGCGTCTCCTATGCTGTCACCGTCTGCGTCCTCTTGACCACTGTTGGGCACGTAACGACAGTTGTCAGCTTCGATTATTTCCCCGTCACTCCTGAGCTCCTCGTCCGGGTGTCCGTCGTTGTCGGTGTCTAGACCGCAGACGTAACCATCTCCTGCCCATCCAACTTGACACTGATAATCATCAATTCATTTATTGATTTTGTTTGGGATTGCGGGGTCGGGGATTATGGAAGGGAATGGGGTTGACGGAGGGTGAACAGTGAATCCTTGGGGTAGAGAAGGGTAAAAAAATGTTCATTTTTTCAATGTTCATTCTCTAGGGGACAATGAAACGGCCAGAGACAACAGAGTTGCCAGATATGAAGTTGTAATTGAGGGAGAAGAATTACCTGACAAGTGTATTCGACATTTGGTACGATACACTTGCACGAAGCCCGTTCATGGCATACGGTAACTCTATCAGGGCAGACGTTACCCGCCTCGTGACATCCGACTGACTGATTGCCCCTGAACCCTGGGAGGCAAGGTCCACATCTAGACGAACCCTGCAATTAATTCAAAGTTTTGAACTGATTGACAAAAATTATATCTGTGGGTGTCCGGAGAAATGATCCCTGAGAGCAATTTAGGAAACTCATTTTCGACCCTCGAGACCACTCGACAATTCAAGAAACTTTTTTTGGTTTCCAGTTGAGGGTCAAATGACCCTTAAGAAGGTTTGAAGTTGAGGGTCAAATGGTCTTCACGGTCAAAGAAACCGGGAAAACTTTTAGGATTAAGGGTCAAATAGTTTTAAGGGTCGTTTGTCCTTTAAAACAATTTCACCCCCAATTCCAAAGATCTTCAAGGGTCATTTGACCCTTACGACCACTGACCCTCAGCCCCGAAGGTCATTAAGGGTCGTTTGACCCTCGAGACCATTCAAGAAACTTTTTTGGTTGCTTCCAGTTGAGGGTCAAACAAAATTGCAAGCAAAAAACTCAATTTTCCCAATTAAAATCCCTTCAATCCACCCCTAGAACACACCTCAGTATTGATGCACTGCGAATTGGGTACGCATCCCCCATTTCGTCCATCGTTGCACTCGTTGATGTCCACACATCCAGCTCGTGAGCCTCGGAAGCCCGCAGGACACTGTATGCATCTATCGACGGGCAGCAGGCATTTACACGGAATTTGGGTGGGTAAATATTGACTTATTTATTCATTGCCCATCCACCCAGTCATTCTCTCACTCCATTCAATTCCACTCCTATCTCACTCATCTTCGTAATCAATGACTAGATATAATCGATAATACTATTGGCTTCACTAAAATCATCAATTATTGTTGTTTATCTGGTTCTAATTAAAAGGGGAAGAGGGGCGTAATAATTAAATTCGGGATTTCATCTTATTTTCATAATCTTTTTCCTTTCGAATACCTTTTTTTATGTAATTACAAGTATTATTTAAGTACAAGTAGAGGAGTTTGAGTGCAGAGAGATGAAAAGAAGAAAAATTAATTGATTTTTGTAAATTAAGAAAAAAATTTAAATGATGTAATGAAATGAGAAATTAATAACTGAAGTACATTTGCTCTTAATAAAAAGAATTGTGAATCCATCTCTGTCGTAAAAAATTGTGGATCGATTTTTCAAATTTGTTATTATTATTTCTCATTTCATTGGTAAAAAAAATTATAGAAACATAAAAATTCTCCCGAGAGAATTTTTTTTTCACACAGCGTTTGAGGATAATTTTAAGTGCTCATTGATATGGAATTTCTAATAATTGTTCCAGGTTGGACGGTCGCACCTGTAAGACCCCGGTGTGTTCTTGCACTCCTGCTGTGGTCCACACGGATTGTGGAGATCACATTCGTCGACATCACGACACTCGGAGCCGACTAAAACGAAGCCAGGTAAGCAGCCCTGGCAGCGGTAGTACGGATGCTCCAGGTGGGGGTGACAGGAGCCGCCGTGACCACACGGACTCCTCTCGCAGTGATTCATGATGCGGCTGCAGCGCTCGCCGTCACCGGTGTATCCTGGTGGACAGGGCCCACATCTGGGATGAAGAGTGATTTGATTATTTGAATTTTCAGAAGATAATAATAATTTTTAGGAAATAACAATTTTTTTAAACATCCTTAATTGGCCCAATTTATATAAGCAAATATAGAAAACAACATATATTTTAAATATATAAAATATAGATATTTATGAAAATATATATTTGTAATATTTGTAGTTATATATATTTTACATAACTATATTTTAAAGATTATCTTTTTAAAATATATTCTTTATAAATTTGAAAAATATATGGAATTGGCCCATATTATATATATTTCTTAGGGGAGGATGGGGTAAAATGGACACTTGAGAATTTTTTTAAATTACTCATAACTCAGAAAAAAATTTATCAATTGAGCTCAGTTTAGGCTCATTACAAAGGGAAAGAAATGTTCTTTGCATTGAAAAAAAAATTAGTGAATTTCATCAACATTTCAAGCTGTCATTAACATTTTTAAAAAAGTCAAAAGTGTCCACTTTACCCCAACCTCCCCTATATATTGTAAAGTTATAACCATTTATCCATGGAAAGAGTATTAAATAAATGGGGCGAAAACAATGATTAAAAGATATAAAATGAAGAAGAGACATGTCCGCGGAGTAGGAAATGAGATGAAAGAATAACGAGTTGGAAAGAGACGATCGTACATGGAGGTGGCAACAATATTTCTTTATGGGAGCTTCACCTGTAGCCTCGACTCGAGTCCTCACACCTCACCCCCTGGAAGCACGGATTCTCCTGACAAGTGCGGACCCTCTCGCACTGGATTCCATTGCCCATCCAACCCGGTGGACAGACGCACGTGGGACCAGCCGCTGTGTCTCTGCAGGCTGCTGCCGCATGACACGAAGGTGGATTGTAACTGCAGGTTGGCCGCGGCGGGGGTGGAGGGGTCGTGGGCATTACTACAATAAACCGCAAATTCACGAATTCATATCAAATAAATTACGAATTACTCAGTATTTATTTAGAAACACTATTTCAGTATTTTGAGGAATTATTTTACCGATGAATCCTGGCTTGCAGGCATTGCACTCTTCAACGAGCTTTCTGATGTAACGAGTCTCCTGGGTCTGGAAAAAACGAAATCGAAATGGAAATGAATGAATAAATAGGAGAAACAAATCTCCAAGCATTTCTTTCTATTGTAACAGCATTCCTGCGACTTACATTTATCTGAAGCTCTTCCCAAATTCGTTTCGTAAATTCAATGAGTGAATTCAGAGTTTTAATGAGCGTTCGTTCGCCAATACAACCATCTGAAATATAACAATTCGTTGAAACGCGAAGTTGAAGGGAATTTCACTTGTACACTATTAAGGTTTTATATTTTTAGCTTTGAAAATAATTAGGGGAGGGTAGGGTAAAAGGGACACTTTAGATTTTTTTAGAATTCTTCATAACTCAGAAATAAATGTATCAATAGAGCTCAGCTTAGGCTCATCACAAAGGGAAAGAATTGTTCTTTATATTAAAAAAAAAAGATTAAATTTCATCAACATTTCAACCCGTCACGAATATTTAAAAAAAAGTTAAAAGTGTCCATTTTACCCAAACCCCCCCATTTCCATTTTTTATTTTTTTAAAATTTTTATCATTTTTTTATTTCCCTCTACCGGAAATTCTTCATAAAAATTCTGCCATTTCCATGGCATTCAGAAATATCAGGTCGAAAAGATTTCACTATAGGAAAAAGGCGCCAAACTATTGTGCGCCGGAATAAATGGCGGACAGTATGCGTCAGAGAGCAACAAACGCAGGCATCTCCGTCCATTGTCCGAAATTATCGAAGTATTGAAGACAATTAGTTTCTCCGAGTGTTCGAGTGTTAATTGTAGTGCTGTGGACTGGAATAATTGAATTTCAAAATAGTCGAAAAGAAGGGAATATGGGGAAAAATTCGTTCAAACACTAGTTTGACTACAAGAAGTCGGCACCAAACGGTTGCGCGCCAGAATAAATGGCGGACAGTATGCGTCAGACAACAACAAACGCCGCAGTGTGTCTCCAATACTCAAATTACTCCCGAAAAAATGGAGAAAAGACTGATAAATTGGTGAATATCAATAAACAGTGGATTTAATTTCGTGAACAGTGATAATTCGACGGAATTTATCATTGAAAACAAGTGAATTGGGAACATAAAGGTTAGATTTCCTTCAAATCGACGCTCAAGTGAGTGATTCCGACAGTCAGTTGTCTGAAATTCCCGAAGTATTGAAGACAATTCGTTTCCCCGAGTGTTCGAGTGTTAATTGTAGTGCTGTGGACTGAAATAATTGAATTTCAAAATAGTTGAAAAGAAGGGAATATGGGGAAAAATTCGTTCAAACACTAGTTTGACTACCAGAAGTAGGCACCAAACAGTTGGGCGCCAGAATAAACAGCGGGCAGTATGCGTCAGACAACAACAAACGCCGCAGTGTGTTTCCAATACTCAAATTACTCCCGAAAAAATGGAGAAAAGACTGATAAATTGGTGAATATCAATAAACAGTGGATTTAATTTCGTGAACAGTGATAATTCGACGGAATTTATCATTGAAAACAAGTGAATTGGGAACATAAAGGTTAGATTTCCTTCAACTCGACGCTGAAGTGAGTGATTCCGACAGTCAATTGTCCGGAATTATCGAAATATTGAAGACAATTCGTTTCCCCGAGTGTTCGAGTGTTAATTGTTGTGCTGTGGACTGGAATAATTGAATTTCAAAATAGTTGAAAAGAAGGGAATATGGGGAAAAATTCGTTCAAACACTAGTTTGACTACCAGAAGTAGGCACCAAACAGTTGCGCGCCAGAATAAACAGCGGGCAGTATGCGTCAGACAACAACAAACGCCGCAGTGTGTTTCCAATACTCAAATTACTCCCGAAAAAATGGAGAAAAGACTGATAAATTGGTGAATATCAATAAACAGTGGATTTAATTTCGTGAACAGTGATAATTCGACGGAATTTATCATTGAAAACAAGTGAATTGGGAACATAAAGGTTAGATTTCCTTCAACTCGACGCTGAAGTGAGTGATTCCGACAGTCAATTGTCCGAAATTATCGAAGTATTGAAGACAATTCGTTTCTCCGAGTGTTCGAGTGTTAATTGTTGTGATGTGGACTGGAATAATTAAAATTTAAGTGTCTGTGAGGCGATACAACGGAGTAAATGTGGCGATGAAGACATCTCCAATGGAGCTGGCACGTCTGGACCGGCATTGCTCGACATTGGTGAGTGAATTAATTAATTATTAAATTATTACTTACTTATCTCGTCGATTGTGTGGATACTCGGCTGGTCCCCCCTTCTCCTCACTCTAGTGGAGACATTGGCAGTTGGAAAATCGTAATCAACGTCATGTAGATTGTTCGTGAGGCACTCCGCGTGCTTCCAACCGTCCCTTATCCTCGATCTCCTGTAGATCTTTGGACTGTACTTTCTCTCCCTGAACTGGTGACAATTACATGAATCAATTTCCTCAATTTTATCTAAATTAATTATTTATTAGTCAGAAAGACAAGGAAATGGAGAAGAAGAAGGAATGGAGATGCATTCTTTTGGATATATCTGAGGATCTAGTGGATTTGGAGGAAAATGTCACAAAACATTTTTTGTAGAGAATTTCATAATCTACAAAGATGGTTTTATGACATTTTTCCCTAAACCCATTAGATTCCGAGATATTCGCAAAATAATGACATATCAGTCGTTTATTTCCAAATCTAACACGACTCTCGAATTAATACTTCAGGCCCAGGAAATTGTTCAGGAAATTGTGTTTTATTCGTCATAAAGAAAGCCTCGCGAGCCCGGCAAAAGTGAAAATCCCGATAAATCGAAATTTCACGTAAACAAAAACATTGAAATGGAACGTAGACGCAGACAGTTCGATTCCTCAATCTCTTGGTTCCATATTTAGAATCTAGTCCGTCCCACGAGAGTTCACTGCTCACAGACGCAATGTACCTTCAGTTTATGCATTTTTATGCTGTTATTCGTGTTTTATTTATCGTGATAAAAATCGGGGGGGAAGACAGGCTGTGAAATCTCGCGGATACGCCCATATGTGTGCTACTACTGAGATTGGGAAATCGGATTTCTGAGTTAGTCTGTTTATCGAGTGCGTGGGTGAAGCCTCAGGCGTTTGTACAGACTACCTACATGATTAATTTCATTATTTACCGAATTTTCAAATCCCTAAGATTTTATACATCATCCGATTGAAGATGAGAACGTCTTCTACCCTCAACAACTCGAGAAGGGCGGCGTGAAATTTCCCGTTTTGTTTTAAATTTAAGGATATTTAAGTATATTTTACAGTTTGGTACAGACCACAGCATAGATTCAACCATTTTCGACAATCAAATTAGTCAATTAAATTGCGTGAGAAAAATTTGAAAAGAATCAGGAATGTTCAGCGTCATTGAAATTACATTTTGCGCAGAATTATTATTCGTTTAAACATTCGTTGTTTATAAGCAAATAATTACAATTTATTTGATGATTGAATGGTTGTTAATGGTGTAAAATTCGTTGTTTATAAATCATTTATTGAAAATGCTAGTAATTTTCAATAAATAATTTATAAACAACGCTTGCCCCAAAAGTAAACTTTCAACTTTTTGTCACATGGATCAGTGCTGGCTCTTGCCAGTGATTATTTATTTACCACTTGGAACGTTGACTCCTCAAGCCCCTGCTCCATAGCATCTCTGAATGTCGTATTTAGGGGAATCTCTCCACTGAGACGGCAGTCCACGTAGACGTCGATCTTAGAATTCGGCTTCTTCTGGTGGATCATGAAGATTATGTTCCTCTTCGGTTCGGACACATTCACGTTACCGATTTCTATCTGTTGCCTTCCATCGTCGTTGTCCACTACAGTCTCCAGAAATACTAAAAAAATTGTGACATTTTTTCTGAGGAGGCCCAATGTTTAAATTTAAATTGAATATTTTTTCAAAATTCAGATCATTTTTCTGTCCCTATAGATAATTGTTTATAATAATTCTCATTGCAAAAAGCAATACGACTGATGCAAATCATCTGCCCCAATTCATCAGCTGTTGGATTTTTATATTACAATAAATTATTTGCTCATGTTCTAATTCCTATGCTCACTGAATAAGATTTTAATCGTAATTACAATTCAATTTCTTCTAGAACACACTTTGGAGTGTGAATTTCGGGAATTCAACGTTTGTTGATACTCTGGTAAAAGTGCGTGGCCACGCTGTTATCAATTTTTAATTAGTTCACACGGTAATTCAATTAATCTGTTGTTCATCTCATCAATATGATTCCGTGCTTAGAATATTGTCATCTCGTGTGTTCAGCACAAAATTAAAAATTAAAACTTCATTTGGAATATTGAGTCACAGCTTCTTTTTATTCATATCAGAAATTTTGTAGTTGGATATTAATATTGTTTGTTCAAAGTGAAAAAATCGATCATCATTTTCACTAGATTGCATTCAGATTCTTCTATCCTTAACGTCAAAAATGTGAGATAATCTCATTCTTCTGGCTATTAATTATAATCAACTTTGTTCGAGGAAAACCTTGGGAAACGCAATATTAAGAAAGTTGAATTATTCTATTTTCCTCTGATCTGAATGATTTGGACAATTATGATTCGTTTATTCGTCGTTCATAGAATGGTATTCAATTTTCTTTTGCTTATTCGGCGGGCTTCATGAAAATTCGACGCAAGACGAATGTGCCCATGAGAACCGCCTTACTTTCTCCACTCGCTCGAGATATTGTCCATGCTTTTTTCTGAGAAAGGAAAAGACGAAAGTTTTGTGGAGTTGTTTTCTGTAAAAACCGAGCATAATTACCTCTTCTTGCAGTAGCATCAAACATAAGTAGAAATTTTGTTTTTGGGTGGCCATACTTGGCAGCTACTAGGGTCTGTTTCCCCGCATGATGGCTGAACTTTTTCTCCCTTGGATGTCTCACAACTATCGCGAAGACGTCGTCGTACTGGGCTTCCTCGAAACTCCGAGTTAAACCTAAAAAATAAGGAGAGAATGCCATAATTTAAAAACAGCAAATTAAATTCAATTCAATTGCCTTTTAATATGAAAAAATGTGAATCGTCTGTCTCCTCTCACTATTCTATTCTACTCCATTCTATTTTAATTTCAAAACTGAGAGGAACAGTGGAAGCACAAATTGAACCTCTGAACGTCGTGATTTGAATTCTATTTCCAAGAGGAACACTGGATTTTCTGAGATTGATCACAGGTCGCACAGGGAATAGGTTATAAGGCTCTATCTCTCATAGTTTCCGAGATAATCGCGAAAAACGAAATTGCCAAAAAAAATTAATTTAATTCATCTTGTATAGGGTGTAGGAAGTGGAAAAACGCAATTCTGAGCCGTCCATCTGCCTATACGGAACCCAAATTTCCTCAGGAATCGAATGGAATAGGTTTTAAGGCTCTATCTCTCATAGTTTCCGAGATAATCGCGAAAAACGAAAATGCCAAAAAAAATTAATTTAATTCATCTTGTATAGGGTGTAGGAAGTGGAAAAACGCAATTCTGAGCCGTCCATCTGCCTATACGGAACCCAAATTTCCTCAGGAATCGAATGGAATAGGTTTTAAGGCTCTATCTCTCATAGTTTCCGAGATAATCGCGAAAAACGAAAATGCCAAAAAAAATTAATTTAATTCATCTTGTATAGGGTGTAGGAAGTGGAAAAACGCAATTCTGAGCCGTCCATCTGCCTATACGGAACCCAAATTTCCTCAGGAATCGAATGGAATAGGTTTTAAGGCTCTATCTCTCATAGTTTCCGAGATAATCGCGAAAAACGAAAATGCCAAAAAAAATTAATTTAATTCATCTTGTATAGGGTGTAGGAAGTGGAAAAACGCAATTCTGAGCCGTCCATCTGCCTATACGGAACCCAAATTTCCTCAGGAATCGAATGGAATAGGTTTTAAGGCTCTATCTCTCATAGTTTCCGAGATAATCGCGAAAAACGAAAATGCCAAAAAAAATTAATTTAATTCATCTTGTATAGGGTGTAGGAAGTGGAAAAACGCAATTCTGAGCCGTCCATCTGCCTATACGGAACCCAAATTTCCTCAGGAATCGAATGGAATAGGTTTTAAGGCTCTATCTCTCATAGTTTCCGAGATAATCGCGAAAAACGAAAATGCCAAAAAAAATTAATTTAATTCATCTTGTATAGGGTGTAGGAAGTGGAAAAACGCAATTCTGAGCCGTCCATCTGCCTATACGGAACCCAAATTTCCTCAGGAATCGAATGGAATAGGTTTTAAGGCTCTATCTCTCATAGTTTCCGAGATAATCGCGAAAAACGAAAATGCCAAAAAAAATTAATTTAATTCATCTTGTATAGGGTGTAGGAAGTGGAAAAACGCAATTCTGAGCCGTCCATCTGCCTATACGGAACCCAAATTTCCTCAGGAATCGAATGGAATAGGTTTTAAGGCTCTATCTCTCATAGTTTCCGAGATAATCGCGAAAAACGAAAATGCCAAAAAAAATTAATTTAATTCATCTTGTATAGGGTGTAGGAAGTGGAAAAACGCAATTCTGAGCCGTCCATCTGCCTATACGGAACCCAAATTTCCTCAGGAATCGAATGGAATAGGTTTTAAGGCTCTATCTCTCATAGTTTCCGAGATAATCGCGAAAAACGAAAATGCCAAAAAAAATTAATTTAATTCATCTTGTATAGGGTGTAGGAAGTGGAAAAACGCAATTCTGAGCCGTCCATCTGCCTATACGGAACCCAAATTTCCTCAGGAATCGAATGGAATAGGTTTTAAGGCTCTATCTCTCATAGTTTCCGAGATAATCGCGAAAAACGAAAATGCCAAAAAAAATTAATTTAATTCATCTTGTATAGGGTGTAGGAAGTGGAAAAACGCAATTCTGAGCCGTCCATCTGCCTATACGGAACCCAAATTTCCTCAGGAATCGAATGGAATAGGTTTTAAGGCTCTATCTCTCATAGTTTCCGAGATAATCGCGAAAAACGAAAATGCCAAAAAAAATTAATTTAATTCATCTTGTATAGGGTGTAGGAAGTGGAAAAACGCAATTCTGAGCCGTCCATCTGCCTATACGGAACCCAAATTTCCTCAGGAATCGAATGGAATAGGTTTTAAGGCTCTATCTCTCATAGTTTCCGAGATAATCGCGAAAAACGAAAATGCCAAAAAAAATTAATTTAATTCATCTTGTATAGGGTGTAGGAAGTGGAAAAACGCAATTCTGAGCCGTCCATCTGCCTATACGGAACCCAAATTTCCTCAGGAATCGAATGGAATAGGTTTTAAGGCTCTATCTCTCATAGTTTCCGAGATAATCGCGAAAAACGAAAATGCAAAAAAAAATTAATTTAATTCATCTTGTATAGGGTGTAGGAAGTGGAAAAACGCAATTCTGAGCCGTCCATCTGCCTATACGGAACCCAAATTTCCTCAGGAATCGAATGGAATAGGTTTTAAGGCTCTATCTCTCATAGTTTCCGAGATAATCGCGAAAAACGAAAATGCCAAAAAAAATTAATTTAATTCATCTTGTATAGGGTGTAGGAAGTGGAAAAACGCAATTCTGAGCCGTCCATCTGCCTATACGGAACCCAAATTTCCTCAGGAATCGAATGGAATAGGTTTTAAGGCTCTATCTCTCATAGTTTCCGAGATAATCGCGAAAAACGAAAATGCAAAAAAAAATTAATTTAATTCATCTTGTATAGGGTGTAGGAAGTGGAAAAACGCAATTCTGAGCCGTCCATCTGCCTATACGGAACCCAAATTTCCTCAGGAATCGAATGGAATAGGTTTTAAGGCTCTATCTCTCATAGTTTCCGAGATAATCGCGAAAAACGAAAATGCAAAAAAAAATTAATTTAATTCATCTTGTATAGGGTGTAGGAAGTGGAAAAACGCAATTCTGAGCCGTCCATCTGCCTATACGGAACCCAAATTTCCTCAGGAATCGAATGGAATAGGTTTTAAGGCTCTATCTCTCATAGTTTCCGAGATAATCGCGAAAAACGAAAATGCAAAAAAAAATTAATTTAATTCATCTTGTATAGGGTGTAGGAAGTGGAAAAACGCAATTCTGAGCCGTCCATCTGCCTATACGGAACCCAAATTTCCTCAGGAATCGAATGGAATAGGTTTTAAGGCTCTATCTCTCATAGTTTCCGAGATAATCGCGAAAAACGAAAATGCAAAAAAAAATTAATTTAATTCATCTTGTATAGGGTGTAGGAAGTGGAAAAACGCAATTCTGAGCCGTCCATCTGCCTATACGGAACCCAAATTTCCTCAGGAATCGAATGGAATAGGTTTTAAGGCTCTATCTCTCATAGTTTCCGAGATAATCGCGAAAAACGAAAATGCCAAAAAAAATTAATTTAATTCATCTTGTATAGGGTGTAGGAAGTGGAAAAACGCAATTCTGAGCCGTCCATCTGCCTATACGGAACCCAAATTTCCTCAGGAATCGAATGGAATAGGTTTTAAGGCTCTATCTCTCATAGTTTCCGAGATAATCGCGAAAAACGAAAATGCCAAAAAAAATTAATTTAATTCATCTTGTATAGGGTGTAGGAAGTGGAAAAACGCAATTCTGAGCCGTCCATCTGCCTATACGGAACCCAAATTTCCTCAGGAATCGAATGGAATAGGTTTTAAGGCTCTATCTCTCATAGTTTCCGAGATAATCGCGAAAAACGAAAATGCCAAAAAAAATTAATTTAATTCATCTTGTATAGGGTGTAGGAAGTGGAAAAACGCAATTCTGAGCCGTCCATCTGCCTATACGGAACCCAAATTTCCTCAGGAATCGAATGGAATAGGTTTTAAGGCTCTATCTCTCATAGTTTCCGAGATAATCGCGAAAAACGAAAATGCAAAAAAAAATTAATTTAATTCATCTTGTATAGGGTGTAGGAAGTGGAAAAACGCAATTCTGAGCCGTCCATCTGCCTATACGGAACCCAAATTTCCTCAGGAATCGAATGGAATAGGTTTTAAGGCTCTATCTCTCATAGTTTCCGAGATAATCGCGAAAAACGAAAATGCAAAAAAAAATTAATTTAATTCATCTTGTATAGGGTGTAGGAAGTGGAAAAACGCAATTCTGAGCCGTCCATCTGCCTATACGGAACCCAAATTTCCTCAGGAATCGAATGGAATAGGTTTTAAGGCTCTATCTCTCATAGTTTCCGAGATAATCGCGAAAAACGAAAATGCAAAAAAAAATTAATTTAATTCATCTTGTATAGGGTGTAGGAAGTGGAAAAACGCAATTCTGAGCCGTCCATCTGCCTATACGGAACCCAAATTTCCTCAGGAATCGAATGGAATAGGTTTTAAGGCTCTATCTCTCATAGTTTCCGAGATAATCGCGAAAAACGAAAATGCAAAAAAAAATTAATTTAATTCATCTTGTATAGGGTGTAGGAAGTGGAAAAACGCAATTCTGAGCCGTCCATCTGCCTATACGGAACCCAAATTTCCTCAGGAATCGAATGGAATAGGTTTTAAGGCTCTATCTCTCATAGTTTCCGAGATAATCGCGAAAAACGAAAATGCCAAAAAAAATTAATTTAATTCATCTTGTATAGGGTGTAGGAAGTGGAAAAACGCAATTCTGAGCCGTCCATCTGCCTATACGGAACCCAAATTTCCTCAGGAATCGAATGGAATAGGTTTTAAGGCTCTATCTCTCATAGTTTCCGAGATAATCGCGAAAAACGAAAGTGCCAAAAAAATTTAATTTAATTTGTCTTGTATAGGGTGTAGGACGTGGAAAAACGCAATTCGGAGCCGTCCACCGTCCTATAGGGAACCCAAAATTGGTTTTAAGGCTCTATCTCTCATAGTTTCCGAGATAATCGCGAAAAACGAAAGTGCCAAAAAAAATTAATTCAATTCATCTTGTATAGGGTGTAGGAAGTGGAAAAACGTAATTCTGAGCCGTCCACCTGCCTATACGAAACCCAAATTTCCTCAGGAATCGAGGGGCGTTGGTTTTAAGGCTCTATCTCTAATAGTTTCCGAGATAATCGCGAAAAACGAAAGTGCCAAAAAAAATTAATTCAATTCATCTTGTATAGGGTGTAGGAAGTGGAAAAACGTAATTCTGAGCCGTCCACCTGCCTATACGAAACCCAAATTTCCTCAGGAATCGAGGGGCGTTGGTTTTAAGGCTCTATCTCTAATAGTTTCCGAGATAATCGCGAAAAACGAAAGTGCCAAAAAAAATTAATTCAATTCATCTTGTATAGGGTGTAGGAAGTGGAAAAACGTAATTCTGAGCCGTCCACCTGCCTATACGAAACCCAAATTTCCTCAGGAATCGAGGGGCGTTGGTTTTAAGGCTCTATCTCTAATAGTTTCCGAGATAATCGCGAAAAACGAAAGTGCCAAAAAAAATTAATTCAATTCATCTTGTATAGGGTGTAGGAAGTGGAAAAACGTAATTCTGAGCCGTCCACCTGCCTATACGAAACCCAAATTTCCTCAGGAATCGAGGGGCGTTGGTTTTAAGGCTCTATCTCTAATAGTTTCCGAGATAATCGCGAAAAACGAAAGTGCCAAAAAAAATTAATTCAATTCATCTTGTATAGGGTGTAGGAAGTGGAAAAACGTAATTCTGAGCCGTCCACCTGCCTATACGAAACCCAAATTTCCTCAGGAATCGAGGGGCGTTGGTTTTAAGGCTCTATCTCTAATAGTTTCCGAGATAATCGCGAAAAACGAAAGTGCCAAAAAAAATTAATTCAATTCATCTTGTATAGGGTGTAGGAAGTGGAAAAACGTAATTCTGAGCCGTCCACCTGCCTATACGAAACCCAAATTTCCTCAGGAATCGAGGGGCGTTGGTTTTAAGGCTCTATCTCTAATAGTTTCCGAGATAATCGCGAAAAACGAAAGTGCCAAAAAAAATTAATTCAATTCATCTTGTATAGGGTGTAGGAAGTGGAAAAACGTAATTCTGAGCCGTCCACCTGCCTATACGAAACCCAAATTTCCTCAGGAATCGAATGGAATAGGTTTTAAGGCTCTAACTCTCATAGTTTCCGAGATAATCGCGAAAAACTATCCGCGAGTAACATCCAACTAGCCAAAGCATCTTCACTCTTTAATGCCATCAATAACTGAATTATCTCGGTAACAAGGCAACATATGACAAAATGTCACTGAACTTTTTTTGCAGGAAATTTAATTCTCTGCAAACAATGTCGTGTGACATTTTGCCGTAACTCCAGTCCTTATGGAGTTACACAAGAAGTACTTAATCAAAATGAAAATTGAGGAGAGTAAATTTAATCGTTTCGTGAAGATTAACTCATAATAATCACAATTGTAATCGAGAAAATTGCTTCATGAATGTTTCTCATGTATTCGCGATTCTCTCAATGCATGAGTGATTCATTAAAGCCCTTGAAACCTCGCGTTAGTCGCTCGGATTACTGAATGAATCAAGAGTGAAAAAAATGTCATTGCATCATTTCGATGGAATTAGTAACGCCAGTCTCTCAACATCATCATACCTCCTATGGTAATTAGAACAATTGTGAGTCCTGCGTGGGTCCACGTGTGTTGGAAAATAATGAACCCACAGAAACAATTATCAAGGGCAAAAAGAAAATGATAAAATGAGTTTTCACTCGACTTTAGCAATTTTTTCAATGAAAAAATCATTTTCCTTTTGAGACTTTCGATCGACTGATCAATGGAACAATTGAATAGGCGCATTTGTGAGTGGTAAATACCGTGGAAAATGAAATGACTCGAGACTTTGACCCAAATACTGAACCCCAATTGCTCAATAAATTCATCCCATTCGTAACGATTCGTTGTAAACCTCAAAGAAAACCGAGTAATTACGATTTCCCTTTTAGTAGTGTTACGAACTATGAACCAAGTGCACTCACCGCATCGCTACCTATTTGAGTAAAACCGTTATAACCGAGAGGTGATAGTGTAACGTTTGATGAATAATAACGTCCTACGTTATTCCACGAATGTAAAATATCATTGTGAACGAGAAAATTAAGGGAATTAGTGGGAGATGATGGATCCTCATGTAACTGTTGAATTATCTCGATAACGAGGGGCTTGAGGAAGAAATGTCAGAAAACATTTTTTGCAGAGAATTCAGTTTCATGCGAAACATGTATTATGACATTTTCCTGTAATCCCAACGGTTTCTGAGGTATTTTCGAAATACAATGAGTCTGAAAGATTGAAAATGAAATGTGAACCGTTGATGGCGTTTGTTTATTACGCGATTATCTGAATAACGAGTGGTTTTAGAGGGAAATGTCATTAAACTGTTTTTATAGGACATTTAATTCTCTACAAAAAATTCTCATGGCATTTTGCTATAAATCTAGTAGTTTTTGAGATATTGGAGAAATAAAATGAGTATTCGAAAACTGAAAAATTCTGTTTTGAAGAATTTGTTAATTAGGTAATTATCTCGGTAATGAATAGTTTCAGAATAAAATGGCATGAGAAATTTTCTTCAAAAACTGTTCATTATCGAGACAATTAAGTAACTAAAAAAAAATCTCAATTTTTTTTTTCATTAAATCAATTTATTGTCATGTTTATTTTAGTCATTTCTATTTATTCATTCGCATTAGTTGTTCATAAAACAATAATAGAGTTGACTGAACTCATAGTGTGACCCTGGCTGCAACCAACTACGTAACTACCGGAATTTTCTCGCAAAGGGGAGACTGGTTCTCGCTTTTTGGTTGCACGTAAGATGCCGCAATGTTGCTCTCTTTATTTTGCTTATTTTTATTTTTTGAGAAAAGCCTCCTGTGATCCGGTGGGAGAGAAATGGAGGGCTTTCGAAAGCCACTCCATCGTTAACATCAGGAACGTTATAAATATACTGAGTGTTATGTTTCCGTGAATAATAATAGACAGTTGGTGTGCGCTGGAGAAGAAATATCTTCATTTGTGGTGAATTCCTTAAAAATTGGAGCATTTAGCGTACAATCCCCTGAATTGATTTCTCTCCAATCATTAAATATGAATGATAAACAATTAGTTACGATTTTTCATTAATTAATTACAAATAAAATGATTTAGAAAATGACTTTCAAGATTTTAAAGCCTTTTAATCGTTGAAAAATGAGATTTGAGGTTGAAATTTTTATTTTTTTGACCTAAAAAATTATCTTTATTGACCCCTCGGAAGAGTTATCAACTAGATCTTTCCGAAAAGCATGCGAGAATACGCGAAAAAAAATTCAGGCAGTTTCAATGCAAAATTAACGAAAATTTGGACGATTTCGGTTTTTCAATTTTTTTTCTATTCGCTTGATTATTTTTTTAATTACCTTCGTCGTAGGTGATTGCTATAACAATAACCGAAAAGGTTGCCAGGAGGAGGGCTGTTGCAACCCCCCTGAGTCCCACCATCACGATAAAATAATTAAAAAATGTCAATTATTTATCTAGTACACTGATTTTTTAAATTTAATTCATCAAATTTGGAATTTAATCGATGGGTTTTAACGATTAAAAAATAGTCTTCACACAATCATGTAATGCACTTTACTTGCCACTGTGTCTCGTGGAGTGCGAGACGCGTGCGGCGAACGGTCAGTGTCGGCACTGGGCCCCAGAAACTCAATCCGCTGAGTTTTATACAGCGCCCACGATTTATCCCATGTATTTATTTTTATTTATTTTTACGTTTTATTTTTTTCCCCCGAGTGTCATGGGTAAATTGGGGAGAGTGAACACGTGGAGATGATGGGATTATTCGGCATTTCCGGGAATCGGAAAATTCCAAACGTGCCAGTGAGATTTTTTTGAAAATTTCTTTCTCGAAATTAAAGATAAAAATAAAGTTATTGGAGTAAATGGTAAATCAGAGGCTTCTTTTGCTCCGGGGACTATTATTCGTGCCGAGATCGTTCTTTTTGTTGATTTGGGTAAATACTGGGGGAATTGGGCTTTCAAATTCTCCACGTCAATTTATTTTGTCTCGTTAATTGGTTCTGCGTTTGCTAATTATGCGATTACCTCAATAATGAGAAGTTTTAGGGAAAAAAATGACAAGATATTTTTTTTAGGAAATTCAATTCTCGAAAAAAAAATTCTTATGAAAGTTTACTCTAAATCTACTAGCTTTCGAGATATTCGCAAATTTTGATCTTGGGGAATTTGTTAATTAGCAAATTTCAGCTGAAATTTTGGTGGAAAACTATTCATTATTGACACATTTGAACAATGAAAAACTTTTTAATTATTTGCACTAATAAATTTTATTGTGATGTTTATTTTAACCAAAAGAACTAAAAACAAATTATGAAATTTTACTCTAAAATCCACTAGTTTTCGAGATATTCGAAAAATAAAATGAGTATTTCGAAACTTTATGAACAAATTTTGATCTTGAGGGATTTGTTAATTAACAAATTTCATCACAAATTTTCTTCAAAAAACAAACTTTTCTGCAAAAAACAATTAATTGCAACTATCAAATTTATCAATTAAACTGCGCAAAAATATTTTTCAAACTGCATTTTTTACTTTAATGTGAATGTTCAGGTATTCTTAACCTTGAATAATTCGAAATGCTCCTCAGAGTTGATGAGAATACGTGGGAAGTAGTTCTGCCCACGAAGTTCTAGCCACTCGATGTTTAATTACTCATTAAATAAAAGAGAGAAGAAATCTAAATTAAAGACAGAAAATAAATCAATTAATTATTAATAAACTCACCATATCGACGAGAAGCTCCTCCTCCACCTCAGATGATCTGACAGAACCCCATGCATCTCAAATAATTTAAATATTCTCCTCTATTTTTCAATTCAACAATTAGACACTGATTAATTGATTTTCACACTAATTCCTCGAAGGGAATGACGACAATTTTTTAAAATTACTTTGACACAATTAGACGAACGAATGTCTTTGTAATTCTTTTTTTTTCGGGGCTCCACTGGTTTAGGGAAGGAATCAATGGGGTGGTATTATGGGACGAGTGATTATAATCCATCTCTGACGATTTATTCACTCCAAGGGGGTTTTATGCCTCACACTTTGCTCCCATTGCCGACTGAAACCAAAATTGCTGAGTATTTTTATTTAAAACATTGAAGCAATAGTGAAATAATTCAATCTTTTGCATTGTGCCTCGTTAATAATTGAATTACTCCATTGAGAAATCAATCACTAGCGGGAGTAATTCAGCGGATAAAGCAAATGAAAAAATACTCAATGAATTTTCCTCGGTCTTTAATTTCAATTAAAAAATCTACAGAACATAATTAAATGGTAAAATTAAAAAACAAAATGATTTGGAAACTAAAACATTGTCTACATCTTAGTAAATAATCTAGAGAATAATTAATGAATTAAAAGATTAATTTGTCATCATCAATGAATCCAAAACATGAACAGTTCTTGGAATAAAGTGAATGAAACAACACTCAATGAATTTTCCTCGATGATTAATATCCATTAAAAAAATCTGCGCAACCTAATTAAATTAATAAAATTGATAAAAAACAAGATGTTTCGGAAACTAGAACATTTTCTACCTCTTAATAAATAATCTAGAGAGTAATTGATGAATTAGCTGATTAATTTTTTATCATCGATTGATAAAAAACAAAATGAATAATAAGTAGTGGAATTTATTATTTCACGTAATGTAGAATTTATTTCTGAATTTCCAAATGATCCATTGCCACGATATGGGGTGATAACGAAATAATCGAAACTTAATGAAGAGTCTGGGATGTTGATCGTCCTTACTGTCATGATTTTTCCTGATGGTGTGTGACAGTTGATTGGCAATATCGAGGGACACGTCAGTGTCGGGTGTGTCCTGATTGGGTAGACTCGGCTCCCGTGAGCCAGTGTCAGGACGTTTCCACGACACACGACAGACGACATTCTCTATTGATGTCTTCTTGCCGAGTGTTCCACCACGCTGGGACGTTGAATTCTGGAAAGTTTTATCTCTTCATGTCACACCGGTCAATGTTAATCAATTCATTAAGCCGAGGCAGTTGTGGATATTGTTTTTCTAGGGGATGGAAAAGCAAGGGGAGAGAGTTGAAGCATTGTATTTGGCAAAAATTTCCATTCTTTTGGGTCAGGACCATTCATTTTGCCCTCAGGAGCGCGAATATATTCGTGCATGCTAGTATATGCTATCATATGCAACATATTATTACATAATGATAATCCGATAAAATTTTTTGTCTCCAATTCTCAATTTCTGTTATTTACTCTATTCATTCTATCAACAGACGAGGATAAAAATCGAATTTATGGGTATTCTTTCATTATTCGAAAAAAAAAAAGATTTTAAAAATCTCCGGAGACATTGAAAATTTAATTTTTTTTATTTCTTCCCGCCTACGTTTTACTACATTTTTTATAATTCTTCGCGTTAAAATTAGATCATAAAATTCCAAAATATTGATATCCCGTCCATATTTATGGAAATAGAATTTATGGGTATTCTTTCGTTATTCGAAAAAAACAATTTTAAAACTCTCTTAATTTCTTCCCGCCTACGTTTTTCTACATTTTTTTAATTTCTTCGCGTTAAAATTAGATTATAAAATTCCAAAATATTGATATCCCGCCTATATTTATGGGAATAGAATTCATGGGTATTCATGGGTATTTGGGCTTTCATTATTCGAAAAAAATACGATTTTAAAACTCTCCGGAGCCATTGAAAAAATTTTTTTTTCGTTCTTCCCGCCCACTTTTTTATATTTGTTGAATTTCTTCTCGCTGAAATATTGATATCGCAATTTCCCACTTAAGGGTTTGGAAACCCTCTTAAACCCTGTTAAGGGTTGAGAAGCTATAATAAACAAAAATTCCCACTTGCTTCGTTTTTGCGGAAAATGTTTAAAATTTCTCTTCTCTGATTAATGAAAAAAATTGTGAAAATCGAATTTCTTACTTAAAAAACGTGAAATTTTTTCTAGAATCCACTAGATTCTCGCGATATCAATAAAAAATGGAAGAGTGAAATCCTGAAAGTTGAACAATTAATTAGAAAGATCCGGATATGTGGGTAAATGAAAAAAGCCATTGAAAAAATAATAAAAATGTCGTTTAATTCTAAAAATCATTACAAATCATAACTTATGAGGATTAATTGTCTTTGGTCAGCAACTGAATAAATATGTAGCATAAAAAATTGGGTGAAAATCCACTTTAGTGCGGAGTAATTGCATTCACTAATTGGGTTTTTTCTTTGGGAGCTTTGGAATCTTCACGAACACAGATCCGTTTGCTTAGTTAACAACTATCAGTCGACGAATCTTACAGACAGAGATAGTGGTGTTACCCGAGTCTCTAGGGTGGGTGCTCTCATGGATTTCTACAAGGATTATCGTACGAGTGAGAAAGAAAATGCAAATAGTGGAAGAGAAAATGGCAGAGGGTCTGAGAGTTTTGGGCTTGGAACTCACTTTTGTGTTTCCCCGGATGTTGAAGGCACCGTAGACGATGGGGTTCATGCAGGAGTTGGTGCAGGCGAAGAGAAAGAGGGCCCTTTGAACGCGCTGATCCACGGTTTTTGCACTTTTAGGGTCGAACCAATACCTGTGATTGACAAACAATGAATATTCAGCGTCATCAAAATCATATTTTGCCCAGAATTATCATTTTCTAACCATTAATTGTTTACAAATGAATAATTGAATTTGCTCAAACTTTCGGAAACCGTAAATAATAAAACTAAAAATCACATAATAAAATACTAAAACTATTAAAGTCATTGTAAAAAGTGAAAAAGCATTTCACAGAATAATAATTCTGAACACATACCAAATACACATGATGTAGTAAGGTGTCCAGCAGACGAAGAAAACGAGGACAATAATGATGGTCATCTTGAGTGTCCTTATCTTAGCCCTCCCCAGAAAGCCCAACGACGACCTCCGTATTCTGTCTGTATGTGAAACAATCGTTCGTTGTTGGTTCAACTTTTTCACTCGATAATTCGTGATGAAATTCTGTATGATTATTGCACGATAATTATGAATGCTTACTATTGGCACATGAATGAGTGATTTCTGAAATAATAAACTGATACTCATGACACTGATACTCTTCTAAAACACCACTCACCGTGCACTGACTCACGGGACTTCCTGTAGATCTCGAGGAGAATACTTGAGTACGTGAAGATTATGACTGTCAATGGGAAACAGTACATCATGATCATTCCGAAGAGAGAGTACGTGAGCTCATGACCACCTGTTGGAAATGAGTGGAGGGTGATGCATTGCTCGTACCAGGTGTGGTTGGGGTGTGCCTCTACGTGGAAAATTATCATCTAGAAGAAAGAAGACGAGAATTTTGATGATTGATCTTGAGGGGGAGAAGATGGAGAGACAAGTTGGATGAACATTATATTATCTAGAAAATTGTGGCACATTTTACTGTACGAAAGGTAGTCGTGAAGCGAAATGTAACTCAGTGAAAAAATACCTGTTTGTGGGCACGCAAGAGTCAGAATGAGGGTCGTAAGGGTCGAAATGAGGGTCATAAGGGTCAGAATCAGGGTCATGAGGGTCGGAATAAGGGTCAGAAGAGTCAGAGTGAGGGGCATAAAGGTCACGAGTGTCAGAATAAGGGTTACGAAATTCAAAATCGGGGTCATGAGAGTTAGAATAAGGGTCACAAGAGTCAGAGTGAGGGGCATAAAGGTCACGAGTGTCAGAATAAGGGTCATAAGGGTCATAGAGCTCAGAATCAGGGTCATAAAGGTCACGAGCTTCAGAATAAGGGTTACGAAATTCAAAATCGGGGTCATGAGAGTTAGAATAAGGGTCACAAGAGTCAGAGTGAGGGGCATAAAGGTCACGAGTGTCAGAATAAGGGTCATAAGGGTCGGAATAAGGGTCATAGAGGTCAGAATCAGGGTCATAAAGGTCACGAGTGTCAGAATAAGGGTTACGAAATCCAAAATCAGGGTCATGAGAGTTAGAATAAGGGTGACAAGAGTCAGAGTGAGGGTCGTAAAGGTGACGAGTGTCAGAAAAAGGGTCATAAGGGTCGGAATAAGGGTCATAAAGGCCAGAATCAGGGTCATAAAGGTCACGAGTGTCAGAATAAGGGTTACGAGGTTCAAAATCAGTGTCATATAGATCAGATGAAGGGTCACGGGTATAATAAGGGTCAGAATGAGGTTCACGAGGGTCAGATTAAGGGTCACAAGGGTCAGAATAAGGATGAAGGGGCGTACCCCCCCTAGTAAGGGCTGTAAGGGCCAGAAGGATTATTGTGGTGGTCAGAAAGAAATATTTCCCAAAGATTAAATTCTCAATTGAAGAAATTTCAACATTGCCTATTGAATTTTAATCGGCGACAGTTCGCCATCATGTCAATCTCAGCATGTTATTCTGTAATGCAAACAATCGATAAAACTAACCTGAGGTGCTGAACAAAGTATCGACCCCATCCAAGCCCCGACGAGCATTATTTTTCCTCTTCTGTCAACGTCCATCAACTGCAGGGGCTTCAGAACCGCGTAATACCTTAACGAGCATGAGAGTGTGCATTATAATAAACGATCACTTAAATTGCGATGGTTCGTAACGCCTACCTGTCAACACTGATGCAAACGAGGATGAATGAAGACAAATAAATCCCGAAGATCCGGAAGAACGCCATGATCCGGCACATGGCGTCTCCAGCTCTCCAGGACACCGTCGCTGCCCAGCCGATCTCCAACGGCATCATGAGAACTGCCACCTGAGGCCATCAAAAGGGAATCGTTGAAAAGGGGTCGTTACACGGAAAGAAAAATTGGATGAAAATTACACTGAAAAAATCGGAATCGTAGGCACATATCTCTAAATCTATCAGGTTTAGAGAAAAATGCTATAAAGACTTTTACGTAGAGAAATGAAATCTCCACGAAAAATGTTCAATGACATTTTCGCTTAAAACTCTTCCTGTCGGAGAAATTCCTATAATACCGAAAACGTGATGATCTCACCAACAAATCTGCCACCGCCAGGTGCATCAGCATTGTATTGATCCTGGAACGATTTGATCTCCTCCTCTGGAGGATCAGGGAGAGAACTGTACTGTTTCCAATTATCGAGATGACCATCAAGACACTGTAGGTGATGATGCTCACTACGTGACCCTCGTTGAACCGCATGTCAATGGGGAGTTCTTCCACGTCAGTTTCGTTCATTCCGAATGACGTTTTGGTGAGGGCAGCCTCTGTTTCCTCCATCGTTGACATGAAATGCCAACTTAAATGAGTGAAAAAAACAGCAAAATTAAATTTTCAAGCAAAATGAAAATTTAGGAAATTGAAAAACTTGAAGAATCCCGAAATTTCAAGTTCATTTGCTTCTGGCAATTTTTTTAATTGAAATTTTTCTGCTTTTTGTTACTGTTGCAGTTTTTTTATCCAATTTTCTCGTTGATTTGTGGGTTTTTAGCTATTTTATTTTGAGAGTGTAAAAAACTTTGTCAATTTAGAGCGAAAATTCTAGTCACGTTTCTGATTATTGGTAACAGGGGAATTCCTCGACTTTTTCTTCTCTATTTTCGGTTTCGAATGGGAAACGAGAAGTTCTGTAATAAAGTGAAGTCAATCGATCGTCAAAAAGCCTGGAAATTCAGTGACTACGGTTGTCATCCCAATGATAAATATTTACGCATTTCTTGGTGGAGGATTTATTTAGAGGACTACAGGTTCAGTCGTTGTGAGCATCATTGTTAATCCAAAAATACAAAACTTCAGAAGTAAATTCCAGCAATTTTTAAGACTAAAAATATTTTTCTGACAGAATAAGAAAATAACACGAGGGAGAAGATAAACACTATCACGCAAAAAAATAATTACAAAAAATTATCAAATCATTCTTCCATTTTTCAAAAAATATTCCACTCGCAAAAATCATCGAATAAACTATAAAAGAGTATAATCCATTGTTAATTTCTCAATTATAAGTTTCCAATTGAAAATTGGCATTCAATAATTTTTCTAATTAAAAAAAAAATTATTGAAGTTAAATGAAAACTGATTGAAACATTTTTTATAGTTTTTTATTATCATCAACTTACTAAATGTTTCACTTACGGATCGATTCAGCAGAACATTTCCATTCGTTGATGAAAAACATCAATCAAAAAAAACATTCTCTCGTCAAAACAAGAATTACAAAAAATTATCGAATTATTCTGCGATTTAAAAAAAAATATTCCACTCACGAAAACCATCAAACAAATTGAGAAAAGTGCGCAATCGTATCGTTAACTCCTCAATTATAAGTTTCCAATTGATAAATTGAATTCAGAACATTTTTTATAATTTTTTTCAAGTCAACAATTTAGTCTAAATCATTGCTTTTTTATTTAAAAAATGACAACTTCGATTTTTATTCATTGTGCGTTAATTATTCCACTCGCCGAAAATACGATTATGTGATTTGGAAGATCAAACAGTGTTAGTACTTCGCGGAAAAAATTTAAACCCTCTCTTCTTGGGGTGTCCGCCACCACTGGCTCTCGGCCACTTCGCGTTTTCCCCCGATAAACCACCTAAATAAAATCGGTAAGCGCCCGCGCACCACCTCAAGCTGTTACGCTGGATTACTGTTGACAGAGAACACATATTCCCAAGGCCTCAAATCAGAATCGTCAGTTTGATAACATCCCCTTCCTCGCGCTTCATTAAATAAAATCCATTTTTTTCATCCTCTGGTGAAGTTTAACACAAATAGTGAAAGAAAGATACGAATGGGGAGAAATAGTATGATCTATCGATGTTTTCGCTGGTGCGGAGTTTAGATGGAGTTATCTGGGCACTTTGACCAGAATAATCAAGTTTATAAATTATTTATAGAAAACGCTCGCAATTTTTGAAAATTGCACTTCGTGAATTATTTCATCAATCCTCGTTCAAAAGCTAACTTTCTCATTTTTTTTTTCAAATTTTTCAAATGTTCTCTAACGGTTCAATATAGAAATTCAAGTTCAAGCCTGAACAGGTTAAATAATAAATAATAAATAATATATTTTACACATTCACATCATTTTACACAATGATTTTAGTTTTATTTTATATTTTATTTTATATTTTATATAAAAGCATTTCACAGGAGAAAAAAACAGCCAAAGAACTTGGACATCCCTAACTCTCGGAAAATGTAAATCCCAAAATTTTCCACTCGCAGCTTCCACACTCGATCTCAATGCGACTAAAGTGATTAAAAAGACGAGAATTTTGAGTGACAGTTCATTGATAATCCTGGGTTATTAAAATCACAGAGATTTTCGCAACATCTTTGGAGTAATCATAGCTCATTTTTAATGAACATCACTCATCTTCGATGATTTTCCGGGCTTTCACTGATGATTATGCAAGAGGTGGGAATTTACCAAGATCGGATGCGCCCCTCCCCCTCTCCCCCAGCTCTCGCACACACCAGAGGTAAATTAGTTCGATCAATTGCGATTGAAAACAGCATGTATATTCAGGCTGTCTTGATCTTGAAGTGGATCGATGTAAACTGAGTGTTGGATGTGAGTTCAAAGTTCGTAAATTAAACATTTCATTACTCGGGACGACTGATAACATTCGACACTCGAAAATAGATAAAAAGTAGGGGAGTATTGAGGTTCAATTTCTTGGGGAAGAAATTCAGGAGCTAAATGGTGAAAGGAGATAAGTCAATTTTGACTACTGACCAGTTTTCAATCAATATCTCGGAATCTAAGGAAGATAGAAAAATTTTTGTTATAACCTTTTTTGTGGAGCTGATTGAGTGCTACAACAAACGTAATTACAAAAATTTCGCTATCTCCCTTAGATTCGGAGATATTCCTCAATTCCTCTCCGTTTATCACTGCACTACTGAATTCAAAAGTTATTCGCGTGTTTTTTTCTTTTCCATTCAGGGGAGATAGGGCGAAATAAAACAGTAGTAAAAACGGATATTTGGGGTGATTCGGGAAATTTGTTTTTCGTGCTCGAGACGCTTTTTAATGTTCCATCCAACTATTCTATTTGATAACTCCAACTGTCTCTCTCGTAAAACCGTAAAAAATTGCTAATAACACTAGAAAAAATCTTTTTTCATAAAAAACATCGTCAACAATTCTCAAATGTAATTCGCCCCAACAAATACACCTCGACTAATTTTTTCAATAATTAATACCGGATTTTTTTTTCCGACAAAAATAAAGAGTTGAAGAGAGTGGTGAGTTATCTTTTTCTGGACCAAGACAAGATAAATTCCCCTTGGTATCGTCGTAGATCATCCCAACGGGTGTCCAATAATCCTAATTTATCGGTGTCCCAACGAGTATTGTGTCTGCAACAGTGAATTATCGAGACTCGTTACCGAATGAGGCGCAATCGTCTTCGTTTCAATAATCGCAATTACGTTGACCCGCGTAACGAGAGAGAAATTAGGTAAAGTTGGGGAAAATTCTTTCTCATTATTTATTTTTTCTTGTTACGGTTTTTTTTTTATTCACTGGAACCTGCTATCTTGATTCTCATTATATCAAGAGTGTCCTTGGTAAAGGCCTTCGACTGACATTCTCATTTCTGTTCTGACACTGCTCTCCCTGTACCCCACGGATGTACCGCTTTTTTTTCTCCAGTGAACTTGACGGAAATATCACGAATAAGTCATTTTATGGGAGAGATTTTTCGGTGAATGGGTGAACAATGGGATTTTAGTTATTGGTGATTATTTCAATTTATGAAGAATTGATTTTTCGTTTAGGTTTTTTGGATTTCGTTCATTATTATCAGACAATCAAGTTCTCCTTCTTCAGAAAACGATTTGAGATGAAATTTGATTGAAATTCATTTTTCTCAAAAAAAGCCTCGAAGTCTTCTCCTGTAATCATGAATTATTTAAATAATTTAACCAGTAATTCTGAGTGAAATTATAAATTGTAACAGAAAGAGTGAGTTTTGGCTTTTTTGTTTAATTTCAAGTATCTTGGTAACACGTGGTTTTAGAGGAAAATGTCACAAAAACATTTTTTTTGCGAATTTTGCACGCTAAAAAAATGGTTTTGTGACATTTTTTCATACCACTACTCGTTCTTGAGATAAATAGCAATAAACAATTGCAGAATTGGCGGTTTTCAGATCTTTCCGTTGCTTTCTGTTCTTTGGTCTAGGAAATAATTAGATTAACAAACGGCGTCATTTACAAAAATTTCGTGAATAATAGTTTATCATTTCGTGTTCATGAGGCAATGAAAAATTGTTCGGTATTTTTTCTGCTTTCAGATCAATTGGATAAATAACAATTTCTTTTTATTTCCTATAAAATCATGCGTCCTTCATCCGACTCGTTCTCGGGGAAAAATCGGTAAAATCGTGCGTCTGCGATTTTTTCCCTCGACCTTCGCGATATATCTGTCGAATGTATCTACCTTCGTCAGATACTCCAACCTCTATCTATTTGAAATAAAATTTCCAACAAAAAAAAGTCTTTTGACGTTAAAAAAAATTAATAATCTGAAGGGAATTGTTTTCTAAAAATTATTTTTGTTTTATTTTGCGAATATTTAGGGAACTAGTAAGTCAATCGTTAATTACCAAGAGACATTAAAATGTTCAACGAAAAGTCTCTCGACAGTCCCTCTCAAAACCCGAGAAATTCCCCTCGTAAAAATCACAGACCCAAAGATCATGAAAAAATAATGAGAAAACTTGCCCTGTCACTCCACATTCACCCCCAATATCTCAAATATTCACTCACCTTGGCGAAAACTCCTGTATGTCCTGTATATCCGGATATCTGACGTGAAAATTTCCGGCGAGTTAAAGAAAAAACCTTCAAAACTTTTATTTCAAAAGAAAAATAAATCACAAGCACGAGGAACTTGGACTCTCACCCCCGGATCTAATTACATTTCACTCACTTCAGAATCCGAGGTAAAAGTAATCTATAGAATTCCATCGGGATTTCATATTTCTATTTCACATCCAAAACCCTAAAGCCCCTCAACAGAACCGAAAACCACTAAAAAAATAAAAAAAATCACCAAACATATTTTTAATTCACATTGAAAAAATCCCGCGACAAAAATGAAAAATCGCAAATAAAAAAATTAAACACTAGCAAAAAAATTTCCGGCGACTTTTTTATCAAGTAAAAAATTCAATTCTTATTTTCATTTTTTATTTGTTCATTGATTCGTCGATTTCATTCAATAATTCTACGCTTTCATGCGAAATTATTTCACGATAATTTTCCTCTGAAGTCTCATACGCGATTGGTAATCTATGCTGCACTGATGGAACAAATAAGAGACCGGGTAGACACACGCACTATTTGTTTTCTCATTTTTCCCGTACGTCACTGATGCATTAAAACGTTAAATTAATATTTCTTATTTTTTATTCATCATCGCGAATCGGTGATTCACGTTAACCCTAGGTGTTTAAATTCGATCGATCTAGACATGACAGATTGACTGGCAGAAGTACGTCTGAAGGGTTCAATTAAACGTCTCCGTGGCATCGGTCTCTTGGATATTGACACGATGCCACGGGTCAAGTGTCAAATGATCACTGATAGCGGCGGAGAGAGGCTAAATCCCGAGGGACGTGGGGAAACTGGATACTTCTCGTTAACAACACTGTATTTCCAGTTTTTTGCATGATTAACGGGGTCTCATCGGGGAGTAATCAGTTTGTAGTTATTTTCCATTGTCAAATGTTCGGTTTGGTTGAAATGAACTTTTCTCGGAATGAAATGGAAAGTCGACTTTCGCCAAAATCGAATTTTTTGGTCAAGTGAATGTCGATTCTGTATTTATTGGCCCTTCTAATGCCAATGAAACCCTCACAGGCGCCGCAAATGTCGAAATAAAAAAAAAAATTTTCACTCGGGGCCAAAGTATCAGATTTTGGATTTTTCCCGGGGGAAAGTCGACTTTCGCCAAAATCGAATTTTTTGGTCAAGTGAATGTCGATTCTGTATTTATTGGCCCTTCTAATGCCAATGAAACCCTCACAGGCGCCAGAAATGTCGAAATAAAAAAAAAAATTTTCACTCGGGGCCAAAGTATCAGATTTTGGATTTTTCCCGGGGGAAAGTCGACTTTCGCCAAAATCGAATTTTCTCATCAAGTGAATGTCGATTCTGTATTTATTGGCCCCTCTAATGCCAATGAAACCCTCACAGGCGCCAGAAATGTCGAAATAAAAAAAAAAATTTTCACTCGGGGCCAAAGTGTCAGATTTTGGATTTTTCCCGGGGGAAAGTCGACTTTCGCCAAAATAGAATTTTTTGGTCAAGTGAATGTCGATTCTGTATTTATTGGCCCTTCTAATGCCAATGAAACCCTCACAGGCGCCAGAAATGTCGAAATAAAAAAAAAAATTTTCACTCGGGGCCAAAGTATCAGATTTTGGATTTTTCCCGGGGGAAAGTCGACTTTCGCCAAAATCGAATATTTTGGTCAAGTGAATGTCGATTCTGTATTTATTGGCCCCTCTAATGCCAATGAAACCCTCACAGGCGCCAGAAATACCGAAATAAAATTTTTTTTTTTTATTTCGGTATTTCTGGCGGGGCCAAAGGGTCAGATCTTGGATTTTTCCCGGGGGAAAGTCGACTTTCGCCAAAATCGAATTTTCTCATCAAGTGAATGTCGATTCTGTATTTATTGGCCCCTCTAATGCCAATGAAACCCTCACAGGCGCCAGAAATCTCGAAAAAAAAAAAATTTCACTCGGGGCCAAAGTGTCAGATTTTTTATTTTTTCCGGGGGAAAGTCGACTTTCGCCAAAATCGAATTTTTTGGTCAAGTGAATGTCGATTCTGTATTTATTGGCCCCTCTAATGCCAATGAAACCCTCACAGGCGCCGGAAATGTCGAAATAAAAAAATTGTTTTTTCGCCCGCAGCGAAAGCGTCAGATTGAAGGGTCAAATGGGAGAGACGAGTGGAGATCACTTCGCACGTCTCTCCCGTTTGACCCTCTTGACCCTTAAACAACAAAATTTTCTACTATTCCCCTTCGCCCCAAGCTCTTCCCTCTCCCTGAACTTATGATTTATCATCCGTCCTTGACAAATAAATTCAAGAGACCCTGGGATTATAACAACATGAAATGATTTACATACGACGCGAGGGAAACGTCTGCACCGACAGCATTACAAAACAGTCTGTTTTTTTTCGAGGATGACAAAACGTTTGTTTATCAGAGAGAAAGACATTACTGATTCCCACATGCTATTAACGAATCATCTGCTTTCAATCCCGCAAATTCAACCAGTGAATCACTCGATCTTCTTATTGAGAATAATTGGATTAAGGATTATTGATTTATTGATGATGACTATTGAGGATCCGGGAGCAACTGCTTAGTGCCCGATAACCCAAACGGTCAATATCCAAACGAATGGAATTATTCATGAGGGTGGGGGTGAATGATTAACTCCATTTTTATTGTTTTTCATTTAGTGATGAATTGCATAGACAAAATACTGGGATTTTTCGCCGATGAAGGTCAACTTATCGAAAATAAAATCACTGAGTCATAATTCATCGTGAACTCAAGACGTTTCTATCAATTAATCAATTTATTATTTCCACTTCTAATTTTTTCTTTCAATCTCGCAGTATTTTTATCGAAAATCCACAATACTGTAATTCAACTCATTCTACCCCATCAGTGTTTAAACAATCTGGAGAATCTTTTTCTTTTTTTTGAAGAATTGAATATTAAAAATCTCAACAAGTATTTAAAATAATTACATAATCAAATTGACTTCCACAAAATTAATTTTCCCAGAATTTCAATTTTAAAAAAATTATCGAATCTTCAATTGGCAACTGTCTTTAAAACGGAGGCGACTAAATTTCATTAAAAAAAAAAATACTTCTCCCGCGAAAATAAGAATAAAGTGCAAAACAAATAAAAGAAAATTGCTTATGCAATGTTGAACCAATTTCCCCGGTTTGATCTGCACTTCATTCAACAATCACCCAGTATTTACGGTATCCACTCGATTCGGTATTGAAATTGCGCATTTGCCTGAGTAAGTAAAGCAAAAGTGCTTTTACTTACACGCTCGCCGGAGGATGAGCACTCGAGATGGAAAAAGGTACATAAAAAAACTATACAACCGAGTGAATGTTGCACGGTATATAAAGATGGGATTGCACCAGGGATGCTGCAATACTGGTGTACAGTGAGGAATACAACATACGCTTCAGGTGTTTGGATTTTAAATTAGTGAATTTTTTTTTGTTCAGAGAAATGTTTGTTTTGCAGGTAATTATCATTTTTCATAATTTTTACTATTAATAATTTTTTAAGTTACTTTCCAATCATTAATTTTGCAGTGAAATGTTAGGAGATGATTTTATAACATTTAGTTATTACAATAATAAATTAATTATTGATATGAAAAGCCCAAATTAAAAAAATGAATAGATGACATTCAATTATTATAATTGCAACCATAATATTGAATAACTCCACTTCTGAATGTAATCAGCATCCCCCAGTTTATCATAGTAAATTAATTATTGAGAAAATGAAGGAAAATAGATTTACGAAGTGCAATTCAACAATACCAATTCAATTCTCGTGCCATTATATCCGAATTTGAGTGATCATCGTTCTTTCGAAACTTCGCAAAGAGAAATACAAACTTGTGTGGCTCGTTACACGAATGTAGTACACGTGTGCCACAATGCTCATCGAATGTTGAAGTGCGCACTCCCCAAAGGGTACATTATGCAAGAGAAATGTTTTGAATTTTTTCCCCGCGGTCTGATGGGTGTTTACACACTCGTCTCATGATTTACAACGTGCAATTTTCATTTTTTGTGCTTTGTTCACAGGTAATTGCGGTCGCTGCATTAATCTTTGTGTCAATTGAGGCTCAATTCAATAGGAGGTGATTTAAATGAATAATCTAGTCATCGAACAATTGATTTTCAGACAGTGAATTATTCTTCGGAGTTTGTTTTAGATTTTTTTCTCTGTCATTTTTTTTGGCGCTTTGTTGATTAGCTCTGGACTGTTTCTAGGCCCAGACCATTCAGCCACAGTATCCCCTGTGAAGAGGTAGGCCCACCCCAGGGGGATTCCCAGCAACTTCCAATCGCCTGTGCATTTGGAATTTCAGATGAGAAATTAGGAAATGACGAGTTGAAGCCAATTTACGTGAGAGTTTCTTCTCCAATCTCTTACACGCCCCTTCGCAAGACTTCCTCTTTGGTTTATGTTGCACCGCCGATCATTAAATCCTCGGGCTCTGTTATTGCGCATCGTAACAATCAACAACAGCAGGTATTTCTGGAGTGAAAGGATTAAGAGTGGAAATTATTTTAAAATTTTTACACGGATTATGTCTCGAATTTGATCTCTATAACTGTGACAAATGTCAAGAGATTTTTGCAGAATTGAAGTTGTGGACCTCAAGGAAAGTCTTGAATTCTAGTTCCAAAGATATTTTTCAAATAATTCGTGAACACTTTTTTAACAATTAAAAAAAAAAATAGTTTATTTCTTCGATGATTAATTTACGAATATCTTCAGAACTAGTGGGTTTAGAGAAAAATGTGATAAGAACTTTTTTATAGCTAATGAAAATCCCTGCAAAAAGCTCTAGTCAAGTTTTTCTCTAAATTTAACAGTTTCAAAGATATTCACAAAATAATTCGTAAACATGTTTCGACAATTTCCAAATTTCAATGAATTCCGAGATTATTGCGTCGCAACTGTCTCTGAAACTGACAGATTTATTAGAAGACTTGAGAAGACTTTGAAGCCTGAGGAATTCTCTACAAAGCAAATATTCTCGTGATTTTTTCGGAAACTCTCCCAGCAAAAAATAATCGCAAAAGACTGCAGACCGCTGTGAACGTTTTGTGAAAGAATGGTTTGTGCCTTCCAAAAATATCTGAAATTTTTGTGATTCATTCCCTCTTCCCTCCCAGGAACACCCCAAATATTCCTTCAATTATGGAGTCCTCGATGGCTACACAGGGGACACGAAATCCGCGTGGGAGGAGAGGGACGGTGACACCGTGAAGGGAGAGTACTCCGTGGTGGAGGCTGATGGTTCAATAAGAACAGTCACTTACACAGCCGACGATCTGAATGGCTTCAACGCTGTGGTAACGAAGACAAGTCCCCCAAAGGGTCCACCCTCCATCGACTCCATCAAGCGGTTCTTTCCCCTGGTCAGAGGTGGAGTCCACAGTATAAAAGTACAAAAGTAAACGACTTCTCATCATCAAAAACCCATCCAACGGATTTTCATTGTGTGGACTTGTTCATGATTGAGTGAAACGAATGACTGAAAGCCTGCGCTGGATAACCAATTGGAAAAAAATGGGAAATTGCTTTTGTCATCACTTAATGTATTTTTGCTAATTAAACATTTAGTTAGCAAAGTTAGCAAGTTAGTTTTTTGAAACATTTAGTTGGCTGGAAATATTCTCAAACCCTTCAAAACGCCTCAGAATAAATTTTCGCAATGCTATCAATACACTTAATTCAAACAGTCAAGGGATGAAAAAACTCATTATGAAAAGAATGCATTTATTAAATTCACGATTGAGTAATGAACATTTGACAGTTATTTACAAGTTATTAGTTACGTTAATTACCTAGTGATAACGACATTGTAAATTTTAATCGAGTGAATTTCACGGTCAAGTGAAAGCTCTTCTTCCACTTGGCTGTGAAAATAAAAATGGACAGATCAACTCTTCGAATCAATGGAAAAACAGTTACAGTTGTATAATTATCCTGAATGAATTTATCTCAGTCACTATTTCTCGAATTCAAATGTTCATGCACATCGAAATAGTAAGAAACCTATAAAAGTCCTTACATTACCACTTTGTTCACCCAAATTTTACGATAAAAATCCTAGTAAATACACGTTTATCCACTGAAATAATACTTTCGTCGTCGTAAAAATGAGAAAATGATCTTACAGTTGAATTTTTCCATGATTTTGATTATCATCGAACAGACAAATTGAAGAGAAAAATTGAATTTCATGCTCATTATATTTCAATTGTCCCCGAAATTTATGCCGCTGATATAATAATTCGTAAACTCTGCTCTTCACTTATTCACAAGATATATTGAAAAGTGTCTTCTCTTCGTACGAAAATCCTTGAAAAAAAATGCAATAACCAAATGGAAAAATTGCCACGAAAAAATTTCAATTGATTTTCTTCTACCTATTTCGAGCCCTCTTGTTGCTACTCTTTTTAGCACTATTGGATGATCTATTTTTGTTAGACTCTTTACTGTTTCCATGACCATCTTTAGCTGGCGTTGATACATGCTCAATGCCACCATTGGACATTGGGCCATTTGTCAATGGTGTTGATTCACTAATACTTCCATTATTTTGAGAATAACCGGATTGTATTGACGTGTGATTTTTTCCACTCGAGTCTTTGCTATTTCCTGATGTCACTACATTTGAATTTGTATAGTTGCAATTATCCTCACTTCCGCTGTTTCCCATCTGTGACTCCGACTCACTGTATCGTTCAACTAGAAATTGGGGGTTTCAGCGATTAAGATTTTATTAATTAGGAGAGGACGGGGCACAATGGGGGGGGGGGGGGGGGGGAGAAGGTTTAGAAATTTTGTGGGTGAAAAATTCTGTTCGAAGAATTTCTTTATAGAATTAATAGACTAATTAGCAAGTAATTAATCTAGAATTTGTCATTAATAGAAGAGAGGATTGATAGAATGAGATGTATAAACTCATTACGTTTCAGTAGAATTTCTCTAATAAAAAAAATATTCAATTGTTTCTCAACTTTAGGATTTGATGAAAAGAGATTAATCTACAACCAAGAATGAAAATAAACGTTGAAAAAAAAATACTAACAGTAAGAAGCAATGAAAAATGAAAACACTAGCACCAGAAATATGGAAAAATATGAACGATCACCGACAAAAGAAATTAAACATCTGTGTCATCGTTTTTCCCTTTAATTTTGGAGAATAGACTACATCCAGAATTTATCGAAAAAAAATAAACTCAAACTTATTTACATAACGTGGGATAAAATATAATAAACATGCAGAGCACTCTCTACCGGATAACGAATCAAAAACTCTAGAAAAGTCCTAACAATCTGACTCAACAATAATCTCCCACGACTAATTCACGATGTGAACTATAAAATAAGTAATAAAAGATTGTCTAGCGAAATTGAATTCGAAAATTGAATTTCAATGTAAAGAAGATCGAAAAATAGAGGTAGTTCTGCTTAGGACAGAATTGATTGGATTTTCAATATCCATTGAGGTCCTTACTTTTTTCCTGGGGGTTTTCCACGAGACCGCTGACAGCCTGCAATTGAAAATATGAGAAATTTAGTCAAGACGTGAGGAATAAATTAATTGTTAAGATTATTAAAATGTAAGAGGATTTAATAATCGGCCAAAATAATCGTTTGATATTTTCTTCTAGAAAGACTCATTAAAAAAAATGCACAGTTGATTTTAAAAAATGATGAAAAGTTCCTGACAAATTGGAAATTTTTATGGTAAAATTCATTGATGGATAAATTAATTATTGATTAATAAATTATTTATAAAACTATTAAATTATCCCGCAAATTAGTGATTTTAGAAGAAAATGTCAAGACATTTACTGCAGAACATTTAATAATTTAATAATTTTTTTAGAAGGACTCATTGAAATAAATGGACAATTAATGCAAAAAAATAATAGAAATTTTCGATTGAATTAGGGGCTTTTATGGGAAAAATTTAACGAATAAATTAATTATTAATTACTAAATAACTTACAGCCATAGATGTAATGGAAGATTTCGAAAATAATCTCTCAGCCTCCTTGAATTTTCTATTTCTCTTATCAGCTTTACTATTCGTATTCTTATTACTCGCTAAATATCTGTCCCATCCTCGGATGATATTTCCATACAACTGAGTATCCTCCAGATAACTCCCTTCGAAAGCATAAATCTGGCGTTCCAAATTCGCCAGTGTGTCCTGAAACCCCGCAAAATCAATAAAAAAATTGATTAATCATTATTCTATCACCAGAACAATTCAAAAAAAAATTATTCGATTGAGAAAATTCAATGGACGAATTTTTGACAGTGAAATTGGCGCAATTCTAACCTAAAAATCATCCGAAAATCCAAATAAAGAGACTTGAAGTGTTCTTTATGCCATTGTTGACGCAATTGATCGATAGATGGATTAAAAAAATTATTTTTCAAGTTGCGAATTATTTTTCAAGAGTAAGAAAAATAATGTTTTTGATTTTGGAGTGGAAGGCACCTGTCAACCTGAAAAATCACGAGCCTATGAAAATTTCCAACTCACAGCGATTTCCGCCTTCCTCTTGACCAACTCCGCGAGTTCTGCTCGCAAATCAACCGAGGACTTGGTCGACATGCTGATGAGGCCTTGATCCACCCAATAAAATGGATAAATCTGCCTGGGTGAATTATTGAAAACAATGTTTTGCCTCGGAAAAAGTGGGCTCTCAGCTGTTTACCAGGAACTCGGTCTCATTTCCGGTGTTCCGTATTCATAGTACATCTGCAGCGCCATTTGGTATTGGGGTGATCGACTAGAGGTACATGCAGACGCGTGGCATTCTCGTTTATATCGACTGCCGCCCGGCTGGGAAATTTACGAATGGCGGCAAATTTTGGTGGTAAATGTTTCGTTCAAATTATTTCTATTGAGCGATATTTAATGAATAAAAAAAAATGTAGCCCAGTCGTCCAGAAATTAGGGGTTTCGGCTGGATTCAGCTATTTCTTAATTTTATCATTCTTTGGTTTGTTATTTTTACTTTAAATAATTTTTTTTCTGCTAATTAAAACATTCTTGAAGGTATGGAAGCCATGATATCCCCATTTGGATGATTCTTTTATTTTAGATTGTCCCACGAATTTTCCTTAACCGTCCAGCAATTGGCCTGTTTACCTTACCCGTAATCGAAAAATAATGGAAGTATTATGAATCGATTTTCTGGGAAAGTGGAAAATTTTCTTGAATTATTCAGAAAACCCAAAAATTTTCTAGAAAACAGAATAATATGCTAATTTTTTATCTTGATTCATTGACTCGAATCATATTGCTTCAAGCGCTGTAATATTTCTGCGTCTATCGACCAAACATGAATCTCCAAGAGCCTCGCCCCAAACCAGTCCGCCCCCATTGAACAGTTCAGTCTTCATGACAATCCTACAAGTGCGGTTTAACGGTATCAATAATTACAACAACGAAATTACCCATCATCATCACTAAAAAAATCAAATTAATCAAATCATCGTCTGATTTCCATCCTAATTCACCAATAAAAAAACACTGGTAAAATTTATGAATTAACACTCGGCTCGATGAAATCAAGGAATGGGTGAAGAAGAAGAGTTATACAACCTAATCCACAAGAAGATAAAATCACCCTTCTTGCAACCCATCTCGTCCCTTCCCCCAATCAACTCCGACCGAATCCGCTCGAAATCGTCGTACAAACGTTTAAAATTATCCCGGAACCTCCAACCAAAACCCCGATCTACCTTGAGCCTCACTGAGGATCAACAATCAACGGAGATTTTCAAGCCGAAGCTCCCGAAGTCCTTCTACATAATAAAGTTGAAAGAATGGGCCGAAGAGATCCCCATAAGCGGGTTGATGCCCTCTTGGGAGTCCAACATTATCAATCTCATCCCGACGACCTTGAAATCGAAGTATCCCCGATGTCTGGAGGCCCTCGTCAAAGAAATAAAGCAGCTGTACGTCGAGGAGATGCAGGAGTTTGCAGTCTCCGCGATCGTAATCAATGATAAGGAGGAGGAGACCGACGAAGTTCAGGAAGAAGAACCGACAATGATTCCACCAGAGAAACCCCTAGTCACCCAGAATAACAAACTCTTCCTGAAGAACCAGAAACAATTCAAGACTAATTACTTCTTGTCGCAAAGCCTCATGAAGCAGATAATCTCGACAGCTAGGCAAAAGCTGACATCAGAAATCGTGGACTTGTCGAACTATCGGGCCTTGGGGCTCCTCAACATTTCGGACCTTCAGTACATGATATCAAAAAGCATCAGAAATAGCACATCGAACATAAAGCACGAGTATTACAAAGAGATCATGAAGAAAGTCCTCTCTAAGAGGCACCTGAGGAGAATCAGGAAGGAAGAAGAGTCTAGGTTCATGCGATGTGCGACGAATCTCTTCGTTCAGCAGATCCTGCAAAACATGATGGAGACCATTACCAAGATGTTGGACATCATCAAAGACGTGAAACGCTGCCCTCAATTGAGTTTCGAACTCATTATCACTGACGGCCTCGAGAACCTAGAAGACTTTGAGAGAAATATCTCCTTGAGCCCCTCCATCGAAATGGTTTGTGGTGTCTATCACCAGGCGATCAACGACATCTCCAACATCGTCAGAAACGATCTCCTGTGCTTCAAATACGAAGACAGCGACGAGAATCACATCCGGGTGAATCTCCCCGAATGGTTCCTGAAAGAATCTCATGACAAACTGTCTGCAATCTTGGCTGACTTGTTCCAACCCCTGAAAGACCATTTCTCGGAAATTGTTGAAGAGTTCACGTACGTTTGCACCCCCATAACCAGAGATTTCATCATAGATCTAGTCTCGGAGAGGAAAGATTTCAATGTCTACTGCGATCACGTCAAAAACTTCAATGTTTACTTATCGAAGACCAACGCGATGCTCTCGTATTTGTACTACGACGCTGGAAGACTCAGCCAGATGAAGGCGAAAGAAAACCTTCATCGAAACATCTCGGGATTAATCAAAATCCTGATGGACAAGATGGTTAACTACCACTGGGACTACAACAGATCAATCTTCAGCAAGTTCGAACGCCTGAAGAACTCAGCGCTCGACATTCCGAAGAATGCAAAAGCCCTGTTCGAATTGAGTGAAACCATGTCACACGCGTCAACAGTAATCGTAGAGAAGCTGGAGAAGAAGATCGTCAAGTCCGTGGAGATGCTGAGTGAACTTCTCGAGTTGACGGATCTCTCAGAAGACCACATAGAGTTCAACAAGTTAACGATCAACTACTTGTCGTCGATATCAGACGTCTTCACCCAAAGCAACATTCTCTGTGAAGCGATGAAGAGCGAACTGGAAGACGAGCTCCAGCGCAAGATCAATGTCCTGAATACCGAAGTGGAGGAGATCATACCGGAGTTCGTAATAATGGACAACATGGACGACGCGAATCGCGTACACGAGTACATAGAGTTCCTGAAGCTGTTAGTGTCAAAAGTCCAAGAAGTGGACGACGAAATCAGAACGATAAATCACGAGGAGAAGCTGTTCAAGTTCCCTGAGACGGCGTTCCCTCGGGTCGACGAGATTAAAGATGTCGTTCTACCTTTCTACAATTTAAACAAGATGATCTTCTTGTGGAGGAGGCACAACAGCGTTTGGTTGGACGGTCCTTTCGAGTACATCGACTCTTCCCAAGTCGAGAAGATCACGCTTCACTACTTCGAGGAGTTCACGGAGCTCAACAAGACCATGAAGACGAGGATCAAGCTAGACATGACGACTCCGAACAAGCCTTTCAAGTTCTCAGGGATCATTGACGATCCCGATCCCATGCAGCAACCGGCGCCTCTGAAACTGTGCTTCCAAGTAATTCAACATGTGAAGGATTTTAAGCAGTACATCAGACTGGTCAACTGCATGTGCAATCCTGCCCTTGCGAATCGCCACTGGCACGAGATGTCCATCATCTACGGGTCCGATATCACTCCGAACGCTGGGACCACTCTCAGGAAGATTATCGCACTGAATCTGATGGAGAATATCGAGAAATACGAAGTCATCAGCATCTCTGCCAATAAGGAGCTTGCGTTGCAGCAGCAGCTGGACGACATGGTCGAGGAGTGGAATGATGTGGTGTTCGACGTCAATGAGGATGTGAAGGACAAGAGACTCGTCTTCGTCAATCTTGAATCGGAGATTCAGGTGAGGTTGGAGGAGCATTTGGTCAGGGTGCAGGAGATGAAGGGCTCTTACTTTGTGAAACCAATTGCTGAACATGTCGACAGTTTTCATCGGAGTTTGATCGGCGTTAGGGATACGATTCGTATGTGGAATCTTCTGCAGGATGAGATGATCGTCATCAAACCTATCTTCGAATACTCTAAAAGATTCAAGTCAGAGGAATCTGGGGGAATCACAAGGGCGGAAGGACGTGAAGATTTTGAAGGGAGAGAGTTTCGAGTGATTTACGATGTTTGTGAGAAAATCGAAGAGTGTTTGAGTTCGGTGAGGAGTGAAATTACGCGAAATCCGACGTTCCATGGAATTGGAAGGGCAACTGAGTATTTGGAGATGCTCAGACAGTGTCAGATGTATATCGAAACTGCTCATGAGAAGATTTACGAGTATCTGAGGAAGATGAGAAGAGTTTTTCCTAGATTCTACTTTCTTTCTGATCAGGAGATTGTTAGGATCCTATTCAGTGATGAACCTGGGAATAATAGTGTTAGCAAAGTCGTGAGATTGTTGAGAAAGTGTTTCTATGGGATCAAAAACGTGAAATTGGGTTCTGATGGGAAAATCGTGGCGATTCTCAGTGATTATGATCAGGAGTTTGATCTAGCTTCGGAAATCAATCCTGAAGGGACGAATTGGCTGGTTGATGCCGAAAATTCGATAATCCATTCGGTGAAGAGAAATATTGACGCGAATATTCAAAGAAGTCATGAAGATCCTGGTGACTTCATTGATAACTTCGTTTCCGGTATTCTTAGTGTTTCTTTCGCGACATTGAAAATATTTTGGACTTTGAAAATCGAAAGGTGTCTTCGAGATTCGACTCGGAATTCTTCGAAAGAATTGAACTCCCAGTTGGTGACTCAAAATTCCTTAATCACTTCTGTGATAAATGAAATGAAGAGCGAAAATTTGAGCAAGAAAATTCTCCGGAAGAATCGGCGATCGATTCTAATGAGTTTGGCTTCGGCTTTGATCCACCAACGTGACGTGATCTCTTCATTAATTTCCAAGGATGTGAAGATCGAGGACTTTCATTGGGTTGCACAACTGCGCCATTACCACATCGATAAATCGATAAAAATCGAGATGATCTACGAGACGAAGGACTACGGCTTCGAATTCAACTCGATGATCGATTCCCCGATGATAAATACTCCCTTGACTGACAGAATTCATCACACGATCTTTCAGGCGAGTAGGAATCATTATTTCTGCTTGCTAATCGGCCCTGCAGACACCGGAAAGACAGAAACAGTGAGAAGCCTGGCAATCAACGAATTGGGGCTTCGGTTTCATCTGATAAATTGCACGAAAAACTTGACCTGTGAGAGGGTCTCAAGTGTGTTGAAGGGAATCATCTCCGTTGGGGCTTGGGTGACCTTTAAGAACATAAATCACACGCAAGCTCCAATTCTGTCAGCAATAACCCAAAGATTCAGTCAAATATTGAAGATTTTCGCATTAGCAAACTCCAAAGGCTCGAAATTTGAAGGCTTCGACTTGTTCGGGGATTTATCAAGGATCAAGTATTCTGGATTCATCACTGTGACGATGACCTTGAACCCTGGGAGGGTCTCGACATTCCATCAACACGAAAATATTCCGGACAACTTTCGAGCCATCTTCAGGCCAGTCACTGCTCATCATCCTGATTTAGAAAGGATTATTGAAGTGAAGTTGTTGTCCTCTGGCTTCACAAGGGCTGACACTATTTCCAAAAAGATGAAGATGTTTTATAAATTGTGTTCAGAACAGTTGAACGCTGACCGAAGGTACTTGTTCGGTCTCAGGTCATTGCTTTCGGTTGTTGCAAATTCGGTGAGACTCAAGTTTCAGTTTCCCGAAGAGGAAGATGAAGAAGTTATCATCCTGCGATCAATAATTGACGTTCATTTGGCGATTCTGAGGCAAGATGATGTTCCTATCTTCCTGGGTTTCATCAAGGATATTTTTCCGAGGGTTCAGATGGTCCCTCCGGATTATAGTAATTTTCTCAGAGTCTTGGAGGAATTGTCAGCTTCAGATGCCTTTCAAATCCCCGAAACCTTCACCTTGAAGTTAATTCAAATTCTTGAAATATTGCATATTAAACAGTCGTTCATGATTGTTGGAGAAGCCCTCTCAGGAAAGACCAAAATTCTCCGAATTTTATCGAAATGTTTGTCCCTGTTGCATTCAAGAGATGATAATTTGGGGGTCGAAGTTGTCATTGAAACGATCAACCACAAATCCCTGAGATTGGAAGATTTATTTGGCTACAATGAAATGATGAATAGTAACAAACGATGGGTGGACGGAATTTGCACTTCAATTCTGAGGAAGTTCTCCGAGAATAAGATCGAAGCCAACGGATTCTACTCGAGGAAATGCCTGATCTTCGATGGCCCAATCAACTCATCCTGGACGGACAACTTATCCACAATTTTGGACGATCGTAAAACATTATTTCTGGACTCCGGAGAAGGAATCAACATTCCAGAAGCAACTTCAATAGTTTTTGAGACAGAAGACCTGAAAAACGCGACTCCAGCCATGATCTCCAGGTGTGGAATAATCCACATGGATAGTGATACGGTTGGCTGGAGATCGCACGTGAGATCTTGGGTAATAGACCAAGATTTCTATATCCAACCGAAGAACCACAAGTTCATGATCAATTTCTTAAATTGGGCGTTGGGAAGCGCCCTCGACTTCCTGCAAGATCTTGCCGATTCTTTCATAAAGGTCAGTGAAATCTTTTTGGTGATTTCCGTCCTGAAATTGGTGAAGATGTACTTGCTGAATGCCCTGGAAGTTAACAAGAAAGAGGGTACCTCAGCTAATTTCAACATCCACTTCGGAATTTGGTTCCAAGCAGCACTGATCCAGTCCATAATCTGGGGGATGGGGGGGACATTATCCTCGGACGATTCCAGAAACAAGTTGGACGGATTTTGCGGCTCAATTTGGGGCAAAAGACCAGCGGAGATCAATCAACCCGACATAGGTCTCCCCGAGGGTCTGATCCAGGACCATAATTACGTCTTCAAAGCTGCTGGTGCCTGGAAATCCTGGCCGGAGATCATGAAGAATTCTATAGACTTTTTCATTGACTTCAAGTTCATCCCAACTGCCAATACAACTCGACTGACGTCCATCTTCGAGAGCCACATCAGACACAAAATTCCGTTCATCATCTGCGGAAATGCATCAATCGGCAAGACCACGATGATGCACTTTCTGCTGAAAAAGAAGCTCCCGAAGTACAATGAAAAGTACTTATCCAACATATTTAATTTCACCTCGAGGACTCCTGCGCATCAAGCCCAGAAGAACTTCCTTCTGAAGATCAATAGAATCATGAAAGGAAGGTATGCGCCGCAGAAGGACAAGTACTCGATCATATTTATTGATGACCTGAACATGATGAAAGGAGATGATTCTGATGGAAATTCAGGATCAACTTTGGAACTGATCAGACAGTTAATGGACCACGGTTATTGGTTCGGCTGCAGCAATAATGATGAGAAGTTTCAGAAGATATTCGTGGAGAACGTAATGTTCCTTTCGGCTCTGACTCTCCAAAGCAATAACTCCAATCACCTCTCGTCACGGCTCATCAGACACTTCAGTTTGTACTCAATGAGTTCACCATCGAAGGAAAACATCTTCCGGATCTTCTCAACTTTATTACTGAACAATTTGAAGAAGAATCAGTTCAGCGCTGACGTCAGCTCTAGCGTGAATTCTATGGTCCACGCAACGATGCAGATATTCAATTCGATTTCGACCAACAAAGAGCTTCGTCCAGTCCCCCTGACCGACTTCAAATATCAGTTCAACCTGAGAGACATTGGAAAAGTCATCAACGGCTGCAGCTTGATTCATCGCGAGTCAGCGGAGACCAAAGTCACATTGATTCGTCTCTGGGTCCACGAGTCCCTTCGCGTCTTCGGGGACAGAATGATAAGTAGAGATCATCAAAACTGGTTGATTTCCACCATAAAAGAAGCTATCAACATCCACTTCAGCAAGGAGTCCTTCGACTCGATTTTCGATCACCTCCCGAAGCAGAACGATATGCTGACGGCAGAATGTTTTGAGAGTCTGATGTTTTGTAATTTCATTGATACAGGTGATCACAAGGAAGACTCAACACGTCGTCGAAGATACGAAGAGGTCACCTGCAGCAAGGAGGTTCTCAGCAATAAATTACTCTCCCATTTGACTCAGTTCAACGAGAAAGTAGAAGACTCCAAGAAGATGGACATCATCATCTTTTCAGACGTGGTGACCCATTTGGTGCGTCTCAGCAGGTGCCTCTGCACTCCCTCCGGCAATTTCCTGATGCTGTCGATGAGCGGAGGCTCCACGGGGAGGCGAACCCTCACAAGGTTATCCTCTTTCACCCAACAATCCGAATTCTTCGAGTTGTCTAATGATTCCAATTGGAGAGAAGACTTGAAGAAAGCCGCAAAGTCCATCGCAGGGAGCGCCAACAACTGTTCCTTCTTTATTCCATGTAGATACCTCAAGCATGAACACCTGATGGACATTAACTGCCTGATATCCACGGGGGAAATCCCGGATTTGTTCCCCGAGGATGATGAGCGTCAAGAGATCATCAAATTCGCAAGGCTACCGGCCCAAAATGGGGACAGGAACCTCGAGATCGGGATCATCGAGGTCATGAACTACTTCTACGAACAGTGCCAGGAGAAGCTCCATTTCGTTCTATATGTGAACCTTTTCGATGAGACAAGATGTAAAAGAAACAACAATTACCGATTACTGAAGTCTTATCCGAATATTCTGAACTTCTGCTTCATCGATTGCTTCGAGGACTGGCCGCAAGAGGCCTTCCACCAACTCACCGCGAGATTCCTCCGAGACCTCGCGGTAATCAACAGCTTCACAAAGGAGAAGGTGGTCTCGGCGTCCGTCGATATCTACAACCACTCGAGGCTCATCAAACCCATCAACAATTACAAGACAACGCCAGGGCCCTACGCCTTCATCCACATGATGAAGCTCTACTCCCAAATCATCACAATGAAACACGAAAAGATCACGGAGTCTCGTCACAGATACCAGATTGGCTTGGAGAAGCTACAGTACGCCGAACAAGAAGTGTCAAAGATAAAGGCAACTCTAACGGAGCTGAAACCTCAACTGGAATGGTCAGCAAGACAAACTGAAGAAACGATGAGGGAAATCGAAACCGAGAACGTAATTGTAGAGAACGCAACGATTCAGGTGAAGCGCGATGAAGAGATTGCAAACAGAGCGGCTGAGATCGCCGCCATCTTGAAGTCGGAGTGTGAAGCGGATCTGGCGGTGGCTATCCCGATCCTTGAAGACGCCATCGCAGCGTTGAATACGCTTAAACCGGCGGACATCACTTTGGTGAAAGCTATGAAGAACCCTCCTGACACTGTAAAACTAGTCATGGCGGCTGTCTGCGTGATGCTGAATGTGTCTTCTGACAGGGTGATTGATCCCGTCACCGGGAAGAAATCTATGGACTACTGGGGGCCGAGCAAGCGAATTCTCGGGGAGATGAACTTTCTTCAGATGCTGAAGGACTACGACAAGGATAACATTCCAGCCAGTCTGATGATGGTTGTGAAGAAGACCTACATGACGGACAAGAGCTTCATGCCTCATATCGTAGCTAAAGCTTCGAGTGCTGCTGAGGGCCTCTGCAAGTGGGTCAGGGCGATGGTGTCCTATGACGAAGTTGCCAAAATCGTCGCTCCTAAAAAGGAGAAACTAGCGCTCGCTGAGAAAGAGTGCAACGAGAGTTTGGACTTTCTCAATCAGAAGCGAAAGACATTGGCTGAATTGACGAGAAAGTTAACTGCACTAAACGAAACGTTGAGAGAAACTCTAGCTAGAAAAGTTGAATTGGAGAGTGAGGTCAAGAGCTGCACGGAGAAGCTAGGAAAATCTGAGGGGTTGATTGCGAGTCTAGATGGAGAGAAGATCAAGTGGAATAGGTCAGTGGATTCCTTGAAGAGTTCATTGGAGGCTTTAGCGGGAGATCTCTTAATCTCTTCCGGAGTCATCGCTTTTCTATCTTCGTTCGACGAGGCTCACAGACATGACACCATCGAAAAGTGGAAGGATATCCTTCAAGAAGAGCGCATATCAATTTCAAAGTCCTACGATTTTCTGGTCAGTCTAGAGTCCAAGATCATCATCGACTCTTGGAGACTCTCTGGACTCTCCCGGAACAGGTTTTTCGCCGAGAATGGCGTCATCATGAAGAACTCAGTCCTCTGGTGTCTTCTGATCGACCCTCAGAACCAAGCGAACACCTGGATTCGGAAGATGGAGGAGAAGAACAACCTGAGAATCTTCAAATCTTCGGAAATCCGTTTTCCTCGTTGTGTTGAACAGCTTAAGACTTGCGTAGAAGACAGTACCCCTGTTCTACTGGAGAATTTGAGCAAGAGTTTCAGACCCTCGGACCTGGACATCATCTACCAATTGAAGTCTCGGAACCAGAATTCAGAGACACAAGGATTCAGATTCTACATGACAACAAGACTTAGTAATCCTTCGTTCAATCCTTACATCCTCAAGAGAACGAATGTCGTCAACTTTAATCTGCCTGAGGATGCCCTCCACGAACAACTGCTTGATATCGTGGTGTCTCGCGAGCAGCCCGAGCTCCAGGCCAAGTTCAATGATGCGATCATCCGAAGTAATAGGAACAAGCAGATCCTCCACGAGGAAGAGGAGAACATTCTTGCGACTCTCTCATCGACATCGACCTCAATGTCAATCCTCGAGGATGAGAAGGCGCTGAAGATGTTGGACACCTCCAAGAAGCTATCTGTAGAAATAATGCGGAAGGAAGAAGCTACCAAAGAAGCGAAGAGAGAAATCGAGGGGTTCAGGAAGTGCTACAGCAGCTTCACTTCCTTCTCTACTAGTTTATACAACACCCTGACTTCTCTTGTCGCACTCAATCTGATGTATCAGTTCTCTCTGACGTCTTTCACTCAGCTCTTCATGAAGTCCATCGACACCTCCCGGAGGAGCTATGTTATTGAGAAACGATTGAAGTACTTGAAGTGCTCTTTCACTCAGACTCTCCACTCCAGCGTTCGGAATTCATTGCTTGAAGATCATAAGGTTGTTTATTCGTTTCTACTATGTTTGAAGATGTTATCGAGTGATGAGGGTCTTAACAGAGACGAAGTTGATTGTTTCTTCGAGGATTTGACGGATTTTGATTCCAAATCGAAAGCTCTTGATGTTTGGTCAACGTTTTCGTCTGAAAAATTGAAGAAATTGGAGGAGCGTTTTCCAATATTTGAGGGAATCGTCAAAAGTCTTAAAGATAATAACACCTCGTGGGAAAAATTCTCAACTGAAGACGATGATCTTCCTCCTCCTTGGGCCTCAAAGCTCTCGATCTTCCAGAAGCTTCTGCTTGTTAAATTCCTAAAACCAGACAAGCTCCTCCGAAACATAAGCAAATTCGTCACCTCCGTGATGACCCGCTTCGACGTGTCTCCATCACCCCCAGGCGGACTATCTCAATCGTATTCAGAGTCCACCTGCCTCATCCCCATGATCTTCATCCTGCCGACATATTTAGAGCCCCTCAAGATGGTTACAGAATTCGGAAAGAAGTACGGTTACACTTCGAAGATCTTTACGGTGTCCCTAGGAGGTCCTGAGGACTCTGATATCCAGCATCTCATCAAAAGCTGCCAGAGGGAGGGTGCCTGGGTTGTGATCCAAAACTGTCATCTCGCGGATGCCTCCACAATGTTCCTTCTTGAGAAGATTCACGAGGACAAGATGACGGGAACGGATGCTCTCCTGGGGTTCAGGCTCTGGCTGTCAAGCCTTCCGTCCGATAATTTCCCCGTGGGAATTCTTCAGGACGGCATCAAGATCACCAGCAGTCCACCGAGAGACCTGAAGGATTCCCTCATCAACTGCTATCAGACCGATCCGCTCAACAAAATGGAGTTCTTCTCCAGCTGTCCCGGGAAGGACAAGGTCTTCTCGAAGATGATTTATGGGCTCTGTCTCTTCCATTCGATCCTCAGGGAGCGGAGCAAGTTCGGGAGACGAGGGTGGAACGCTATTTACGAGTTTCTCCCCGCGGATTTCAATATTTCTGTGCGACAGCTCCAGAACTCGGTGAAAATGGCGGATTTCGGGGGTGGGGGGAGTGGCCATTTTGTGGAGGGTATCTTCCATCTTGTGGGAAGGTGCAATTATGGTGGGAGAGCTGTGCATTTCGAGGATGAGAGATTCATCTGTGAGGTGCTGAGGGATTTTTGTAATGAAAAGGTTGGAGTCAGAAGGAATTATGTGGTCTTTGGCGAGAGGGCGGGGTCTGTGCGAATTCCTGATAGGTGCGAGTACAAGGATTTTTTGGGGCATGTGGAGGCCATTCAGGACTGTGATGAGGTCCTCAGGGTTTTTGGCATGGATGACGATGTGGAAGTGCTGAGGGATCTTTTTGAAGTGGAGAACTTCCTCAATTCACTACGTGTGATTAATGGGATTGATAGGGATTTCGGGCAGGGAAACAATGGGGTACGAGGGAATTCTTTGGCGGGAAAAATTGAAATTGTCGAGGCGGATTTACTTGGAATGATTAACGTCGAGGATCTGATGGGTAGATTTTCGCGGGAATATTCGAAGCCATTGAATCATGTTTTAATCGAAGAAGTTCGTGATTTTAATTCGAAACTGAAGGAATTGAAGAGTTTACGGGATGGAGAAAATGGGAGGCTCAAAAATATGGGAATTGGGGGAGAAATCACTCCGTCAGAATTGAAAGAACGATTTATTTTCTTACAAAAGTGGATTGAAAATGAATTCCCTGAGGATCCGATTAAATTAAGACTGATTTCATCCCCAAAAAGATTATTTTCTGCGATAAGAATCATGTTTTCGCGAGAATGTTCAATCGACATCACAGAAATCACTCTCAAAACCGAAATTTTGGGATTGGAAAATTTGGAAAAATTGATTAACGGGGGGAAATCGATGTATATTGAGGGTTTGTTCTTGAGTGGAGGGAGATGGAACGAAATCGACGGAAAGTTGGAAGTAAATAATGAGAAAGAATCTTGGAATGTTCTGCCAATAGTTCATTTGACCCCAGGGAGAATTAAAAAAGATGTAGCAAAGGATTTGCATGATAGATTTTTCTGTCCGCTGTATAAATCCATAAACCAAAGGGACTTGATCAATTTCTCTGGTGATGTAGAGAATTTCATAGACAGAATTGAATTGGAATCTGATTTTTCTGGTAGTTTTTGGGTGAAACGAGGAACTGCATTATTTTGTAACATTTATTAATATGAAATTGATGATTTTATCAGTTATATCGTCAGCACAATTCAATAAAATTTTTATTATGATTTATCAACAATCGGAAACATGATTTTTTTTTAATAAAAGATCATAATTTTCGGTAATTCTGTGCAGTGATCTCATAAAGTTCCCACTTTAATTGAATACATGAATTGAATACATTTTCAAATTAAATTAAAACCTCTATCAATCATTGATTTCCTCAAATTTTAATTTTTTTCGTTAAAAATTAGGAAATTAAATTTCAAGAGCAAAAAAAAAATCACTTTTTGGTAATCCTGTGTTATAATCTCATAAATTTGTACAATACTCGTCAATTAAATTTTATAAATGCATCAATAAACAATCGAACACGGAAAATTAGACTATATTAATCCTCAAAATTTCATTTAAAAAAGTCATGAATATGTAATACATAAAACTCTTATCGTGTCTTTTAATTAAGCAAGACTGGAAATTCCTATGAAAAAATACTCATTCGAAATTGATATATCATTCGAGGAATGTGTCGCATGGACAAATACTTTACACTTGTGTTTGGCTGCCCCAGACACGAGAGACAGCAGTTCGTGACAGTTTTTTCCCTATCGTTTGAACGTTAAAACCTATTTTCTGGAGATTATCGTGATCTAGAATTTTTCTGCCGTCGAATATGTAGGCCGGCTTGGTCATTTCGGTGAAAATTCTCTTGTAGTCCAACTCCTTAAAGACAAGAAGAAATTAATAATCCATTAGAATAAATGACTCGAGGCATCAAGATTAGAAAGATAAAATATGTGTGTTTGAACTGAGTTTTGAAAATGAAAAAATAATGATGAGTAAGTTTTTTACAGTTTAAAGCAGTTTAGGGAATCGTAGAAATTTCGTTCGTTGATTAGAACGATAAATATTAGATTTCATTATCAGTACCATAAATTCGTCCCACTCGGTGCACACAACGATGGCATGTGTATTCTTCGTTGCAGTGTAGGGATCGTGATAAATATTTATCCTTGTTTTCAAGTCTGACAATCCGAGAGATGATAAATCGTCCATTATTTGAGATTCTTCCACCTGAAATAAAAATTCAAACTATAAAGCTGAAATTCATTGGGACACACACGAATAAAATTCGTAGGAAATTATATTGGATTTCTAATGAAAATTTCATCATTTTTTGGGCGATTGTACATGTATGAAAAAATTTAATATAAAATCGGGAAAATCGAATAAAAAATTTAATAGAAAATTGAAATACGGAGCACTTTAGGAGAGAATGTGAAAAGATTTTGTGACGATGGGTCATCAACCCCAAGACGTGGACGAAGTTGAGGGTTCTCCGTGGGAAACTGGCCCGGACGGGTTTCAAAATTGTGAAGTCATGTAATGATGACGTTGAGTCATTTGTATGAGTTAAGGGGAGACCGCACTGAAATTTCGAAATCACCGGCGCCTTTATTCATCGTTCTGATGGGTTTACTACTTCCGTTCACGTATGGAAAAATTTCATTGAAAAAGTCAACTTATTCTTTTCAGATATGTTCTGTACAATTTTATCGGCTCAAATTGTTCTTTTTTTTTCATTTTCTCGATGAAAAGAGAAACGTAGGATGGAAAAAACTTGGAAAATTTGAGCTGAAAATATCTCAATAGAATAAGTTATATACAAAAATCAAATTCTGTTTAGTTTTTATATAGAATATTTTCTATTGAAAATTTGAATAAAATCAGCCAAAACATGATAGAATTGTCTAGCGAAATCACTAAAATTCGGAATATGAATAAATTTGTTACGATTCCGAACAAAATGCAATTGCAATTTTGACTTTCTATTTTTTTTTAAAGATTTTTAAAATGTCTTTTAACAATTCAATATCGAGATTCAAATTCAGACCGGCAAAGTTTAAACAATAAAATCATTTTATTTCGGAAACTTGGGGTCAAATGGGGCTCGAAAGAAAGCTCTAGTGTTCGACTACAAAAGTAGGAAAGCATTTCACTGGAGAAAAACTATCCAAAGTCCTTGGGCACCCTCAATCATCATTTCAATTACCTTAGGATCGTAGATATGTAGAACAGCCCCCTCATCCAGAAGAGTCTGTGCCACATGAATGGCAGGCGACTCTCTGGTGTCCCCAGTGTTCTTCTTGAAGGCAAATCCCAGGAGTGAAATATGCTTATCAGTGACAGTATTGAACAACGACTGAATGACTTGAGCAGAGAACCGAGACTTCTGGTACTCGTTCATGTCGATGACCCCCTGCCAGTACTTGCCGACCTCCGGGAGATTGAGGCACTCGCACAGGTACACGAGATTGAGCAGATCCTTCTGAAAGCACGAGCCCCCGAAGCCAACGGAGGCCTGAAGGAACTTGGAGCCAATTCTCGAGTCCAGTCCGACTGCCCTCGCCACCTCGGACACGTCAGCCCCAGTTTTTTCACAAATGGCGGATAGGGCGTTTATGCTCGATATTCTCTGCGCCAGAAAGGCATTGGCAGCTAATTTTGACAGCTCTGAGCTCCACGTGTTTGTTGTGAGGATGTGCTCACGAGGGATCCAGTGCTCGTACACTTTGCAGAGCTCTTCTATGGCTGCTTGGCCCTGGGGGGTGTCTTCTCCACCGATGAGAATTCGGTCGGCGCTCACTAGGTCTTGGACTGCGGTGCCTTCGGCCAAAAATTCGGGATTCGAGAGGATCTGGAAGGAAACGTGGTTGATGTTTGCGTCGGCAAGGTGCTTTTTTGGTGGCTGCCAAGGCAGAAAGCTATTTGCAAATGGGAATAATGAGATGATTATGGGTCCTATCACTCAGAGAATAGGCGAATTTCAATGGGGGAATTATTTGGTGGACGTGAGACGTTTTTGGTGACTTGTTTGAGGATTTTTCTTTCGCCTGTCAATGCTGATTGCATCAACAATACACTTTGCTGATGATTAAAAAGGGAGAACTTGTTTATTTTCAAATAGGAACAATAAGGGTAATTCAATGAATCATGGGTCCTATTACAAAATTAATTACAATTAAAATTAATTTCTTGTATTTGAGTATTGAATCACTAAAACGGTTCAGTTTTCAATCAATATCTCAAAATCTACTAACGATAGCGAAATTTTTGTAATAACCTTTTTTGTAGCCCTCAAATCGCCCCACAAAAAATGTCGTTACGCAAATTCCGCCATCTCCCTTAAATTCGGAGATATTCCTCGAAATCTCAGCTAAGAGCCAAGTCGACTTGAATAGTTTTACCGCTTGCGCTTCTGAAATATCGCAAAAGTTTTCTTTACCTGATAAGAAACTCCAGGTTTATGATTAGCCCTGAGAATATTCATGATACTCTCAGCAGCTCTAACTGGCACAGTGCTCTTCTCCACGACAATTTTATCATTTGTCGCAATTTCAGCAATCATCCTCGCTGCACTTTCGACATACTTGAGATCCGCAGCACGTCCCTTGCCATTTCCGAACGTTTTAGTAGGTGTATTAACCGAGATGAAGATTAGATCTGCCTCTTGAATGGCAGTCTCTATGTCCGTGGAGAAGAAGAGATTTTTTCCCCGACATTGGGTGACTACTTCGTCCAGGCCGGGCTCGTAAATCGGGAGTTTGTCAGAATTCCACTGGGCTATTCGCTCTTTGCTCTTGTCCACAACTGTTACGCTGATGTCTGGACATTTTAGGGCTATTACACTGCAGGTCGGGCCACCTACGTAACCCGCGCCAATGCAGCAGATTTTTTGAATCATTTTTCGGGAATTTTGGGGGCTGAAAAGAAATGCAATTACGAGATACTGTGCCAATTTTAGCTCGGAAGGAACAACACTCCTGGAAAATTTTAAGGAATGTGAAGTCTCGATAACAAACTCTGTAAAGCCCTTCCTGATTTGCATCTTTTACGGCCCTACCGACGAATAAACCCATCAAATATCTTTTTGAATAATGAAAGAATACCTATCAATTCGTTTTTTATCCTTGTTTTTGATAGAATGATGAATGTAATGATTGGCAATGAGTAGCAAATTTTTTTTTAATTTATAAAAATTTGGAGTTGCAAAATCATTGCAAAATGTCCGCATTTTACTGGAGAAAAAATAGTTAAAGTACTTGGATATCTTTGGTTGTTCGCTAATGAATCGATAGAATGTAATCATTTTTCTTTAATGTAGATATTGTCTAGCCCTATATATCGACGCTAATTGGAATTTAATTCCTTACTCATTTTCCGAATTCTTGAATTTCTTCAAAAATTCAGTTGTCTCACGATGACTGGAAAAAAAATGTTCAGAATTCATTGGAAAATTGTTTTGAGTTGTACAGTAATTTTCACGAGAAATTAACACAATTGATTAGAGAAGAAATATAATTCGATTAAATGCGATAATACGAAATAATGAACGAAATACGATAGAACGAAATTATGTGTGAAATAGCTACCCTATATAACGACAACATCAATTTTCCCACTTGTTTGTCATTAATTCAATGTCATTCGAGTTTTTAAATTGATTTCAAATTGATCAGATTACGAATATGAGTAATTCATGAAATAAATGTAATAAGTACTTCCCTCACGGTTTATTTATCGATTGAATTGGACGATTTTAACTTGCATTGAATATATTAGACAAATAAAATTAAAATCTTATTGATTATTTCACCGTTCAATAATATTACTCTTGTATAATCATGCGATCGATTATTTTTTCTATTGATCGGCATTTAATAAATGAAAAAATATGGCCCAGTCGTCCAGAAACTGCTTTCAACTTTTTCTTAATTTACTTTTTTTTTGTTTTGTTATTTTCACTTGAAACAATTTTTTTCTGCTACTTAAAAGATTCTTGAAGGTATCTAAGCCATCATATCCCCATTTAGGTGATTAAATTTCCGTAAAACTGAGTGCTCCCGCTATTAAATCCCCTCGACCATGAGAAGTTTTTAATTCAGTTGAAGAAAAAACAGATAATTCTTGGAAATTCACCTGTTGACATTTCTGAGCATGAAGTCATTGATAATGTCCGGTGGATTCCTTCTAGGGGAATTAAAATACCACAAGAATTGCGGCGAATATATTATCTGAGATATTACTCATCAACAGTTGGATCATTACAAAATAAAAGAAGTAAAAAAGTTATTTCAATAGAAGTAAAAGTTCATAATAAACTTGTTTATATTCAGAATTTTATAGATTATTTCATAGTCCACTTTTCAGATTTCAGGAGGAAATATTTATTAAAAAAAAAAAATTTGTAACGCGCAATTTCTACATTGCTGAACGATCCATGAATACTCCAAAATTTGTCTCAGGCAGTTCGTTAAGTTTTCAGTTAACAAATTCAATTATTAAAATAATCAATTAAATTATTTATAAATTTAATAAATTCAATTATTAGCCACTTGAACATTCTCAATTGAAAATGTTCTAATTGAAAATCCAAAATATTAGATAAAACAATCATTGTTTACCTCAGAAAATATTTGTCGAGTGCTCCGAATTGATCGAACCCTCAACAATGAGGTGTCAGCGCAACAATGCACCACTCGAATTAATTCCCTCAGCTATTTAGGGGATCTACCACAACCGTATAAAAATTTTCCCGCAGTTTATGCCGAGTTCAAGGTCTTCGGTAATTGTGGTTAAATTGATACTGATGGAGATGTGATTTTTGACGTTCGGGGGGCGTTGAGGCACTACTGAACATCCGATTCACTGACAATTCTGGCGTTCACGCCCGGCAAACTGCCTGCGACTGGGTCGGGAAGTCGGAATGAGCTTAGGATCTAGGGTGGCTCGTTATGTTGAAGTCACCAGTGGAGCTGCCAATGGCAGTGGGAGGAAGATCCCTGCGGGATGATAATCAAAGTTCCTAGATGTTTATTGAGCCGGAGGAGGGGTCGTTTGTAGAGATGCAAAATGACCGTCATTTTTTAGATCGCGTCATATGACCAAAAAATGACGGTCTTGTGACGGTCATGTGACGCACAAATTTTCCAACTACAAATGATTGTCACAAATCATTTGTAACCAAATTGTTGTTAAACCATCTATATAGTTGCATAATGACGGTCATAACTAATTTCCAATTTGTGACGGTCATGAATAAAATAAAATAGTTTCATCTACATGGATGAAAAAAAAACGTGATTTCCATTTCAAAATACGGATTAAGCCAATACTGGGTGCGTTTCGGAATCAACTACCGTAGCTGCAGTAAAGCAAAATTAGATAGGGTTGCAGTACTGCTACTGCTACTACGTCGATTGCGAAACGCGCCCACAAAAGGAATTCAATTGAAAATTGACCGAGAAAAAAATAAAGTTTCATCTATATAGATGAAAAATGACTGTCATTTTTTCTTGACAAGTTGCGACGGTCACAGAAGGGGGGGGGGAGAATTGTGACAGCCGTCATGAATGCCTTGTCATGTGACCGTCAATGACGGTCACATGACCGTCAATGACGGTCACATGACCGTCATATGACGAGTCATGTGACGCATTTGCATCTCTAGTCGTTTGTACAATCTCAGACGGACACATTCCGTTTCGAACACGTTCTAAGGAAAAGGCGAGAGTACGGAAAGCGGTGGCACAGACGGGCATAGAAATTTGTGGACACTTTCTCGGGTGGGCAGATTCTCATCAGGTGGTTAAACAGGGCTTGGAGTTGAAGATATCTTCAGGAAATGCCGTACCAGTCGAAATTTTTAGTGCAACGGCACGGTCAGAGATGGCGGGATTATTCTCATTTCAAGCGGATTGACTAACGGCGCGGAATCGAACTGGGGATGTGACAGTTATCAGTTGCACCAAACGAAGCTTCTTAACTGTTACCGCGATTCGTTAATAGTTAAAGAATCGTGGTAATAGTTAAAAAGTCTCGTTTGGTTCGACTAAACCGTTCTATCAGTGTAGAATACAATAAGTTGAACCGCCAGAGGCGCATAAATGAGCTATTAGCAACGGGAGGAAGGTTTCCGGATTTAGAAATGACGATGACCTTCTGAATGGTAATCATCAATTTTGGGCGAATTTTTTTCGATATGGCCAAAGTGTTATATCTTGGATTTTTTCAGGGGGAAAGTCAACTTTCGGCAAAATCGAATTTTTTCTCCGAGTGAAAGTTGATTCCGACTATTCAAGGGACAGTTTATAATTTCGCTTGAAATGAGAATAATCCGGCCCCTTCAGACGAATCGGGACCTTTTCCGACTGAAATATGCGCAAATACGAGCCTATGTATTGCACCAAAAATAGACGGACATTAATTAAAAACCTTTTCAAATATTGAAAAACCTTTACTACTATCATTTGATTACACTTCTATCATCATTTCAAACATTCCTCCCATAAATACAATGACAAATTAATGTGTATAAATCTTGGAGCTAAATCCTAGTGCTTAGATAATAAACAGAACACAAGATTGCTGAACACGTTCGTTACTCATCAACCAACTATTTGTAGACTATTCAATAATAATATTGATGAGCTGCTTGAGTAGACTTAATACTGGCGGTAGGACGATTGCTTCTGATTTTTCTGGGGTTGTTTTTTTCCGGGATGTCCTCGGGCGTATGGTTTGTGTCCGTTTGTTGACAGATAGAAGATTCCTCTTGCGCTGGAGATGAAAAAAAAAAGATTAACAAAAATGTGATTAATCAATTAAATTCATCACTCCGTTGATGAGTAAAAATCCTCGAGGGAATTATTATTTTTGATGAGTTACTGACGTATGTGGGGTGTCCTCCCCCATGGGTATCCACTCCTCGTCCGCCGGACTGCACCATCCTATGAGGTATGAGAATAGATTTGGACATGGTGCTGCCCAAAATCCCACCTTTGTCGTTATCGACTCGATGTAGTAAGGAGTTACTTTCGTGTGATCGCATGATAGTGTTCCTGAGTGATATGAAGGAAGAGAAAAATATCAAGAGAAAAATATCAAATGAGTTTTCGTAGGGGGTATATGGGCCCTTGGCGACGCTTGGGGCGAAGGGTCAAATGGGAGAGATGGGCGGAGTTATCAGAAGGGTCGAACGGGAGAGTTGACCCTTGTGGAAGATCACACAATCATAAAGGTCAAATGGGAGAGTTGACCCTTGTGGACGATCACACAATCATAAAGGTCAAACGGGAGAGTTGACCCTTGTGGACGATTACCCAATCATAAAGATCAAACGGGAGAGTTGACCCTTGTGGACGATCACCCAATCATAAAGGTCAAACGGGAGAGTTGACCTTTGTGGTAACCTGCCGTATCAAGGGTCAAACGAGAGAGATCAGCGGAGTTATCGAAAGGGTCAAACGGGAGAGTTGAGCGAAACAAATAAAAAAAACCGCTTGCTGTTCCATTTGATCCTTCCCATCCCTCCGCATGTTAAATATTCATACAGGTCAAAGGGAGAGTTTGAGCCTTGTCATAACTCCGCTTGTCAAAAGTTCTTAAGGGCCAATCGGGAGAGATGGGCGGAGTTATCAGAAGGGTCAAACGAAAGGGGCGACCCTTGCGATGAGACTGTATGTCAGACATTCGTAAGCGCCAAAGGGAGAGTTGGCCCTTGTGATAACTCCATCTGTCAACCATTTCTAAGGGTCAAGCGGGAGAGATGACCCTTGTCGAAGATCAAACAATCACAAAGGTCAAACGGGAGAGATCAGCGGAGTTATCAAAAGGGTCAAATGGGAGAGTTGATCGCAACAATAAAAAAAAATCTCTTGCTCCCCCATTTGACCCTTTTCCCAATTACTCACTCAGTATTGATGTTGTCGCGCATCCCGGCTGACTCGTCCCTCCATTGACATAAAAATCTGCGTGTCCATTTGGCCCCCACTGTCCCAAAATACCAGCACCCGTGTGAATAATATCGACAAAATGGGCATCCGTTTCGTCCAAGTCTCTGGATCTGTTTCCATTCATGTAAAAAAATATCGTTGGATCGAGACCTAAAATAATCATCTACATTACACGATCTAACCAGATTATTGGACATTGATGGAGAATGTTTTTTTGATAATAAATCATTCATCGAGTCAAGTACCCGTTATCCTCCCCAATTTGTCATCGGGCAGGTGATTTGCTATGAGGCCAGCTATGTGAGCACCAACGCTGTATCCCAGTACGTGTATATTCTCCACTGGTGTACCACGCCGATGATCCCTCAAGTATCTCACCAATTGAGCAATACAACGCGAACAAAAGTCCGGACCCCATTGCATTTGTGATAGACATGGCTCTCGTACTAGCGATCCGTAGTCCACGATTATTATGTTGTAATTGCCGCGTTTGAAATAAGCTGGACAATATAAATATGCAGATGAATTGAAAATTTGATAGTTTTTGCGCTAGGAATGGAAGCACTGTATTCGGAAAATTAGGGATTTGTTGGTGAAATTATTTATTTTGAAACTAATGTTCAGGGAAAAGTGAGAAATTTTAACGTCAGGACTATTTTGACTATCAATGTTGGGGCAATGTTGGCTGCCAACGTTGGGGCATTGTTGGATGGCAACGTTGGGGAAATGTTGGCGGCTAACGTTGGCTCAATGTGGGCTGCCAATATTGGGCCAATGTTGGCTGCCTAGGTTAGGACAATTTTGAATGCAATGAATAATTTGCATGATTGCAAAGATCGTGAGCACTGCTGACAATTTGACACCGCAATTAATCATGTTTATGCAGGAATCTGTGGAAAATAACGATGAGACTGTCTCCGCGTTTTCTCTTCTATCCACAACAGCTAGATGATTGCAAATAATTTTAGAAATTATCTCGAATAAACGAGAATGATAATAGCTGATGAACAACTGTCTCGACTTGCGGCGTTACTCTCACTAGTTTCCGGTCAATGGCCGTGCATTCGCGCAAGTTCTGCATCTGCCTTTCACGTTCAATTTCCGTGTTATAAACTACCTCGCTTAAATCACGACGTCATAAACGTACTCCGTAAATAATGAGTGCATTAAATTTTTCAGTGGAATTTAACAAAGAGAGTGATCTCAATAATTCCATGTGGATTGGTTTCTTGATATCTGTGGAATTATTTATTTTTAGTTTTTGAAATTGTAAAAAAAAAATATTTTTATTAGTTCCTTAATTACGGGTGTGAAAATTCACGCAGAGGAATTTGTACAGAAAATTTCTACTGATTTTTTTCTATAAAAATAATTTCTGGTGCAATACAAACCAGCAGCGAAGTGGTAAAACTGTTCAACTCGACTTATCTCCCAGTTGAGTTTTTGAGGAATATTTCCGAATCTAAGGGAGATAGCGAAATTTTCATAATTACATTTGTTGTAGCTCTCAAGCGGCTCTACAGAAAACGTTATAATACAAATTTTGCTATCTCCCTTAGATTCCGAGATATTCATTGAAAACTGGTCAATAGTCAAAATCGACTTGTACCGCTACTGAAATGGATACTTTTTATTTTTTAAAACGCAGTAATTCCAGTAGAATTCCCTATCGAATTTGCTATTTTTTTTCTGTTTTTATTTCGTACGTGGAGTTCGCAAATAAATTGAATGTCCTCTTACCATTCCTCAAATCAGTGCTCGGTGCCAAATTCCTTCCTCCCCCAAATCCGTGGATGATAACCTTGGTGGGATGCGACGGATTGTATGTTGTGTAATCGAGAGATCGCGGGTCCCTGACGTTCAACAGTGCAGGATCCTTTTGAGTCGTCCTGCAACACAAAGTCCATGGACAACGAGTGTTAAAATGCCATTATGCAATTTCCAAAATTCACTCTCATAATTTGCATTCGATATTTTTATGTACTTGGGGAATAAAATGTCAGTTCGGCCGTGACGCAAGCCCCCTAGGAATCTCATGTATGACTTGCATCCACAGTCTCGTACGTGGAAGGTGGAGAAAGGTGAGACGAGGAAATCGAGGTCACTTTCAATTTACAATGAAATGTGATCGTGATCTTGAAACTAAAAGTTTTTCGATTCACGCATGAAGCTGGTGGATACCGGGGGAATACCAATATTTTTATTGGATTTGTTTTCGGGAATTTCCAAAAAAAATAGATCCAAGTACTTTCGCTATTTTTTTAAATTGAAATTCTTCCCAACGTTTTTTGTTTACATCAGAGCTTTCGTTTGATCCAAACATTGAGCAATGATTTCACTATTCAACCTTTCAATTTGAATGTCTCCAAAATCTGAGAGACATTAGAAAGTATATTTGTGGAGAAAGATTATTTCGGAAGTTGGGAAATGTGAACTTGAATTAGTTTCCGAATTATTTGTGGCCGATAAAAATCGTTTGGAAAGGATTTTATACCACTGACAGTTATTACACACTATCATTTATTCCGTGATCTCCTCAGTCTTTCCATTTTTCCAAAAATCAAGTTTGAAAAAATTTGCTGAGTCTTCAAAACAAAAAAATAATTTTCCGCACTGATAGAAAGAATTAATTATTGTTAACGAATGGATTTGGTTGAAGGATTCGGTCTCACTAAACGTCCATTCATTAACACAGTAGCGAAGTGGTAAGAGGAGATACATCAATTTTGACTATTGACCAGTTTTCAATCAATATCTCGGAGTCTGCGGAAGATAGAAAAATTTTTGTTATAACCTTTTTTGTGGAGCCAATTGAGTGCTACAACAAATGTCATTACAAAAATTTCGCTATCTCCCTTAGATTCGGAAATATTCCCCAAAAACTCAACAGGGAGATGAGTCGACTTATCTCCGTTTACCATTTCACTGCTGAATAGTTAATAAATGCACATTTGAGGGCCCTTGTTTGACTCGGTTTTCACCTTTCAAGTGAACCATTCGCTAACGATTATTCACTTGGTCATATTCAACTCCGCATTCGTTAATAGTTAACGAATCTCGTTTGGAATAAATGAATCAGTCTATCAGTGTGGCTTCTGAACAAGGCAAGACTGTAATTAGCTCTCAGTCACACCTGAGAACAAACGAACTGGAAACTGAAATGTAAATGATTTGTTTTGATACCTTGTGTAAAGATAAAACTGAATCTGTGGATGTGGACAGGTATACGGTGGCTTGGCACAAGACGTACTGTTGAACAGGTCTTTAAGCGTCTTGTTCTGCCCCTCAACCTTGCCTGAAACAAGAACACATTTGCAAAAAACTCGCGCCAATGTGGGTCGTCAAGACTGATATTAAAAAAATTATCAGTCAGGCGATCAATTACACGCGAGAGATCAGTAGAATAGTAATAGATAACGAGCGAATAGCCGTGACATTGATCAGGATTCGCCGGACCGAGAGGCGTCAGCAGGGATTGAGGCAAAGGCCATCAGAATCCATGTCATTTGCTCTTTAACGTATTCTTCAACATGATCGGATATATTTTTCCGTTGCCACATCGATCATATTGACTTTTCATTAGATTTCGTTAGATGGATTACAATTACCTAGAAAATCGTCGCAAATTTTATTGTGCCAAAGGGAATTGCGGTGCGAAATGCGGTGCAATGGAAAAATACATCTGTGGATGCAAAAATTTTCCTCCTGTACGGTGAAAAATTTCCACTGAAATTTCGGGGAATCTTGTCATTGAAAAATCAAATATTCGATCGGTATTCTGTTCAAATGATCTAAAAATTAATAAAATACTTGATTTTTCAGTTCAATTATTCTATGAAAATTCAGAAACATTGAAAATCCATGTCATTTTGCTTCTGAATATTAAGGAAGGGTCCTGGGAGATGTGGAGAAAACAATAAACTGCACTAGATTATTGTTACTTCGCGACGTTTCGCTTGTAATTTAAGCTTCCTCATTCTCTGAAATATTCCATGTTGGGAACTCTGAACACATTATTACGTTTATAAAATTTTAATGTTTTATGACATTGAATTGTAAACTTTAACAATTAATTTGGTTTTCAAGGTTTTATCAAATTGAATTTGTAAACATTAAAAATTATATAAACGTAATAATGTGTTTAGAGTTCCCAATTGAGTTCGCTCCACGATTACTTGAGTAGTTCGGTAATTTTTCTCCAACTTTTTTCTCCGTGTATTCATCGCACATCGAAGGTGCATTCTGAATGACAAAATGTCTTTGGAAATGATCCAATGCGATAACGCGACAGATTGTTGCAAAATAACAAGAAAATTGGGAAATGCTAAAATGTTAAAATTCCAATGCCGATTCAAATATGAAATTCCCGCGCAAATTTTCAGCTCCGAGAGGACAAATTTAAGCGATAATTTGAATGAACTCTCCTCCTATTTAACAGGAGTGAGACAGTACCGAATAATGAATTTTTGAAAATACTCACACGTGAAATAAACAATAGCAAAAACAACGAGATATTTTAAACCACTGACATCCATCTCCGGCACTCCCGAGAACTGTGATATAACATTCGGACGTGCAGACTGGCTATCAAACCACCAAAAGCAAAATGAAGAACTGAATTTTGAAAAAAAAAGCGTCAGAGCTGCCGAGTAAAAGTGAATCTCCCAGTCCGGCATCCACTTGAAAAATAAAAAAAAACAGCCCGGATGAGCCTCAGCTAGGCCTTTTAGAAAGTATGTAAAAGATACTGGTCAGGATTGCTGGCCGAGGCTTCCCCGTCCACGGTCCAGCCGCATGTGCGATCGCCGATTGGACGCATGCGTAGAAGGAACCGGTCGCTTCCCGATCGAGGGATAGACCACTTTTTTCGTTTTTCGCTCTCCCACTTTTTTTTAGAAAAAATTCCCACGCGGTGGTCGCTTTCCTTGAATTGTACTCCAATGGCGGGTGCTATTACTGTCAGAAAATGATAACAAAATGGGGAGGAGAACGTGAGTGCTCGTCCAAGGCTGTAATCCAATTGTTGAGGAATTGTATAATACCCCGATGACACAAATTACATCAAGTCAGACGCAATGTCTGATGTTATAATCAGAAATAATTCTATTACTTTCGTCTAGGTCATGTCGACTTATTCCTGGTTCATTATGTGTGAATTTGGTTATGTTCTCTCATTGGGCAATCGCGCATGCGCATTGTCCCTTGATTTCTTTACGCGTGCGCGAATGTGGGGAATCCCCAAACTATCTCTCTGCTGATGATTCATCACCATCGACCCGATGATTGATGAATCGTGTGCACAGAAGTTATTTTCTTGTCAGTAATTCCTAATAGGCAATGAAGAATTTCTCGCTTCATAAAAAATTGTCAGCACGAGAAGAAGGGAGTACTATTGAGTTCATCAACTATTACACTATTCATTATTTTAACACGTGACCAACTCCCTGCAAAAATCGTATTCCAGTAGCGGATGTCATTTTTTCCAGAAAACGAAAAAAAAAAATTAATTGAAGGTGAGTGGTCTCATCCGAGGCTATAATCCAATTGTTGAGGAATTGTATAATATCCCGATGACACAAATTATATCAAGTCAGACGCAATGTCTAATGTTATAATCAGAAATAATGCTATTCCTTTCTTCTCGGTCATGTCGACTATTCCTGGTTCATTACGTGCGAATTTGGTTATGTTGTCTCATTGGGCAATTGCGCATGCGCATTGCTACCTCGATTTCTTTACGCATGCGCGAATGTGGGGAATCCCCAAAAAAACTCTCTGTTGATATCAGAAGTTGAGAAATAATTTTAAAAATCATTCTCGCTGGACAAAATCAGATTGAAAGGCAATGAATTATCATCGCTTCATAGCGCTTATGAATACGAGAAAATTGAGGTATCATTACTCTCTATATATGACATTAATCCTCGACTGACTTCCTGAAAAAATTGGAATAACTCATGCTACCGCATTGTGCATGTCGCACGGGAAAAATGTGAAGTGAAAGTCCAACTACAATGGGATCATTTCTGCAGATGATACCCGGTTAATTGCACATGAATTACCAGTCACGTTTATTTCATAATTTAGTTATGATGTTGCGCGCACCAAGTTCAGATCCAAAAAATCTGGGAGAAAATGTCTGATATCAAGACCAACAGAAAGACGTGACATTCTCATAATTTTGTGCGTACCATAATGTCGATCAGGGTTATTCAATAGAGTAGGATTGCATTGCATGTGATTTACTGGTATTTGCTCAACCATTTAATTGTTTATATTATCCAACATAGTCTGCTTGAGACATTGATGTCAACTGGGTTATCTCTCAATTTTCGGTGACGAATTGTGATCGCCACACGTGTAAAATCAGATAAATATTTTCAAATATTTGAAGAGATATTCTGTGCAAGTAAAAATACATTCTTCAATGGAATAGAAATCCCTTCTATCATTGAGCTTCACTTTATGAAAGATACTCTCATCCTGAAATGTCAGAAAAAATTCTGCATGAGATAAGACTTTTCCAAGTTTCATAGGTTTGGACGAAACAATTTCTTCCTTCATAGCAATCAGAATAACTCACAAATGAAGAGAGGCTGATTCACCGTGGAATGTCCCACATATCCCTTTCCTACAGCCTCAACATTTTTTCCACAAAAATTTAAATTACTGCATCACAACCAGTATTTTATAAAAAGGAGTCGACAAATTCTGGGGCACAATTTAATACCCGCATTGCGCAAATTAAAATTGTCTAATCAACGATTTGCATGCAATCAACAACTACGAAGGTTCATTTTAATTAATAAAAAATTACGGCTCGTGATGTACTGTAAATGCGATTGTAGTGAGCTGGAATGCCCCGAGGATGTGACAAAGTGCATGTTGTAAAATGGGAAGCATCCGTGACGACACAATTGTGAAATGAATCAAAGTGCGATTGATATTTCTTTCGTTAAAAGATTGGCTTATACTTTATTGTCAATTAGTCATCAGTATTTCATTATTTTTCACTTTGTAGTACTAAATAATACACTCAGATTACAATATACATACATATTTTACATAATTATATCATGTAATAATCGTTCAACAAACCAGACCAGTGTACCGGTGGTTAACAATAATTTTGTCTTCTTGTTTATGTTTCTGTTTTCGTCTGAGGACTGATACACAATGTTAACGAAGTTTTGTCAATATTTTCCTAATATTAATCGAAGAACCGAGCAACAAAAAAATTCCATGGAAAAACCTAGAAAATTCTATTGGATTTCTATTGAAATTTCTATGTTGTTGGCCAATTCTATTGAAAAATTCCGCAGCTTAGTTTTTAATAGATATGTTAATGAAAAATATTCTATAGATAAAATCAATGTAATTTCATTTTTCTATACCCCTTATTTTATTAACATATTTTCTACGGAAATCCCTCAGCTCAAATTTACCAATTTTTCAATTTTTTTTTTGTTATAAAATTAAGTTCAAGAAAGATCAAATTTCACTTATCTCTCTATATTATAAAAATCAAAATCTTTTTAAAACTTCTGGTGATGAAAATTTTGTATTCAAAATTGAGACTTCGAAATTAAGGGTTGTGAGGGTCAAATGAAGAGGCATAAGGGTCGGATTAAGGGTCACGAGGGTCAAAGTAAGCGTCCAAATAAGGGACATGAGGGGCAAAAACCAAGGTTTTGAAACAAAAGGTCATCAGGGTCGAAATAGGGGTCACGAGAGTCAGATTACGGGTCACAAGGGTCAGAATAAGGATCATGGGGGGGCCTAGCCCCCTATGAAAAATAAAATCGTTTCTATCGCACATGTTCCATTAAAAAAATGCGCAGTAATTGCCCGAAATTTTTCAACAGAATCGGCGAAAAAAAAGAATTTCTCATACAGGTTCAATAGAAATCCAATAGAATTTTCTATCGAATCCGTTGGGTTTCTCAACAAATTTTTTTCGTGCGTGACAAATCAGGCAATGGAAATCATACGTGAATATCTGATACCTAATGACAAAAGCCGAAAGCTTAAGCTATTTAACATTTATATAGTCCGACTGGGATTATTAACCGAAGCTTTTACCCTTGTTAGTTCTTTGGTTTCTTTTCATCTTCGGTTGAAGACAATGAAGAGGACTATTGTAATATGGAACCGGCTCGGATAGACATCCCGTCTGATTTCAATAATAATCATCCAAATTTCAGCTAATACTTTATTGTCCTTACAATGTATTACTTTCCTTCGTTTTTTTAATCATCTTACATTACTTTCATCGTTTATTGTCGCTATAATAATTGATTCACACATTCTTTTTAAATTTAAATTTTCATCGCAAAAAATTTACAACGACATTTAAGTAGAATTTATCCTTCACCTGAATAGTTCTATGGTAACACGTAGAGTATATACTGTTGAATGTATATACAGAAACAATGACTAATTTATTTTTGAAATAAATATATTTTCTCGCGTGAAAGAACTCGTTGTGAGAATTTAATCAGGAATTTTATGGTTGAATTCTGATAACAAGTTCCTTCGCGTTTTTATCATCTGTATACATTTTTTTTTATAACACACGATTATCATTTCTGTCTTCGGATCGAGTGTGAGAAATTGCGTTTTAAAAAATAATTCTCTCTCTATTGGGGAGATATGGTTATGACAGCTAGTGCTACTGTTTGTTTTTCATACTAAACACTGAAGTTTTTGGATTGAGAAACATTGGGGAAGTATTGGGGTTTTTGTGCTTATGATCGATCCATCGATATTTCACTCCAACAAAAATATTCTTTGGTATTTATAGCTAGTCTATGGCTCATCGTTCTAATCCACAAATTCAATCGTAATTATGTACATGGTGAATTGGGTGAAATCAAGCTGTTCTATTTGTTTATGACCATTGGGATGATAAAGTGATATGGGTGCGAGGGGAGAATAATTGCAAAAATCGAGAGGAGTATTTTGGTGATTTAACGATTTTTTTTTTAATGTGGGGTAACAAATATTCGTTGAGTCTAGGGGCGAGTGGGGCGGGGCGGAACGGTAGCGAATTTCGTTTTAAGGATATTCAAATTGAGTTTTAATTGGCAGAAAAAAAATATTTGAAGGGAAAATAACAGAACGAAGAATAATTCAGTAGCGAAGTGGTAAAACGGTTTAAGTCGACTCATCTCCCAGTTGAGTTTTTGAGGAATATTTCCGAATCTAAGGGAGATAGCGAAATTTTGGTAACTACATTTGTTGTAGCACTCAATCGACTCCACAAAAAAGGTTATAACAAAATTTTTGCTATCTCCCTTAGATTCCGAGATATTCATTAAAAACTAGTCAATAGTCAAAATTGACTTGTACCGGTTTAGCACTTCGCCACTGAATTTAATTGAGAAATGGTTGAATGGAGCCGAAACCCCTGATTTCTGGACGACTGGGCCATATTTTTTTTATTTATTAAATGTCGATCAATAGAAAAAATGATTAATCCCATGATTATACACGAGTAATATTACTGGGACGGACACTTGATTGTTCCGTCAATGAAAAATTTTACACAATTTTTTCCCAATTTTTATAATAAAACTGATTACCTTTGGTACAGTAAAATTTGCCACGATTTTCTACCCTTCGTCATTTTTTCAGCAACAGAAATGGAGACAAAAGTTATCCAAATTTCGCTCTACATTTCCTGCTGCCGTTCCACTTTGCCCCGACGCTCTTCAAACTTAAAAAATAAAGTCAGTACCAAAACAAATAACAATACAATTGAGTGGCATCGATTATNCGAAACCCCTAATTTCTGGACGACTGGGCCATATTTTTTTTATTTATTAAATGTCGATCAATAGAAAAAATGATTAATCCCATGATTATACACGAGTAATATTACTGGGACGGACACTTGATTGTTCCGTCAATGAAAAATTTTACACAATTTTTTCCCAATTTTTATAATAAAACTGATTACCTTTGGTACAGTAAAATTTGCCACGATTTTCTACCCTTCGTCATTTTTTCAGCAACAGAAATGGAGACAAAAGTTATCCAAATTTCGCTCTACATTTCCTGCTGCCGTTCCACTTTGCCCCGACGCTCTTCAAACTTAAAAAATAAAGTCAGTACCAAAACAAATAACAATACAATTGAGTGGCATCGATTATCGCCACTCGATAAAATCCTAAAATTACATTTCACAGCATTGAAAGTTGACCAGCATAAGTCCCTCCTACAGAGGATGAAAAACCAAAAATGATAGTTACAAGCGAAATAAAACCCTCTCCATCTCTCTCGGCACTTGACACACTTTCACTACTTTATTGTCGATAAATTAATATATGGTATTATCTCTCTTCATTTAATATATAAATATATCATTATTATTGTTCGAACAGCATCAGCACTTAGCCTAGATGTAAATGTTTAATCATATAATTCATCTCTGCAATTGTATGAGTTTGTTTTTCTATAAGTTCTCAGTTTTCTTCATTCTCATGACGAATAATGCAAAGTTTTAAGGTAAATTAGGCCAGACACTACTTTTGAGTGATGAATATAATGGTTGTAAGTATCTATACACTGCCCTCTAAATATTTTGATAAGATAAATTATGTCAATATCGATGTACATTAATTCAACAAATATTCCATCAAATGCAACAAATATGTCATTAACAATCGAATTGATTAAAATATTCAGATACACTGGAAAAACTAGTGTCTGATGTTGGGACACTTGAATTTAAGCCATTTTTAGGGTCTCGAATTGAGACGCATTCCCGGCATTTCAGTGGCGAAGCGGTGAAACGGTTCAAGTCGATTTAGGCGGTTTTCGAGGAATATCTCGGAATCTAAGGGAGATGGCGAAATTTTCGTAATTACCTTTTTTGTGGGGCGAATTGAGGGCTATAAAAAAGGTCATAACAAAAAATTTGCTATCTCCCTTAGATTTCGAGATATTTGCTGATAACTGGGCAACAGTCAAAGTCAACTTGAACCGTTTCACCGTTTCGTTGTTTATAAATAAATAATTTAAATTTTTTAAACTTTCGTGAAAATTTCTGTGAAATTTTGAATATGAATAAAGCGGAAAATTGATTGTTTATAAATTATTTACAGAAAATACTTGTAATTTTCACAAATTGCAATTTTTTAATTATTTTCTGCAAAGTTTAAATAATAAAATCATTGTTCACTGGTGAAAAATAGCTAAAGTACTTGGATATCCTTAAGGCATTTAAAATTTCTGTCATGTCCAAATTAGCCGACAAGACAAATTTTCATGTCCAGTGTCTCAAATTGAGGCGCCTCAAAGGCCCTAGTTTTTGCAGTGTAACAACAAATAAATGTTTTAAAAAAAGGAGCAAATATTGCTCTAGCACTCGTCCACAAGTTGAATGACTCCTCAAATAAAAAGGATTCTGTCATAATACTACACTTAAAAATTTTCGTCTGAATTTTCGGAATGCGATTTTGGGTGAAACAAATCATGAAATTTCAGATTTCCCTGAAAATTCAATGGAATTTGTCACTGAATATTCATACTAGATTGGAAATTCAAATAAATTAAGGAGTTCTCGTCTTTATGCCGCTCAAAATTCTGGAGTTTTACTGAACTGTCAGTGAAACCTGAAATTTCATAATTTTTTCCCCCTAAATCGCATTCCCTGTCACTATCCTGAAAATTGGTAGTCAACTGTCCATGAAATTTCACTGTTTTTCTAACAGTGTATAACTCAGATAATACTATTGCACCAGAAAAATGAGTACCATTCGGCTATCAATCACCGACACACTCGCCGATCACTTAAAAATTCACTGATAAAACAATCCCTCGCCCGCACATCGCATTCTCCTAAACCTAATATAATTCTTCATATTTTTTTTGTCAAAGCAACAACATCTCTACCTATTCACACACGTGTGGCCATTCCCTGGCAACGTATCCAATCGATTCCGGTCGAGGATAATAATTATCTTTTATATATAATTTTCAATAGATTTAAGGTTATTTTATTCATTAATACGTTATGAATTATTTAATTTTCCTTCAGATACCTTCACGCTCACCAAGGTATCACATAAATTGACTAATTTTCCATTGGATTTTGAATCAAAGATTTTTCATAACTTGAATTTGCTTCTTTACTTTCACTCTGTTTATAGTCATTAATCGTAATATATTGAATTATTGTTATTCCCTTTTAATCGATGCAATCACAAAAATGTACTTTCATCAATATTTTTTTCTTCAAGTTTTCACTTTCCTCCACTCACACGCAATCTACTGAACGCTTACGACATATATCTGAGGGATATTAGCAAAGAATAAGTGCTAATTAATTATGCATTGACACAAAAATCGTCATTTCTCTTTCATCTTAACATGTTCAATATTAAATACTTGTTTGTATACAGAAGTCTTGATACTTTCAATATTTTTTTTCTATCACTTTAGGTTTTTTACTTTCATTCGTAGCTTTATTTTCTGGAGTTCCCGAGACATCGCTCCATTTATTGCTTTCATATTGTCGATTTTCTTCGGAATTCTTCAAGAATATCCAAGTAGTTCGGCCCAAGAGCATTCCAAATATTTTTTTTGAAAATATGATCCTCTATCAAAAAATAGGTGACACATGCTAGACTTATTTCAAGTCTATCTGAGCTTAAAAAATAATAACAATAATAACAATGGATAATACTTTTTTTTCTCAAAAAAATTGTGAATAAGAAATTTTTATTCATGTGTTTGTCGAAGAAGATTCAAATTTTTTTCTCAAATCTGAATAAATAAAGGAATGAATAACGATCATGACTAAAACACTGAGTGCGAACGAAGTACTTGGATATCCTTAATCAAATTAATTCGGTGATGGTGATTACTCCCTAAAAGTATCAGCCAATGGCGCTATAATTATTCTTCCTCTCACCAAAAAAAAATGTAAATTGTATTGTCTTTCCTCAATAAATTTATAAATTCATATCAAATATCTCATTTTCGTGCGATTGGAAACAAGTGCAGTTTTTTCTTCATATTGTCACAATCTTTAAATAATATAGAAACATGAATATTTATTGTCGCAGTTTTGCAAATATAAATCTCAAGTGCAATTCAAAAACACGTGCTTTTTTTATAGTTAATATTGTCTGCATTTTGCGCTCAAATTATTGATAATTAATGCGCTCAAGTTAATTGTATATCTATCGTGCGTTGTTCCTTTATGCGCCAATTAACTGTATATTTATAAAAAATACCGTTATTTTTAGAAATTAGTGTACGTAATTGTTATACTTTCTGTTAATACTTTCATCGTGTTTTTCTTTCGTAGTTTTGCATAGTTTTTAACCGCTTACAGCACTATTATCTGCCCTCTTAGGTATTCCCCACATCGAGGAATTTAGTATTGTCAGAATTTTTAGGCGAAACCAGTAAGTTTCACTATTTGAATCCGTTAATGAAATGGACATGTGCGAAAAAATTTCAGAGAACAAACCAACGAATTCGTTAGAAAATTCTATTGGATTTCGATTCTGTTGCAAAATTCCCCTATTTTTCTGCGCATTTTTTCCGCAGAAATGCACAATAGAAAATATTTTATAGAAAAAATCAATAGAATTTTCTTTTCTAGGTTCAGATTATCTTGGTTTTTTTTCTTCGAGTCGTTCCGTGAAAAGAGAAAAAAATACAGTGAAAAAACTTGAAAAATTTATGTCGAGGAATTCCTACAGAAAATATCTCACCAGAAAAAATACATATCAAGATGCAATTCCACTGATTTGACCTATAAAATAGTTTTTATTTGTTCTTTTCTACGAAAAAAAACGCGTAGAAATGCGCAGCCTTCAATGGGAAATATTCAATAGAAAAAATCAGTGGAATTTTTTTTTCCTCAGCTCAAATTTTCCAAATTTTGTTTGTTTGATTTGCTCAATAAAAACAAGACTGAAAAATTTGGCATTTTGAATAAAAAAAATTAAACTAAAGTGGCAGAACTCTCAGATAGAATCGGCGAAAACCAACACAATTTTCAACAAAAGTTCACCAAAAATCCCCAAGAATGTTCCATCGAATTCGCTGGCTATTACTCTAGAATTTTTGCGTCCACGGCAATATAAAAATTCTCTACTTCTCCTTTTCCCCATGATCCAATTCCATTTCATTAAAGAATTGACGCAGATTCCCAGGGTGAACCAGAATCACTCACATAAACAAGAAAAGAATTGAAAAAAAAATCATTCCGCTCCTACGACGATTACAATAAAATTCACCTCTACCGATATGCGGAAATAATTGCCAATTCGCATCATAGAAAAGCTCCGACAGCTCATCCCCCCCCTCTCCGAAATATATTTTTCATCTTCGATTCAATATGTTTTGTGCAATTGTTGAAGTTAGGAATGGCTCACCTTGAGATCCATGTCCCCGAGAAATAGAATGAACGCTTAAACTTACTAATCTCGTTGAATAACAATCGATCTCAAGAATGATCATTTTGATTTTCCGACGTTGACAGCTCAGTCCCATTGTTGATGCTCCATAACATCGTGCGTGTAGTCATCTCTGGCTGGTGGTTGTACGAGAGTCTCGCTTATGCCACTTGCGAATGGATTCGTTGAGCGAAAGGGATTGCTTGCATTTGTCTCTGTTGATCCATAATTGATCACCGATTGTGTGCCGATTCTCTCCTGTTGATCGTAGGTACCGGCTTGGTGGTGAGGAACATCGTTCCAGGCGGCATTTATGTCTCCTGATGGCTGTCTCTGCGAAAATAATGGATACCAATGAGAGACAGCCAAATTCTAGCGAATCAAATAGACAATTTTTCCCGTCCAAATTTTAGCCGATAGAATTGCACTATTCGACTGATTGGAGTCATATCATTATTATTATTTCATTTAAGGATTAATTTTCCGTTTGTGACGATCACAACTTATCTAATCGAAAAATACTTACGATGAACTCAGACTGCATGACTTTGGGCGGTGGTGGAACAGGTGGTTTAGTCTGTCCCAAATCATCAAGTGGATTCCAACTCTTCTGCTCCTCCAACGAAGGATCAGCCCAAGATTGCAATTCACCGGAGCAAAATATTGCGTAAAACGTGACACCAAATCCGTGAACACATGCTGCAATTATGAACACTACCTTCCACTCGTCCGCCGACTGAAAAAGTCAATGACAGAAATCATAGAATGGAATTGAACATTTTGCCTGCAGACCTTTTGTAATAGGGAACTTGCATGAAGTTCAATTAATGAGCAATATTTCAAGCGTTTGTGGAAAATTGAAAAAAATCATACAAGCTCCCTATTCTTGTGCGGCGGGAGAGTATACTTGCATGATTTTTCGTCATGTGATCAACAAAAACGGGAACAAGTAGGCCGGCGATGGTGCCGATTCCATTGGACATTCCCATGAGAATACTGGCGTATCTCGGTGCAATATCCAGATGATTGACATTGAATCCAGAGATAGCGAAGCCACTGCCAGCAACGCCGAAGGTCAGGGCTATTGTAGCACCAGTTGGATTCTTGTGAACTGTGGCATACGCAACGATGAGGAAGAAGAAGGCCTCAGTGCCAAATCCACCGCAGTTGAAGAGCTTTCGGACTTGTGTTGTTGTTAATTTACCTGTCCTGCGGAGGTAGTCGGCAAGCATCCCGCCGAGGGGTACGATGCACGTCATCAGGAGATGGGGTATGGACCCAACTATACCAGTCTGGAGATTGAGCAATCATAGAAATACTAGTGTCTGAAATTGGGACACTGCCATGCCCTTTCGAAGACCCTTGTGTCCCCGAATTTAAGTAGTTGTAGTGTCTCAAATTGAGGGATTAAGACATGCATTCTAGACATTCGAGACGTCTTGTTTCGAACATACGACGTCTCATTTGTTATTCCAAATACTTCATTCATTGTTTCTCAGTGATCGACAATGTTGCATGAAAAGAGCTGTTGTGCCCCAGATTATTGTATAAATATTATTGAATAATGCAGTTATAAAGAATTTGGTTACGTTAAAATTAGCTGTCGTGAAGCAGAAAGAAGGGCGTTCTCATTCGTCTTGGAAGCAAAGATCAAAAACCCCTTAAGGATAGGTTGTTTAATCTGGTTGAGGAGTAGATCAAGCTTACTTACTTCAACAGTGGATAATTTAAAAGATTCACTCATATAGCGAGCCTGATACAGCACGAGCAGATAAAAATTCCAGGATCGGCAGAAGTTAGCGACGATGATAGCGTAAACTGGCATTGAGGTGAAGAACTTCTTCCAGGGGGTTGTGTTGAATGTTGGCTGAGGTGCTTGGGAGTGTGCCTGTCCCAGGGAGTCCTCGATGTACCGGAGCTCGCGGGCTGTAATGGAGGGGTGTTTCGAGGGCCTTTCGAAGACAAGCCATAACCAGGCTATATACCAAATCAGCCCCGCGATACCTTGAGACAAAAGCAGCATTGGAATTAGGCGAGTTTGATGGATCGGACATCCTCAGATGATCAATCTGCGCAAAGATGCTGATGAAGGATTTACCGTAGACGTAGAAGGAGACAGACCAGTTGAACCACGAGTTCAGACAGCCGGACAGGGGCATTCCGATGACAACAGCAGCGTACGACCCGCAAAAGGCTAAAGTTGCTAGCCTTGATCTTTCCAGGGGTGGTGCCCAGTTCTTCCAGATACCGTGACAGGCTGGATAAGTGACTCCCTATGAACCGAAAAGTCCTCATTAGTCCGAAGGAAAATCAACATGTGTCGTAGGAATGCCGTTGAAGCTGATGAAGACAGACGACGTCTCCGAAGAGCTTTGTTTCAACGAAAGAGCTGGTCTCAGAGGACTAATGATGGCTCACCTCAACAAGCCCTTTCAATACTTGAACAAACATGTCCAAATATGGATCGGTGTTGATGGCCCCCGGTACAAGAAGATTGAGAAACGAGGAGATGGCGATTGCAAGACCGAATATTTTGTTGGCCGGATAGAGGGAGGCCAAAAATCCTCCTGGCACTTGGGTGATTAGGTATCCCAAAAAGAATGATGAGTCCATGGCACTCTCGGTACCCACACCCCAATTGTGTATTCTTATACCATTGCTGTCTGTTTCGTTTGCTATCGCCAGCTTTGCCATGCCCATGTTGGCTCTCATGCCGAAGGAAATGATGAAACCTTGAGGGTCAAAAGGAAAATTTCATTCACCGCAAGTGAGCGTGAGATCATTTCATGATCATAGGTGTGAAGCTGCAATGGGTGATGATTGCTCGATCATCGATCGATTAACGATTGACTGCCAATCGATCAATAATTGACGATCGATTAATGGTTGACCAACAATCGACTAAGGATCGATCATCGATCAAGGATCAATCGACGATTTATTGGCCATCGACCGAGCGAACAAGTCGACAAATCGATTCGCTATCGATTAACCATCGATCGATCTGCCAGGATTTCCACGATTGATCACTCACCTACACAAGCAAGTACAGCAACTGTGAATCTCGTTGACAAGCATGGACACTCGGGTTTAATGTACGTGTCAATGTGACGTAGGGGTGGCCTCTCTGGCTCCGGCAATGAATCAAAGGATGCACGTCCATCGTAGCCCTTCTCGTCCTCAAATCCCATGTTATCCTTGCTCCCTCGATTTCTTGGTAATTCAAATTCGTCATATCCGGCTGACGGTCTTCTTGTTGCTCGATATCTTGAGAAAATTGTTCGAATTTAAGGTGTACTTTGGTTATTGACAATTTGGAAATAATTTACGTCTTCGATTATTTCCAGTCTTGTCAATGTCAGGGGATTATTGTGTGTCTTTGGTGTATTCTTACCCTGCTAACTTTCCTTCTACCCTCGCTTTGATGGTTCCCAGGGCCCCGAGACCCGCCGCTGCGAATCCGGACATTTTTAAATTATTGGGGTTGCTTTCAGATTATGTTTACTATTTTCTTTCTTTTTCTGGGATTGGCAGCCCCTGAAAGAAAGGAGAAATTATGGGGATAAATATTAATATAAGGATGGAAATCCAAATTATGTCATTTTTTCAGGAAAATAAAATTTTATGAAGATTCGGTCCCTGAAAATTTCACTTCAAAAAATTATCATTTCTAACTTTTGTGGGTAATCGAAAAATTCTGGAAAATTTTTCTTTCCACACAAAAAAATGAAGTCAATCTTTGAATTCTCAAAAAAATTGATGAATGATACCTCGAACATTTTGTCAGGAAAAATAAAAAAAATCAAAATCAAGTTCTATTTTTTTCTGATTGACAACCCCTGAAAGAAAAAAAAACCCTTTTTTGACCATTTTTTTCACTACAAAAATCCAAAAAAGGGGGTCGAAGTCCAATGTATCTCATTATTTCGATGAAATAAAATTCAATCAAAAACGCAATAACATTTGCATCCCTGAGAATTTATTTCCTCCGAATGAGAGCAAAAAATTCTCCTGAAATTTATGTGTCTGCGTGAAATCCTCTCCTCGCTCTGGGGAAAACCCGACGGGGGTGAATGTGGAGTAGGCGCTGTTTATTTGGAGTGCCGGGTCCAACCCCTAATCCACCGACTCTCTTCGGGTGGGATAGGGAGTGAATTGCAAGGATAAAATCGTCCCTCCAGATAGACGTTTCCCCCTTTTTTCCGTGGAACTGAGATGCAAAAGGAGAAAAATGTCAGCGTCCTCTCCTTTGTGCCGGGGTATCATTAATTTTATCACTATTCTTTGCTCGTTGAAGGAACATTTGCGATGGGATCGGTAAGTTGGAAGTTTGTTCCGTGTTTTCAAGGCAAACGTTTGGAAGAAAGTGTTTTATAAACTCTTTTTCTATTGAGTCATTATTTTTACTGGAAATTCACTCGATTATTTTGCTGATAAATACATTATATTATTCCGCTGATGTATTCTTTTGTTTATATTATGATATATTGACTAGATATATGGTGAAATCTATAGGATTTTTATTGACAATTCTGTTGGTTCTGTTGATCCAATAGAAATTATTCTATAGAGAAAAAATTGTAGAATTCCATCTTTCTATAGAACTGTTTCTATTGAGACATTTTCTATAGGAATTCCTCGACACGAATTTTCCATGTTCTTTCCATTCTATTGTTCTTCTCTTTTCATTCGAAAAAATAAAACAAATAAACTTGGAAAATTCAAGCCGAGGAATGTCTATAGAAAATATTGAATTCTATAGAACCTTCCCATTGACAAAAAAACGCGAATCACCCGCGGAATTTTCCGACAGAATTTCCTGTAGTGAATGGGCTATAGATTTTTCTATGAAATTCTGTCGTACCTGACACCTGAATACATTATGTACTCTCAATTATCCCACAATCCATATTTTACCAAGTCGATAGCAAGTAATATCCCGTATTAAAATGGCACGTGACGCGACAATGGTCACAAAGAGGGACGTCACGTGCTCAAATAATGAAGGGCGATTCTCCCAGTGGCACTACAATAGGGTAAAAACCTAAAGTCAACGTAAATGAGTCGTCACGGTCCTCCGACATTGCGCTAACAGTCGAGCGTTAATGGTCGATGCTCTTTTCCCCTACTCTCTTTTTTTCGGCTCCCAACCCCAAATCGTTTTGTGACCTCGACGGTTCTTATCTCAGTTTCACACGACTCCATTTCCGGTTTTATAAAGTCAATGGGGTTGGTCGACGTTGATGATTTTTCCAGTGGCTTTGGAAATTTTCGAGGAATTCGGGGTTTTTTTTTACCATTGTCGAACATTCAAGGACACTTTTCCGAGACATCCCGAAAATTCTCCGGCGAATATCGATTCGATATACGCATGACTGAAACGTTATTCTCCGGGAAAAAAATTTATGACTCTATTTGGATAATTTTCTCGCTCTTTGGGAGTTGAAAAGAAATGGGGATTGAAAGGGTATTTTATGTTAAACATTGGTCAAAGTGAAAGATTTGTGAACAGTTTTCAATGACCGCTCATCAATTTTTTTTTATTTTGAAATTTATTCAATTTAAAACTTTTTAAATTTTTTTTTATAAATGTAATTTTTTTAAAAATATCTTTTTCATTTCAGGGCGATGTCAAGTTCATGTTTGAGGGTTTATATTAGTTATTTATTTCTTATTTAAACGTTCGTGTTGGATCGTTTTATGCTCTGAAAATTCTTGCGGGAAGTCACTTTTTTTTAAATTCCATTCAACCGGAAGTAAAGGGTTAATTCGGTGGCGAAACGGTGGAAAATTTAATTCAGCATTTTGCATTTAAATCGAGCACTCGAGGCACATTCATCGATGTAGGTGACCTCCATAATCGAGAAGGCCAATAAAAATCCCGGAGTGGTTCTTCAGGAAAATTCAGATATCCTCTTTTTCATAAATGTTCACTTGCACAAATTTCACAAAAAAATCACTCATTCCCAGAAACTCGTCTTTACGTAACTCACAATTTCCATCCGAATTTTTATCCCTTTGGAATGCAAAATTTTGCACGAAAATTTCACTTTGAAAAAATATGTCCTTTCTAGTTTTCCTGTGTAATCCAAAAATCCTGGAAAAAAATTATCTCCACTGAAAAAAAAATCCAGATATCGTAATTACTTGCCCCAAAAATTAATGAGTGAAACCTCGAACATTTCATTTTAAAAAACGGAAAGGCAAGAAATCATTAAAAAAAAAAACAATTTCACAAAAAATAAAAAATTGCGAAAAAAGGCTGGTTCTTCAAGGAAATTCAGATATCCTCTTTTTCATAAATGTTCACTTGCACAAATTTCACAAAAAAATCACTCATTCCCAGAAACTCGTCTTTACGTAACTCACAATTTCCATCCGAATTTTTATCCCTTTGGAATGCAAAATTTTGCACGAAAATTTCACTTTGAAAAAATATGTCCTTTCTAGTTTTCCTGTGTAATCCAAAAATCCTGGAAAAAAATTATCTCCACTGAAAAAAAAATTCAGATATCGTAATTACTTGCCCCAAAAATTAATGAATGAAACCTCGAACATTTTATTTTAAAAAACGGAAAGGCAAGAAATCATAAAAACAAAATAATTTCACAAAAAATGAAAAATTGCGAAAAACGGCTGGTTCTTAAAAAAATTCAGAAATCCTCTTTTTCATAGGCGCTCACTCGCACAAATTTATTCATCACTAAAAAAATCACATCCCCAGAAATTCGTCTTTACGTAACTCACAATTTCCATCGCTTGGAATTCAAAATTGGCAACAATATTCCACTAAAAAAAATATACCATTCCTATTTTTCCCGTGTAATCCAAACCTCCTAAAAAGAACTCTCCCCACTCAAAAAGAATCTAAAAATCTCAACTACCGGATTCCCCAAAAATCAATGAATGAAACCTGCAGCAGTCCCCCAGAAAAATAAATTAAAAAGCCAGAAAATGACCTAAAAATCCATTACCCAATTAAACAATGAAATCAAAAACAAAATAATCGCCTAAAAAATTGTAAATAGTGCAAAAAATCAAATTTCACTGCAGACAAATTGCAAAATTTTTTTTTTTTAATGGAGTTGTAATGAAAATTAAATGAAAAATGCGGGAAAGTAAATAACATAATTGTGGAAACTCACCAATAATTAAGTCCAGATAATGAAAAAATGCGGAGTGGGTTCGAAAGCGCGGGATAGCCCGACGAAGGGAACGTCGTCGTTCGTCCTCGACTTCGCTGAATTCGTAACGCTAACAAGGGGTGCCTGGGGGGTTCCGAGCGCCAGCGCATCACAACGAGAGCCTGCCATTGGCTATCGCATGACGACGCATCGATATCACTGACCAATCGACGCACCACTCACCCCTTCACTGATCGAACCGAGGCGGAGTCTCTCACCCAGGTTTTACCTGTTATAATAATAATGGTAATGATAAGGGTGAAATAACAATCGTGGGGTAGGACATTTCTGACATCGGTAATGAACAATCACGGAGGGAAATCTCAATTTTGATTACGGGATGAGAGCATGAGGTATTTATCGGGTCTGGGGGGACGTTTTATGGTTTTTAATCCATTTCAACAATTGGAGTTTTTTCGTCATTGGTTTTTTTTTTCAATTGTGTAAAAGGGATGCGATTAATTTTTTTGGCTGTGAAATTCTTCTTTGTAATCGAATTCTTTGAGTTTTCCCAATTTTTTTCAATTTTTCGTATTTAATTTTTTTTATTCGTCTTCGGGGAATTTAAGGGTCGCGATTTTCTCCAATTTTTGTCGATGGAGAAAATTGCAATTTTTTTTCCAACTTTTTTTTACTTGAAAAATTGATATTTTCCTGTTGATGGAATTTCGTTGATTTTTTGGAGAATGGATGAATGAGATTCTCCATTTTTTTGTGATTGGGAAATTTGGAATTCACAACATTTCTTAATTTAGTCTCATTTAAAAAAAAAATTATTTATTAATTCGTCTAATATAACGAAAAAATCGAGGTATAATTGCATATAATTTATTTGTTTCTAAAATTTCGAACTTTTTTGTCATTAACTTCCAATTTTTCAATTTTTCTCTGTTACCTCTATCAACCCACTGATGGCTATTGATTTTTTTTTCACGAGAAACGGTAAATATTTTCAATGTAGTGTCAACAGAACAAAAAATTTAATGAATTTTCACTTTTTCACAAAAAAAAAACTTCACTCCAATCAGTTGTTTCTTTCAATTTCTAGAGGAATGAAATATTGAAGCGTGTATATATCACCGTCCCGCGGATGTGATAATTCCCCCAAAACTGATTCAAATACGGCTATACGAGACCTCTGGGATGAACAAATATCTCGGGGAGCGATAAAGCGCGGGAGGATCCCTGATCGTTTAGCCACGAGTAGGCGAATCCCCGCCGTGGGAGATTGTATTACCCCAAAGGTTGAATATACTCAACGTGGGTTGTTGCGACGTCCAAATCAATCGAATAGTCCCTTCGATCAACTGCATTCTGAACCTTTTCATGCATAAAATACACCCACACTCAAAACCGCATTTTTTCCGTATATTTTTATTCAAAAAATATTTAAAAATTCGTGTGTTGTACATTTGCTATTAAAAATAGGTTTCTAACGGACATAGAAATTTATTTGTATGTGTAAAATGAAGAGCTTCATTATCAAGAAATTCATCAGAACTTCAATAGAAATAATAAAAAAAAAAATTATAATAATAATATAAATTTTTTAAATTTATTCATTTTCATTTAATTTGATTCCTCTCATTGGCTTTGGCTGTTGGATTCGTCTTTCAATTAATAAATAAAAAATAAATAAAATAAAATAACGATGAACATTTAAAAATTTTACAATTATACACTCAGAAAAAAAATGAGCTCTGGCCGAAAAATTATGTTTCACGTGAGAATATTTGAAGGAGTGGAAGAGATTTACTCGAGGGAAATTAACTTGATAGAAGGAAATTTAACATCTTTACCAAAATTAAATTTTTGTTGTGATCACCAAAAATATATAATTTATTGTACGACAATCATTACATAATTTCAAAGAATACTGAAAAAAAATTGTCCCCTAGAAAGTATGTAATTTAGCTGGAAACTTTCTTTTTGTCCACAAGTAAATTGACTCAACACGAGTAATTTTTTCTCCCCCTGTATTCATCAGATATAAATTCCAGAGAATTATCATTTTATCCCACGAATTATACCCAGTTCCCGTAATATATTGTGTCACAAACATCGATATAAATAAAATAGTGGTGGCAATGTCAATTTTAATTGACACATTTCGGAGTGGAAAAATGAAAATTCATCGTCAGACAGTCAGAGCCCTAACGTTCATTGTAACAAACACTGGTGGCAAGTACATAGTGGGGTAAAGGCACCCTCTCGTCGGTTGCCAGGAAATATCGATCCGTTGGGGGTTGCAAACGCAAGCTTGGGAAAACGGATGCTGTTCCCCTCCCTCAAGTTTGTCTGTACCAACGAGTACCCCATCCACTGGTTTCTTCCGTCCCAAATATCCTCAGACACGCTGCCATCATCCCGGCAAATAGGATTCCTCGGGGTATTGTCCCGGCTCGGATTATGGCAGTCAGTCGCATGACCAGTGTCATCAGCCAACTTCCAACCGAGAATTTTCATTAAGTGGAGGGACGAGTCTCACGTGATATCTGTGGGTGGCTTGTAGACTATAATTTCCACGGGGTTCACTTTGTTAAGTACTCCGGTGAATTAATAATTGTTGGAGGGGTTAATTGAATTTTCATGGGTCATAGGGGCGGGGTTGATGAACTATTTCGTGGATATCCAGTGTTTAGAGTAAATAGGGTAATTATTTTGGGTGGATAAACTTGGAAATGTCTTCATCTGGGCTCTGACCTGGATGATGAGCTGCCGAGAGTTTTCTCATCGGCATTCCTTATCAGTTTTGAATGCCCCTTGAGCTTTTTGAGATTTTTGAGGGGGAGATGTCGGGGGAAATGTCCACGAGCAACTGCAGGACTTTTAGTAATTTCTTTGACTCGACGATATTTTCGCGGGAATTCTGCAGCTTTTGTTTCAGGGAGACTTCAGCCTCTGCTTCTCTGAATATTGACTCCAGTAGTCTCAGTATTCTCGACTCCAGATTAGAATTATTTTGATGAGATTCTGCAATCGTCTGGGTGGATCTCGATTTAGTGGCGTTTTTCAAACTTTCAGAACTCACTTCGTCAATTTTTGGTAATCGTTTCGCCGGCGAGAATGAAGTGGCTTGAGGGGTCGAGCCAGCAAGTGAAGTTTTTTGTTCTTACATCGAAATGGGGTCTGAATTTTCGTTTCTGAAAATTGATCTCAGTGTTCTCATAATTTCGGACTCGAGGTCTGAACGACTGGTGTCAGCGCAGGGATCGAGACTCATTCTCGTCGGACACTCGTGTTCAATGAGATCGGATTTCATAATGTTCAGTAATTTTCCCTTCAGCATTTGTTCTTCCTCTTCTGATTGTCGATTAGTAGAATCGCGAGATTGTTCGGAGCCTTCGGTAAAATTGTCGGAGGTGTCTTCAATACAGCTGCAAGCACTGTGCCACTCCGTTTTGCTCGCTTCAGAAATTTCGAAATACCCACACGAATAAAAAGAGCTGCATCGTGCTATATCCAGTCTGCTATCACTGGACTCAACATCTCTGTTGTTGTCATCATCACTTCGACTCACAGAAATCCCTCGTTTTATGACTCTCCAATCCACAGAATCTTCCCCCGGAATAAAATGTCTCCTCAGAGTTTCCAGAATTTGAATGCAATCCCTGACTCTTCTCCTCAATTTTCCCATTTTCTTCTCCATCACTACCTCCAAAACATCTCCAAAACATCTCATAGTCGATCATATTCATCACTGATTTAGCTTTTTCACCCAAACCATTAGCTCCGCGATTGAGTCAGCACACCTTGACACCGTTAACCCCCCCAGAGTACCTGTATTTATACCATCATACATCTCCCTATCACCTACACCACCAGATGAAAGTGTATCGCAAGTGGGTAGACTCGGTGGCTGCTCCGTAATGGCCCGTACGAATGACAAAAGACTCGCAAGGATCGATCATTGTGTTGCTCCCTCCACGTAAATAACTCCATGCAATATTTCTCTCCCCAGATTTTACCTCATCTTCTCAGGAGAAATCATAAAATCACTATTTCTATTGAAACGTCAATAAACTTTATTCAAAAAATGCACCACTAAAAACGATAAAAATAAAAAAAATATCATTCACAAAAAAATCAGTTTTGTATAAAAAATCGGAGAAAAATATTTCCCGATTAAAAAAAATTCTTCATTTTTTTCCCCATAAGAAATCATAAAATCCCTCTTTCTACTGAAACATTCACAAAAAAAAATATTTTGCATAAAAAAAATATTTCTCGATTTTTGAAATAATTTTCAATTGTTAATTCTTCGAATTATCAAATTTCTGACATTTCTTCCCCACATTTTCCTCAGTTTCCCATAAAAAACCATAAATCATGAATATCTTTCTATTGAAGCATTCACAAAAAAATATTTTGCATTAAAAAATTTTTTCTCGATTGTAAAAATAATTTTCAATTGTTAATTCTTCGAATTAAAGAATTCCTGACATTTCTACACAAATTCACGTGCTCCACTAGCATCCCCCTGAACTCGTTATCAATTCTCCCCCTAGAACCGAAGTAGGAAAATATTTGACACTGACCCCCGCCCCCACCAGCATCAATCCCTCCGCCACCCCTCCCCCGCCCCTCGCAGTCCCTCAGATATTGATAAATCGATGAATCCCTCGTGCCGCACCTCCGCGAGTGCTGATGCACTTCTCCAGTAGCAGCTCCACAAGATCGACGTGAATTGATTGCCCCAAAGTGCTCAGGAGCATTAATCCGTCCACTGCAACAAGTGCAGTCACTTCCGTTGCCCGCAAGGCCCCTCAGAAAATCCTCTCCGAATTTTTCCTCCCTCCCGCCAGTTCCTCCCTCCCTCAAGAAAACATTTCGCTCAAAATCTCGTCTGCGAGACCCCCTGGACCTGCCATGGTCCCCAGAATATTTATTCCGAGTCCTAAAAATTTTTTCACGACGATTTTTCTCCACTTTCCAATTTTTCTGCAAATTATTTCGGCAATTTTTGGCTTCGAAGTGGCCCGAATGCCCCCCAGGGGATGAGAATATCCTCATCCCGATGTGCGACGTGTTCGTAGACTTCTCCCTC